TCTTGTTGCTGTCTTGTTGCTATCTTGTTGCTGTCTTGTTGCTATCTTGTTGCTATCTTGTTGCTGTGCGAGTGTGTTTGTATGCACGCTCGCTGGACCAAGTCGGGTCATGGCCGCGCTGGGCATGTCTTGTGGCTGCGGGCACGAAATTGGGAAAGATAGAGGATGATGCCCATGCGAAGATCTGATCATGATACTGATTTTGATACTGATTTTGATACTGATTTTGATCCTGATCTTGAATTTGAATTTGATTCAGATGTTGATTCAGATGTTGATCCTGATTTTGATCCTGATCTTGAATTTGAATTTGATTCAGATGTTGATTCTACTTTTACTTTTACCTTCACTGCTAGTAGTCTATCGTCTTTTTGATCGCGTCGTATACTCCTGCGAATGGTTAGCCAGAGACTCGGTAGCAAACGCGTAAACCTACTCGTCACATCCGGAATGATGATCTTCTCAAACACCAGCCCCGTGTGTGTCGCCCACCCCGCAACCCGCTTGACGGGCGCCTCCAGCCTCAAGAAAGCCTGCTCCTGGATGGTCGCCGCGACCTCTGCGCCGACGCCGGCGTTCATCATGCTCTCGTGCACCACGATGGCGCGCCCCGTCTTCTTCACGCTGCTCAGCACCGTCTCCCGGTCCCACGGGTAGATCGTGCGCAGATCGATCAGCTCCACGCTGCACCCAAAGTCCTTCTCTGCCGCGGCGATGGCTGCCGAACACGTGTACAGCGGTGTCCCGTACGAGACAATGGTCACGTCTTTGCCCGTCTTGAGGACCTCGGCTTTGTCGAGGGGGAGGTAGTAGGCGTCGACGGGGACCTGCTCGACGGCGGCGCGGTACAGGATCTTGGGTTCCATGAAGATGACAGGGTCGGCGGCGCGGATAGAGGATAGCAGGAGGCCCTTTGCTTGCACAGGCGACCGCGGGACGACGACACGGAGGCCGGGGGTGTGGGTGAAGAGGGCCTCGGGGGACTGGGTGTGGTATCTGCTTCTCTTAGTAAGACACGGGAGGGAGGAAATGGTCGACGTACAGGGCTCCGTGCCCGACGCTGCCGCTGGGCATCCGGATTGTGAGGCCGCCGCAGTGGACGCCTGTGCTCCCGGATCTGTAGCGGTACTTGGCTGCTTCGTTGTGGATCTGGTCGAATGCTGGGAAGACGTAGTCGGCGAACTGGACCTCGGCGACTGGCCTCAGCCCCTCTGCGGCTGCCCCAATGGCAAAGCCGACGAGGCCCTGCTCGCTCAGTGGCGTGTTGAAGACGCGGTCTGTGCCGAAGTCTGCGGCGAGGTTCATGGTGCAGCGGAATACGCCGCCGAACTGGATGTCTTCACCAAACACGAGCACCCTCTCGTCGGTCTGCAGCGCATAGCGGAGGGCCTCGTTCACCGCGGTGTAGAGGTTGATGCGCTTTGTTTGCCCTTTCCGGATGTGCTCTGGCAGCTCTGGATTCGCGAGTGCTGACTTTGACGTGTGGTTCAGAAGAGGCGTCGAGTCGTACTCCAGCGGGACGTTCAGTCTTGCACCAGCTGCTGCAGCGGAATACTGCTTGCTGTGGGGCTTGGAAGGACGTGTTGGGTGGAGCGACGCTTGAGGCCTGAGCAGATACCGCGACAGGGCGCGCATTGAGGGTGTTTTGGCGGCCATGGTGTGTTGTACTGAGGAACCGCGGTGGACTGTAGCAGTGCTCTACACAGCAGAGCAGAGCAATTCGTTCACCCCATGCCCCAGGCGGAAGGAGTGAGTGCGGACGCTCGGCTCATGCTCCTCGGCGGACGCGCTTGATGTCGGCTTTACCCCAGATTCCGGCGCCGAGAGTCCACCAAGCGCATTCGGCTGGTTTGGGGACGGGCGAGGGCGGCTGACATAAGGGCTGAGTAAGCATCTTCACGTGCAGCGTCCATTGGAGCGCGGGCCAGCGACGCTAATAATGGCAGCAAGATGACGTCCTGGGCTCCGCTTCGCTGAACTGGTTCGAACGGCGGGGCGCAACCAGACCTTCCTCCTGCAGCAGCGGCGGAGGACCTGTCAGACAGTCGTCTGGATCTCTGATGTGGCAGCGCGGTGCTTGGGCACGGCATTATTGGGAGCGTCGAGGGCACCTCGCGGAACACGGCACCGCATGCCAACAGTTGGGCAGGCCGGACTGTGAGATTGCCCAGGTGTTCGCGCTGCAGTTTGTTGCAGTTTGTGCCGTGACCCACCCGTGCACAGTCCGCCCGCTGGCCGCGCCATCCGCGAATTTGACCAGTCTGTGCCGCTGCGACTAATACTGCGACTGCGACTCTTTCGTCACTGCAGTCTGTACTGCGTTCCCTCGCCGCCCGCGCGACACGCATTACTTCCCACCGCACCTGGGTGCTGCATCTGCCATGGCCGCCGCCCTCAGCGCCCCAAGAGGCCTCAATGGCTCGCGCGCCGGGCGCGTCCACATGCTGCTCGTCTGCGTCTTCCACGCCTTCGCGCCCCTGGCCAAGGCCCTCCCGCTCGCCGGTCTCGTCAGCGCACGCGCCGATGAGGAGCTGCCCAAGTCGCCCGACGACGCGAGTCTCTGGGTCTATCTAGGCATTGCCGTCGCCCTCGTGCTCGCCGGCGGCGTCTTCGCGGGCCTGACCATCGCGTACGCGCACTCCATGCAGCCGTCGTGGCCCCGCTAACATGTGCGCAGGCTGATGGGACAGGACGAGATCTATCTGCAGGTCCTGGCCACGTCGGGCGAGCCCAACGAGCGCCGTACGTCCAAGAAGGTGCTGCGCCTGCTCCAGTACGGCAAGCACTGGGTGCTCGTCACGCTGCTGCTGAGCAACGTCATCACCAACGAAACGCTGCCCATTGTCCTGGACAGGTCCCTGGGCGGAGGCTGGCCCGCCGTCCTCAGCTCCACCATCCTCATTGGTACGCGCCGTCCGCGCCCGCGCTGCCGCGCCCATGCTGACCCGTCTAGTCATCTTCGGCGAAGTCGTCCCCCAGTCCATCTGCGTCCGCTACGGCCTGCCCATCGGCGCCTGGTGCGCGCCGCTGGTCCTTGGCCTCATGTGGATCATGTCCCCCGTCGCCTGGCCCACGGCAAAGCTGCTCGACTACCTGCTCGGCGAGGACCACGGCACCACGTACAAGAAGGCCGGCCTGAAGAGCCTGGTCACGCTGCACAAGTCGCTGGGCCACGCCGACGAGCGCCTCAACGAGGACGAGGTCACCATCATCTCCGCTGTGCTCGACCTCAAGGCGAAGGCCGTCGGCAGCATCATGACCCCTATGAAGGACGTCTTCACCATGCCTTCCGACACGGTCCTGGACGAGAAGATGATGGAGAACATCCTGTCCGCCGGCTACTCGCGCATTCCCATCCACACCCCCGATAACCCGAACGACTTCGTCGGCATGCTCCTCGTCAAGATGCTCATCACCTACGACCCCGAGGATGCTCTGCGTGTGCGCGAGTTCGCCTTGGCTACTCTCCCGGAGACGCGCCCCGAGACCAGCTGCCTGGACATTATCAACTTCTTTCAGGAGGGCAAGTCCCACATGGTGCTCGTTTCCGACTTCCCCGGCGACTCCCACGGCGCCGTCGGTGTCGTCACCCTCGAGGACGTCATCGAGGAGCTCATTGGCGAGTCAGTAGCCCACATGTCTCAGCTGCACGAAGCATACTAACACGAGCAGGGAAATCATTGACGAGTCTGATGTCTTTGTTGACGTCCACAAGGCCATTCGCCGCATGGCCCCCGCCCCGCGAACCCGTGTGCCCAAGGGTGCTGTTGTCCTGGACGGCTCCCACAAGCCGTCCGAAGCGCAAGTCATCGGTGGCGAGACTGATACGGAGCAGAACGGTGGCCCCCGCAAGATGTCAATGCCCGAGCAAAGCGACCTCCGCCCGGCTACGTTTATGCTTCGTCGCCGCAGCACTGGCAACAAGGGGTCATCGGACCCCCTTCGCGCCGACGACCCTGAAGTCATGAAGCATCTGAAGCACCTCGGCCCCTCGAATGCTGCCAACCGCCCCAAGTCCACTCGTATTAACACCGTCAAGATCAAGCCCGCTCACACGAACTCTCCGGGCCCCGAAATCCCCGCAACGATCCCCGAGGACGCGCGTCCAGCGTCGCAGGGCATCCTAGCGCAAGAATCGCACGCGCCTGAAGGTGGAATCGGCGAGGGTCTCCTCTCGTCTGCCGCCCGTGAAGCTAGCGACGGCGTGCACAGTTTGGCCGTTGGATATGGTACAATGGCTACGCCTAGTGGCGACCGCATGTCATGGAAGTCTGGCAAGACTAGCACCAAGAACGCGGGTGAAGATGCGATTTCTCCGGGTGCTCAGCCATTCCCCTCTTACGCTGAGGTTGCGGCGGATGGTGCCAACGGCAACGACCAAGACCAGTCGCGCGGACGACGCAACTCGCACAGCACTATTGGTTCTCTGCGCTCTGGGAGATCTCGCTCGCCTCCTAAGAAGCGCCACACAGCCCGCAGCGGTAGCATCTCTGAGAACGTCATCGACGTGAACGGTGTGAAGAAGATCGTGCTGGAGACTACAAGTTCTAGCGACTCCGAAGACAAGCTCGCAGGCAGCCACGCTGACAGTGCTCAAGATTCGCGACAGCAGTCCGAAGATGAATCGCTGCACGCAAGCAAGAGTGATAGCAAGAAGAAGAGGAAGAAGCGAGGTAAGAAGAAGAACAAGGGCGGTAACAGCAGCGAGTCGCAACCCCTACTGGGCAACCAGTAACCCCGGTTCTTCTTCGAATCGTGTTGTTGATGAGCAAGTTTTAGCATTCGCAGAGATGAGCGCGAGCGTGGGCACAACAGGTTCAAGCAGGACCGAGAACACGAGGCCTGGCGTAAGTCGGTCTGTCATGGAACGATTCAAAAACAGAATTCTTCTTCGCGACGAAGCGTGTGCAGGCGGCGGGGAGGACGCAGAGCGTACCGCGTAATGGACATACAAATGGGCTGGCACATTTCGGGCTTCTTTCTATCAATGGGTTTTGTATCATATCAAAAGTAAGCACGGCGTCGTCAGCGGTGTTACTTCCATCTTTAAATGCTGAGCTTCGTTTCCTGTGCCGTGTGTGTGCGGGCAAGTTCCTCGCCTGCATTTCTACAGCCCGTGTTCTCCATTCGAATGATTTTGGATTGACTGGTAACGCTGCTCCAAGAATCAACGCAGAACCTGACGCCATCCTGGTATGCAGTGGTAAACGCACACTCAACGAACCCACTCTCCATTCTCCACACTCACACCCCGCGTGGCACCGCTCAACACACGCATAGTTCTCGCTTGTCTCGACGCTGCTCTTTCCCCCGCTACACGCAGCGCGACGTATCTAGGTGCCCCGCACTGGCGTAAAACTCTTTTCCAGGCCTACTCCACCCCACCGCGCCCGGCCATGGACCGGTACTCGTCATATTTTCAGGTTTGAACTCATACATATATGTTTTGTCAGGGCACCGTTTCATCAACCACAGAAACACGGTTTTGTAGTGTATGTGCCCTGATCTCTTCGAATCCAATCAGATAACTAATATACCTTCACAGGTAGCGGTTATCACTCCGGATTCTGATCACTTCAGTATCTTCCGGCAACCCCGGTTCGATTCCGGGCAAGACCTCTTTTTGCACTGCGGAGGGCGCTGAGCCTGTGTGGTGGTGGTGAGTGACATTAGGTTGGGGGGTTTGTTTTTGGTGCCGGTGCGGCGCTAGGTGCGAGAGGTTTGGAAACTTGAGTGATGTTGGGAGGTGTAGCGACTGACTTGCGCGGGGTTGCGTTTAAGGATGTGGTGGGTGTGTTTGATGGTTTGTTTGCTGGTGCATAGCATCGTCGAGGATATTTTGGCTTGTGCCAGTGTTGTGTCTTTGGACTTGTGTTTTGCGTCACGAAGGACGAGGATCGCTCATCCCTCTGTTGCCACTCTCTGCCCGGCCAGAGATGCTGGATACTATAATATAAGGGCTTAGGTCCACACAGGTTCGACGTATGCCCTAAACGCGAAGGTAGAGTTGAGATTCGACGCGGCGCTATGCGGAATTCGCGATATCTGACGGCACGTGGAGTCTTACAGTCAACACATAGAACTGCAATGAGGATCGTTCGTTATGGAAATAGCCGTGGTCCCTCAATCGGAAATAGCCGTAGTCTTTCAATCAGAAATAGCCGTAGTCTTTCAATCGGAAACAGCCGTGGTCTTTCAATCGGAAAGTACCGCGGTTTCCTTCCTTACTGAAGAAGACCTGTAGTGTATGTAGAGTGGGCAGGGATCTTGCATTTGTGTATGAGCTTCACTCCACACCTCTTCGGACTCATGCCTTCCCACTGCTCCCGCAGATGTCCATCCACCGCTCCGTCTCCGCTTGTATAGCGTCCATCTGCTGATCAATCAGCTTCACCAGCGGTGTGCTCGCCGCGTTCTTCCGCAGCACCTCGTTTCCAACCTCCAGCAGCAACTTGTTAACGTTCAGCTTGATCGCGCCAGCGCGTATGCACCTCTCCATGACCGCCGCGGGGAAGTCATTTGTGCCGTGCAACGCAACTAGGACGCGCTTGTTGATTTGCTTATTGATTGCCTCGAGGCGGTCAAAGTGGATCTGCCCCTCTGCGGGACCGGAGGGTCCGTAGTCGCCGTGCACGTTGCCGACGGAGGGCGCGAGGATATCGATGCCGGCAGCGATGAATTTGTCCACGTCTTCGGGGGATGTGAAGAGTGCTGCTTGTGTCGTCAGCTGTGAGAGCACACTAGATTGTGCTGTAGCGACTCATACCCTCCAGGTCGCCTGTATCTGCTATGCCGTCTTCACCACCATTTATCCTCCCACTCTCGGCCTCTACAGCGATGCCCTTCGCATGGCACTCTTTTGTCAGACGTTCCGTCTTCTCGAGATTCTCGGCCTCTTCGTAATGCGACATGTCGACCATGACGGAGTCGACCGGTAGAGTCGCGATAATCTCGCGGATCTGCCCCTCATTCTGCGCATGGTCGATATGTAGTGACAGCGGGACTTTCGCTGTTTTGACCGCATGCGCAGCTGCGTGTGCCAGCAAAGGAAGCTGTGTGAGGGTCGAGGGGAACAGTTGGATGATCAGTGGTGAGCGCTTTGCTTCAGCGGCGCCCACGAGTGCTTCGAGCTGTTCGACGTTGTAGCTAGAACATGTCAGTACTGATATCGTGAGGTTATTGGTTCTATACGAACGCAATGGCTGCAAGCACTCCATATTTGCCTGACGCTGCAGTGTTCAGGATGCGCAATGTGCGGTTCTTTTCGAGACTTGTCATCTTGTATGGTGGACGTACAAATGTACGACCGGTGTTGCAGAACGCGTGGAATGCGAGAACTCATCTCGGGTCTGCATTCACCCCCATCATAGCTTTCGCAGTGCATCGGAGCCGCGGTCTTCTGCCCGTCAGGGACATTCGGAGGTGTCGCGGGATTGCAACAATGCGATTGGAGCTCGAGTCGAGCCACTGCCATGCCGACGTGGAGTTCGCGCTTGGTCGCTCGGCTGCTCCCGAGGAACCTGTGTACGGTAGAGAAATGTGCCCCGTAACGAGACACGACTGTCATTGCCCAGTCCCAGACTGCCAGAGAGCTGCCCGTTGCCGTTGCCGTTGCTGCCTACCCCGCATCCGGCCCCACATAGAAGCAGGTCTTAGATGCGGAGGCTGAGAAACGTGGAGACGCGCGCTTGAAATATGTTCCTCGCATTGTGGCTGAAACAAATGGGCCCTGATACTGTCAATGCAGCCAATTGTTTCTCGTCAAGCCTCTATCATATGTACAAGTTCAGAAGTCCACGAACGAGTGGTTGAGTATTGTTGCAAAGGGGCTGTTCGGCAGTCGAGCAGAAGATTGGTTAATGCTAATTTTATTGCTGTGCTCGCCAATGTGTTGTAAGATCGTGCACGAGACTTCTTGGGGGGAACTTTGTGACCTCTAGTGTCTCTTCCAGCAGCTGGAGAATGCCCGCTTGCTTTACAGGATCCCGTGCCGCGAGACCAGCTGCACATATGTTAGTTGAGCCGATTGTGTGCTGAGATCAAAACTTCTCACCTGTATACAGTGCCCTCACATTGGACATGGCACTTGGTATCTCTCTGCCCTGATGAGTGCTGGCTATTCCGCATACAGTATCAACGCTTTCATCGAGTAGACGCTGTCGATGGCGCATGTCTTCCATGCCACCCGGCGAGGGCTCATTGATGGCAACGATGATACGCGAGACGTGATATGTCTGCATCGCCGCCGCGTGCGATGGAGGATGTATCCATATCGGCGGGAAGAGGGTGTCTTGCGCTGGTAGTGCAGGTCTATATATCGGCTGGAATGATGATCCCAAGATATTGTACCAGTCGTTCAGTGCTTGGGTAAGCTTCTTGCCCTGTTCGATCCGGGTGTCTACGTCGTATTTTTTCACAGACTCGGTGGCTGCGAAATCGACGCAGCGTCCACAAATATAGATGATTCTTAGACAGAGCTCATCCGGCGTCAAGTCATCGAGACGTCGCAGCGGTCTCCAGATAGTTAGTACTCTACGGCCTTCTCGAAATGCAACCCAAGTGTCCTGTCGGATCCAAGCCCACCATGCTGCTCGTCGAAGCGGATCTCTGCATTCACTGTGCTTGAGTCAGCCATGCTCTGTGCTTCTTATCAAAGCTGCACTCAGCCCATCATCCGAGCCACCTACATCTCACCAATGATGTACTGGGGCAAAATCTTCGGCATGGTAACTTGCAAAGAGCTACTCACCCATTGTTGTTCTGGGATCGCTGGATCCAAAAGATACCACGCAGATGACGTTCCCATGCGCCGTTGTTGTACTGGCCTTCAGCATCAAACATCTCATAGGTGCTGATCAGCAGTGCAGTCGAGATGATTTCCCGAGACTTAGAGTAGCTGCCCTGGTTGAGATTCTGGGACAGGTAGTGAAGAGTCTCGTAGTAGTACTGCGTCGCAACGTTGAGAAGAGGATTCATTATCTGAGGTTCGCTACCGGTCTGTAGGAACGGAAATTGATTGAGTCCAGCCATGTGGCGTGCTGCAACTGCCAGGAGTGATTTCAGTAGGCCCAGGTTGTGCACAGCTAAACGAGGCACAGATGTCGAGAATTGCCGCGTAGGGTCGCAAAGATCCAATATCGGACCCACTACCCCGACATAATGTTGGAACAGCACCAGCTCATCGTCAGTCAAAGGAATTGTGTCAATCAAATTCCATTGGTCCTGTAGAATTGGGGGCAGTCTTAGACTTTCGACCGGGGAAGCGACGGAGATAAATGGTGACCCTAAGTGTGCGTCGTTGTCTTGGTCTGGTGATCGTAATTGGGGATCAAAAGCTGAATCATCTCGTTCAGGGCTTTCCCTCTGCGACGGGCGTGGCTTCTCGACTTCCAGATTCAGGTTGTACTTTGCAACATTCTGGATTGCATCCTCGGCAAGCAAGTCGTACCATTCGTAGGGAGCTGAGTTTGGCGATGGCATGGAAGCAACGCTTCCAGTCGTCAAGGGTGAATCGAATTGCAATTCTGGCGAATTGCTGAACGGAGTGTCACTTGTGATCGACTTCCTGGCTAGTGCCGGCGATGGCATTGCTTGCGCCGATGGCGTCGGCCCGTTGGGTGCTGTGCTTGTTGAAGCATCGTTGGGCGACGCATATCGACATTCTCTGTCTGACTTGATACATGTTGCGCAGCGTGGTCTCTGCTCGTCACATTTGATGCGACGCGATCTGCAGGTCAGGCTGGATTTGCAATCAGCTTGGGCCAACACAGAACGAAACTCATCGGTGAGTAGGACCCCGGTGCGTGGTTCCACCAAGAACGCGTAGTCTCCAAGGGCAGACTTAAGTGTCGGAGCGAATGTTGTCACAGGGTTCACTCACCAACCGGTCGTTGTCCTCAATCCCCTTGCTCTGGAGGGACGCGGCTTCCGCGGTTTAGGAGCGGCTGATGATGTAACCGGCATCTCGGATAAGGATGCACATGCTGAGATGACTCCGCTTTGAGGTCAAGACTTGGCTTCTGGTAAAGACGCGTAAATGGGCTGATTTGCTGCTGCTCGCGTTTGTGTGGGGGCACAAGAACTCTTTTGATTCCGACAAGTCAGCTCTGCGGATGCGGGCGACTTACAATCACGTGATACTGTGGGAATCAATGCAGAGCTCGGTTCCAGACAAAGTCGTGTCAATTCTGTCACTTGGACCTCGCAGCTGTAGAGACTCCGACCTCCCAGAACAACGGCCCGGCCGGAGTAAATAGTGTACCCGAGCTTTGGCAAGACTTGGCCAGGCAGCCTCACTGATCGTATCCATGCCACAGCCCAGTCGCTAGTGTTGAGCCTCAAGATGTACGCTTGCGATTTGAAACGTCGATAAAACTCGATGCATTTGTGCATTGATAGACGGTCTGTCAGTTCTTGCCGTGGCTTAGTCAGATTCGGTGCCACACTTTCCTGCTCAGCAATCCTGCGACAGATCGTCAGAAGTGCGCACGTTTTTCCATCAAGTACATCATCGCCTACTGCAAGCACCAGGTCGAGCGTCTCTGAGATAATGTATGTTATTCGTGCTATGGGAATCGAAAGGCCTCAACCTGTATCGGAACTCCTTCCAATGCAACCACGTCTAACCATTCTCCGCCAATCTTCCTTTACCACGCGCCTACGATACCAGCGATAGGAATATCGATTCCTGTGGTATATGAAGCGCTGTCGCTGAGCAGGTAAACATATCCTCCACCTAGCTCCCTGGGGTCCGCGAGCCTAGGCATGCCACCATAGTAGTGCATCTTCTCCGCGAAGTCGGGTGCGCGCTCGATCTTGTAAGTCATCTGCGTCCTGACGAATCCAGGAGAAATGCTGTTCACGCGAATACCGTGTTTCGACCACTCCATGGCAAGGGTGTGTGCCATGTTGCGAATAGCCGCCTTAGTACCGCCGTACGGTGCGGATGGACCAGCCCGGTTGGGCCGGTAAGATGTCATTGATGCAGTGAATACGACACTGCCCTTGATACCGAGCTCGATGAACTTCTTTGCGGCTGCTGTAGCGCAGTAGTATGCGCCGAAGACGTTGAGGTTGAACATCTGCTCGAGTTGAGCCTGGTCGAAGTTCAATGCGGGCTGGTGCTTGGTCATGCCGGCGTTGGCGACCATGCCATGGATGGCCCCAGATTGTGCGACAATCTGGTCAACTGCTTGGATAACGCTCTCTTCTAAAGTGACATCGCAGTTCAGGTAGTGCACACGCTTAGGATAGGCCTTCTGGAGGGCCTCGAACTCCTCCCCAGGCTCGAAAAGATCCAGTGAGTAGACATGGGCGGCTTCATTTGCCAGGAAGACCTGCGCAAGCCCGAGACCAATACCGCGGTTTGCTCCTGTGACGGCGATGACTTTGTTCTTCAGGGAAACCCTCCAGTCGAAAGACTCGTCGGGCATCGTCGACACATACGGCGGGATGCCTGTTTGCTCAACAATTTCAGGCTTCCCACTGCTGCAGCCACCGGTAGGCACAGATGCGGCCTCGGAAACAATGGCTGAAGGGGACATTCTGCGTTGGTACAAATGAGTAACTCTTACGAGTGGAAGGTAAGGCGAAAAAGAGGGGGAATTGAAGCTATGAATGGACTGTCGCTGCGTGCTGGAACATTTAAGTATCAACCAACTTCCACCTCCACATGCTGTGTGTCGATCAAGACCAACGGCCCTTTGCCGATTAAACTCGAAAACCCAAACAAGCCTACGTTAAGGCCCGCTCGGCACCTTGCCGATTTGCGCGTTGAGGCTGCTCGCAACGAGCTGGTGGACTAAATGCCGATCTAGCGTTTTCCCGTTGCCTTTCTCCGCATCTTACAATCGCGCTAGTCACCGTCTCGAGGCACAGTTTTCCTGCAGAGTGCCACGGACAGGCGAACATCAGCATCACGGAGGACCAACAGTCCAGGGACCAACGAATGAGGATCGCTGATCCACAAACCTGGAATTGCATCCAGCGAACCTGGTGACATCAGCCCGTCTCCGGGGAGGTCTGGGGTTGACGAGAGGGACCGTGAACCTGGGGTGGACTTAGCTCGTTCAGAACACCATCAGCGAGACGTGATTGCAGGTTGAGCTCATCCTATAAAGCTCTGGCGACACCTCACCATCGGGTTGCCCATTCCAGCTGCGTCTATCGGTGACCCTATAGATACGAGGGTCACTCCAGCTCTATCACGACTTCTTTGTGTTAGACGTCTCCACATTTATACTCCTTGCCACACATATCTCAGTGCGCCATGGAGACACCAAAGTCCTACGAAGGTGCCGACTTGAAAGTGATGGACACTTCTAAGGACCATGTCGAAGTCTTCGAGGAGCTGACATGGACGCCCGAGGAAGAGAGGAAGCTGGTCCGGAAGATTGACCTGTATCTCCTGCCCACAATCTGGCTCATGTACCTACTGAGCTATATGGATCGTACGAAGTGAGTTGCATCGTGTCGAAGATGACTAGATTTACACTGACCGATCATTAACAGCATTGGCAACGCAAAGATTGCAGGCATGTCGGACGATCTGAAGCTCACCTCGAACGAATACTCTATCGCCTTGGTTGTTTTCTTCGTTACATACGTCGCATTCGAGCCTGGTTCTAATATGATCCTTGTCAGGTGGAAGCCGTCGCTGTATCTCCCTACTATCATGGCCATCTGGGGTGCTTTGACATGCGTCATGGCTGCAATCCATCAGTTCAACCACCTTGTCATTCTCCGCATCTTTGTCGGTGTGTTTGAAGCTGGTTTCGCTCCTGGTATCCTGCTCATTATATCGTCTTGGTACAAGCGCGATGAGCAGTCCAAGCGTTTCGGTGTGTACATGTCCGCTGCTATCTTGTCTGGCTGCTTCGGAGGTCTCCTGGCAGGTGCTATTACTGGCGGTTTGGAGGGTGCAGGTGGCCTGCGCGGATGGCGATGGCTCTTTATTATCGAAGGTGTCGCAACAATCGTTTGGGCTGGTATCGCCTCCTTCATCCTTCTCGACTTTCCCGCTACGAGCTCGCGCCTCACCGAGCGCGAACGCGCCATCGCTGTTGCCCGTCTGCGTGAAGGCGGCGTCAAGTCATATGCTGAAGGCGACGACCGCATGGGCAAGCTCAAGTCTTTTAGGCTCGCTATCTGCGACTGGCGCACCATCGGCTTCGTGCTGGGCTACATGGTACGCCTTAGTCCTACAATCTTGAAGCTTCGAATACTGACTTGAAAAAAAGGTCATTGTCGGCTCCAGTACCCTCAGCTACTTCTACCCCACTCTCGTCTCCGGCCTCGGCTACACCGACCGCGTGCAAGCGCAGTACATGACCGCGCCCATCTACGCCGTGGCCTTCGTCTGCACAGCCATCACAACGTTCTTTGCAGACCGCGTGTCCAACCATCGTGGCCTGCTAATCTCCTCGTGGCTCGCGTTTGCGCTCATCACAGCCATCTGCGTCTGCGTCATCTTCGACTTCACAGCGCGGTATGCGCTGCTGGTGCTTATGGCTGCGGGATTGTGGGCTTCCAACGCGCTCGCTTTGAGTTTTGCAAGTGCAACCTTTGGTGATATGGAGCCTGAGGTCAGAGCTATTGCATTGGCGCTCGTCAATGCTATGGGTAATCTAGCCCAGATCTATGGCGCGTACCTATTCCCTGCGGAGGATAAGCCGAAGTACCTCATGGGTTTTGGTGTCATCTCGGGTATGCTTGGATTTGGTACTTGCGTCTACATCTTCATGCACGTCGCTGTGCGTAGGAAGGAGGGTCTCGGCTGGTTCTAAGGCGATTGTGGATTACTCTTAAGATGTAGAAGAACGACAGAATTGATACCCAGTACGTGGCTTGCTTGGCTTATTTAGATCTACAAAACGACGTCTCCAAAAGCTCTGATACACAATATCCCTCTCATACTTCATCGATGCCTCCATCTTGTTCCAACCACTCCTCGTTTGTGAGCGTAATGAGCCATATGCGACAGTGCGACAAGATCCGTCTTTCATCTTAAAACAAAGACCGAGCAGAATTGTTTTGAGGTAAGTCCAAATCCTAGTGAAGGGATTGTAGAGTAGAGAATGAGATGATCAGTGTAGGAGATTTCTTCACAGAATGACTGCATGCTTCTGTGTCAAAAAACTGAGCGCCGGCGCTGCCAGATGGTCGATGTAACTTTACTATCTTGGCGGTCACAGATCTACAATATTATCATCATTTGTGAAATCCGACTATTCCATAGTCTCGCAAGTGACCGTAGTGTACACGTTATCCTTCGTTGCCCTGCTGTACGGGCATACCTGTCTCGCCTTGTACACAACATTCTCGAGCTCCTCCTTTGATAGACCCCTAACCTTGACATTCATCTCCACCCTCAATCCCATGTCGAGATCCTTCATGCTACCAACGAGATGTACCTTGGTCTCAACGATCGAATCCTCGGGTGTCGTCGGCATCTTCACGTTGACGGAGGGGGCGACGGCGTTCATAGCGGATTGGAAACATGCTCCTAGTCCTTGTGAGGGCGTGATCGGGAAGAAGTGCAGAGAATGAAAAGGTAGAAAGAAACATACCATAGCCAGCAGCAAATAGCTCCTCAGGGTTCGTCTTTCCCGCGTCGCCCTTACCACCGAGGGCTTTGGCCATGGTGAGCTCGACCTTAAGGTTCTCACCATCAACGTGGCTAGCCAACGATCAGTCAAAATCGCTCATTGCAAATAGCCTGATTATCGTACCCAACGCGTGCTCCTACAACCTTCGCATGTGCAGAGTACAGACTTGGTGCTGTCTCTGTGTTCAAAGAGCGACGAGGAACCGAAGTGATACTCCTGGGCGAGACGCGCATGGCGCTGCGCAGCATGGGTGTGAAAGATCTCGAGGCCATTGTGATTGACGTGATTGTTCAATGCGTGTTTCGCTAAATGAAGTAGAGACTTTGATGGTTGATGTGCAAGACTGAAGGAAAGACGAGTTGGAAGATGTTACCAGGGAGTTCTGATCTATTTTCACGAAAGATCCATCGCATCGCTGACGGCTTGTGACGTTTGGAAGTCGATGACGTGTGTACCTGAATGGAGGAGCGTTTAACGGCATACGGCTAGTGTGGAACGCGGATCTCCTGCGCTTGCGACTACGATCACTCGAATAGTCCTGGAGATCCCCGAGTGTAGGAGTTACGAGAATGGGTTGAGCATACTGTTGAATCGAGAGTCCAACTGGCAAGAGATGCTGGTGGCACCTGCATCACCTCAACAATCATTTCCGCCGACCCTCGTTCTGTGTCCTTCCTCCAGCACTTTGATAATCTGACCTTTCACCTTCCCGTATCTTTTCCAATCATCGTAATCATCAGCGAGATGTCTTGCCACTCCAAACAGAGAGGTTCCCTGGCTTGACATCACCCACTTGCACCCGTTCGATATTCTCTCAACCCCCCACCTGCGTGTGCTACGTGGTCACCCGAATTTTGGCACGCAACGGCGGAAACTGTTGGTTTGAGCTTATGCTGCATGGGCTGACAAATTATCTCAATACTCGTGCATGCGACTTTTGATGCGACTTTCACCACTGACCATGGCACGCGTTCCAGGACAGCACCTTCATCAGCCAATCTGTGCGGGGAGACCGGGATTGGAACTGTCTGTAATCGTCCCTTATGCTCATGAGCCTTCAGTCTTCTACGTGAACATCGGATTCAGCTTTCCAGCAACCCTCTCCATGACTCTCTGGGGCAGTAAACTCTCATAAACATGACTCACCCACTCACAGCACACGCGTCTTGTGTACGCTGGATCGATGATCTCTTCGATGCCGAACGCATTCGCCGTCCTCACTGGGTTCATGAGCCTATTGTACTCGTCGTCCAGTTCTTTGTATCGTTTGTCTCGCGCTTCTTTGCCTTGCTTCCGCTCGATTTCCTTCAGCTCGAAACTATGCCCAACCTCAATACCTCCTTCAAGAGGAAGTGAGCCCCACACTCCGGAAGGCCAGGCAACACGCATCCTTGGGTCTCTGCAATCAAGCATAATACCGCCCGCAACGCCATACACGCGGCGCACGATGATACTGAAGATGGGCATCGTGGTCGCGTAGTATGTTGCTGCGAGAGTCACGCCGTGGCGCATCGTCGCAGTCCGCTCGGCCACAGTGCCAATTGCATACCCAGGAATGTCAACGAACTGCAGCAGCGGTATGTTGAAGGTGTCGCAGAACTTGAGCATGCGCGTTATCTTTTGGCTGCCGAGCGCGTCGAGGGCGCCGGCATTGACTTCGCAGTTTAGGGAGACGATGCCTACAGGCTTTCCAGCCAAGCGCGCAAGGCCGACGATGGCGGTTGTTCCCCACAGGGCACCGATCTCGAAGAAAGATGAATTGTCGACAACGGAAGAGATGATTGCACGCGGGTTATACATTCGGTTCTTCGCGCGCGGGATAATGGTGCGCAAACCTTCGTCTGCACGATCGATTGGATCTTCGCTCTCAATCACTGGAGGTATCTGGGTTCCGACATTAGGCAGGTAGCTCAGCACCGTCCTCAGTTGCTCAAAACAGCCCGCCTCGTCAGGTGCGAGGTTGTCGATGGTTCCGTTTGTGCAATGCATACTTGGTCCCCCGAGGTCCGTGAACGACAGCCCCTCTTCGAATGTAGCATTTGCGACAACACTTGGTCCAGCGTTGAACAAGGAGCCAATGTTCCCGGCCATCACACTGAAGTGGCATGCTACTACGCGCGCAGCACCAAGACCAATGGCAGGCCCGACGACGGCGCCAAGATTGGGAATGCCCATGTTGAGCTGTGTGACGACTTGAGCAAATGAGGGAAGCGGCGGGACGTAGGAGAAGCCCATCGATCTTATTGTGGTCACCGAACCACCTCCGCTTGAGCCGTCGACGAGCTTGACAATTGGCAGCTTGAGTGCAATCGCAAGTTTCTCCATATATATCTGCTAGCGTTGTCAGCACACCAATCCCTCTCGGTCATCAGGCCCCTTGAGGTGGACTTGCCGTCTTCTCTATCAGCGCGCCGTCGGCATGCCCCGCTCTGATTGAAAAATCATCGGCAGTAAACACTATCTTGCGACCTCTCAGCCGCCCGAAACCCTGTACATTGTTCGACGGTACGTATTCGAGCGGATCTTCGCTTCTCGGCCCTGTCTGCTTCCACTTCACTGTCCCACTGACGCTGCCGACTTCCGTAAAGCTCCCAGGATCCAGCAGTTGTTCGACTCTTTCGCGTACCCACAGTTTGCCTGCAACTTTCTGCCGCACGTAGCCTCTGTTTTTCAGATCGGGAGTGGATGCGATCTTTTGTAGGGCAGTGACCTGGCCCAGGATGTCCGAGTAGTCGGCGGGAAGATATGAGTTTGCACTCTTTCGGCGGCGTTGCCTAGTTGTATTGGACTTCAGAGTGAGGTGTGCGCTGACTTGGGCGAGGCGGTCGGTTGCTGTCGATGAATCCTTGGGCATGTCCTTGGACGCGTCTGCAGGCGTAGGTGGGGGCGCTTTCGGTGTATCGTCGCCGCCAGCCATGATTGCGCAGTCTCCGTTCCAGCCGATGTGAGGGTAGTATTGCTCCAGCAACGGAGCGGTGCACTTGCTCACATGGCGAAGCGGTACGGGAGATTATTGGTGTAGTATGGGGACATCTGGGGTACCGAGGCTCTTTGATGCTCCCCGCCCCGCTCTAACCGAATCCAGCCCATTGCGACTCCACGACTTAGATCTGAACGACCAGCATGCTTTCAAGTATTCTTTGACGTTCGATCTTGACGTCTCAGAGAGTGTGTACACTCGTAACGCTACCTCCTTACATCTTTAAGGACTCTAGTCTTTACACGTCCAATCGTCCAAGTACGATTCTGGAAGCTGAATCGCCGAAGTCACTACAACCCAGCAGGGCGTCCAAAGAGAACATTCCCAAACACGCAAAGCCACTCCAAGATGTCGAGACCACCACCGAGACCGATACAACGTCTCCTCATTGCTAACAGGTACGACTCCCAACTTCCACGTCAAGCAGATGCTGATGCAATTTTTGCAAGAGGCGAGATTGCAACGCGCGTAATATCCTCAGCTCGCGAGCTCGGCATCGAGACATATAGCATCTACGTCTCTGGCGATTCTTCGCACGCCGTGCGAGCTACTCACGCAGTCGAGCTGCAGTCAGCCGCAGATTTCATGGATATCAATGCTTTAATCGGGATTGTCAAGAAACACCAAATTGATGCCGTTCACCCGGGTTATGGATTCTTATCTGAGTCCGATCTTCTCGCAGAGAGGATGTGGGAAGAGGCTGGTGCCATGGTGGTAGGTCCTGGGTGGAGCATTCTAGCGGAAACAGGGGACAAGTTGAAGGCGAGACAGCTTGCTGAACGATGTACCTTCATCCCTGATGTTGCTTGTAAGCCATGCTAATCTTGTCAGGCAATGTTCCAGTATCTCCGGCACTGCAGACCCCCACAGATAATGTGGAGGACGTGCGCAAATTCGCTGCCAAAATCGGGTATCCGATTATGGTCAAAGCCGTTGACGGCGGCGGCGGTCGTGGTATCCGGCTAATTCGGAGTGAAGAGCACCTCGAATCGTCGGTAAAGAGAGCAGTGGAGGAGAGTCCGTCGAAGCGATTGTTTGCCGAAAAGGCAGCCGTGGACGGATTTCGCCATGTCGAGGTCCAAATCATCGGTGACGGGAGTGGCAACGTAACGCATCTGTGGGAACGAGAATGCAGTATTCAGCGACGATATCAGAAGGTTATCGAGATTGCACCGAGTGTCGTTAAGGATCGAGTGCTGATTGCGAGAGTGATCGTGGATGCGTTGAAGATGGCGAGACATGTGAGTTGGACATCTGAGACTCGACTGGAAAGTGCTGATAACAAAAAGGTTCGATACTTCTCCCTCGGTACATTCGAGTTTCTTGTCAACCCAGAAACGAAAGAGCATTACTTCTTGGAGGTCAATCCGCGATTACAAGTCGAACACACGATCACAGAATCCATTTCCGCGACCGACATCGTCAAAGCCCAACTTCTCCTTGCCCAGGGTGCGTCGCTGGAGACCTGCGGTCTGCCAACATCAACGCGTGATCCAGAGGTTCCTCCGCCAGCCCACTCGATCCAGCTGCGCATCACCTCCGAAAACGTCGAAAGCGACTGGTCCCTCTCTATTGGCAAGATCACAAACTTCCGCTTCCCGACTGGAAACGGCATCCGGATTGACACGAGTTTGATCGGCGGATACCCAGCTGTTGTTTCGGCGGACTTCGACAGCCTAATCGCAAAGCTCATCGTTACTGCTTCGTCGTGGGAAGATTGTGTGCGGAAAGCCCAGCGCGCACTGGAAGACACATCCATCACGGGTGTGAAAACAAACATCTCGGTGCTTGGCACAATTGTTGCGCATTGTGATTTCCTAGAAGGGAAGTGCGACACGCAGTGGCTGGAAAGGAGCCAAACAGACCTGCTCAAAGCAAGCCAAAATTTTACTGCATCCTCAAATCCGCTGCTACAAGACTCGACATCCGCAAATTCAGCACCAGAACTGAGCAATGCAAACACTCTCTTCCGCAAAGGTGACGCCTGGTCCCTCACCCTCTCGCCCCAAGGCCAACCCGGAGCCCAGCCAACGCATCACCTCGAACTTACAAAAGTCCTGCGCAACGACTTTCCCACTTCCCTGAACGCAGATGTATTGTTCACCTCCCCTACTGGCTTGACCCCGTATACACTCGCTTTGAACTCGACATCCACCAGCGCATCGGCGACTACCTCCCAACACCCACGCGCCAATCCTTCTGACCCGAGTCACATCAGCATACCATTTCCCGGTAAGCTGGTTGAGGTGCTAGTCGACGAGGGCGATTTAGTGAAAAAAGGTGATGTGGTGTGCGTGGTGCAGCAAATGAAGATGGAGCTTGAAGTGAGGAGTGGCAGAAGTGGGAGAGTGGGGTGGGTGTTCGAGGTTGAGGAGGGTGGGGAAGTGGATGTCGGATGGCTTGCTGCTATCGTTGAGGGTGAGGGGTCGAAGCTGTAAGGGAAGGGCGGCTGGGTCATTCAGATCAATGAGCCAATTCGACATGGTTGAGGAAGAGGCACATGAGACGACTAAGAGCAACAGGATCGCGTCAGTATTTGCTGCACAGTATGCAGTACGATGCTTCCATCTCTTTCCACTGTAACGACTTGTCCTTCTGCGAAAAGATTGCCTCGTTTCCGTGTTGCGTAACAATGAACTCAGCATCATGCCAGACGACAGTGAGTCCACCTTGCTGTTTCACAAGATATATCATCTGGGATACAGGAAACGACTCAATGAGGGAGGGGCATCATCTCGACAGATTAGGCCAGTGCATCGACGCCACAGCAATGAAGGAATTCTGTTCGAGAGCGGACAAGCAGATTTGCAAAGATGGATAAGGCTGATGATGCTCCTTTTCAGACCCGTATTGTGGAGTCGGGCATCAGGTGGAGCAACTCCAGCCGAGCCATTCGGAAGAACCTTCCCCATCCCAAAATTTCCCTTGCGCAAAACGTCTCGAACCCGCAAACATCAAGGCCGCAAATCTTCAAAATGGCCAAACGCAAACGCTCCGAAGCCTCGCCGGCGCTCGCAGACGCGACCCCTGCCGCCGAAAAACTCCTCAAATACCAAAAGAAGCAAGTCCTTGCCCGCCTTACCGCCGCGCAAAAGCCTCTCATTGCAGCGCTCCGCCTCGGCGCAGGCTTCGAACGCCAAAAGCACAGCCGTCGCAAAAAGACTGCGGTACAGAAAAAAGACACAAAAGCGCTCACTCGCCTCGATGACGAGTACCGAGCGCTCAAGGCGCTAGATCTGGAGAAAGTCGCGGAGCAGCATGTGCGGCGGACGATTGCGAAGGTCAAGAGTCTGAAGGACCACGAGGCACTGCCGGAAAGCGTAAAGGATATCGAGAAGGTGGAGAACGATCAGGCGAAGCTTAATGTGCTGGCGAGGCTGTATAAGATTGTGGCGGTAAAAAAGGAGGTCGATGCGCTGATTGACGATCTGAAGGAGATCGTTGGTAGCGCGGGAGGTGCAGTCAAAATGGAGAAGGCTGGAAAGTCGCAGAGCGGAGAGAAGAAGCGCAAGGTGGAGGAGAGCGAGCAGGAAGAGGAGGAGGTGGATATAGTGGATCTCAGCGATGAGGACGGCGTTGCAGCGAGGTTGCTCAATGCACGGATAGCAGCGCCTTCGTCTGGCGAGGAAAGCGACGGCAGTCTCTCTGATAATGAGCGCCCATCGAGTATAGGCGACAGCGACAGTGACAGCGAAGATCCAGGTGCCGACCTCGAAGCACCCAGCGACTCCAACGCCTCATCATTCGGCGGCTTCAGCGCCTCAAATTCCTCAGACAACGCCGTCACCCGCATAGCCCCTCCTTCCGACAAATCAGACTCCGACTCTGCCTCCTCTGTATCCCTTACCACAACAACGAAACCCTCCTCGAAACCCTCCGCCGCACCCACATCATCCACCTTTCTCCCCGGCCTCAGCCATGGAAACTACTTCTCCGGCGATGAATCCGCCTCCGATCTCGACGAGAAACCGCGCAAGAACCGGCGCGGCCAGCGCGCGCGCCAGAAGATCGCAGAAGCAAAGTACGGCGCGAAAGCGAAGCATATCGAGGTAAATGAGCGCAAGAAGGGGTGGGATGCCAAGAGGGGCGCTGTAGATACCGATGGCAAGATGAACAGGAAGGCGAGGAGGGAGGTGGAGAAGGGGCTGAAGGCAAAGGGTGGGAGGGGACCGGTGATCAGTGGAGAGAATGCTGCGCCGTTGGGCAAGAACAGGCTGGGTGGTGGTGATGTGGGACATGGAGGAAGGGGTGTGAGTGGCGCTGGTGCGGCAGGTGCAAGGATGGAGAAGAAGGGGCCTAAGAAGGATGATACAGGGCCTTTGCATCCGTCGTGGGCCGCGGCGAAGGCGGCGAAGGAGAGTAAGAAGTTGAAGATTGATCTCGGCGGGGCGAAGACGGCGAAGAAGATCACGTTCGACTGATCTACTGGATGGTCAGTGGATCGAGACACGCAAGAATTACCAGATACCCAAGAGCTATGGCAGGATTGATTGAGCAAGCGTTTGATATTGGAATGAGTGATTGTGCGTTGGTACTCGGTTCAGACCTAATTCTTACCTTGAGAGCTTCTGAGACATTTTGCATCGCTCAACGACATCGTCGTTTGGGAGAGCAAAGCAGTCGTAGCTGCGCCTGTGAGTGCTGGAGTTGCTATTCTGCCTCTGTTACTCATCCCCACCTCCAAGTCCTCTGGTCATCGATTTCTCACAGAGTGGTTCCTCGCCTAAAGATCAAACCTGCAGTCTTGCATTCGTGACGTAGCGCTTGCCGGTCAAGGTGCCTCGCTCGTCGACCGTCTCGCCTTACCACAGAGACTCAAAATTGTCAGGCGCATGGATCCTGCATGCGCTCCTCGAGTCTAAATCTGGCCTCGTACCCGACTCCCCTTGCCTCCTCTTATTTGCAACCGTCTTGAGTCGCTCCTTCCCCGTCCTAGGTTAAGCGGGTTCTGACGGGCGCTTGCGTACTTTTTATCACGTAGGTAAGTGCACATCTGGGCCCGGCGCCAGTACTTCACGTTCGACTTCCGCAAATTCCGAGGACGCCTCTCAACAACATCAGGGCTTGGAATACAGCCTTGTAGTCGCATTAGACTGTCTGTAAATTGAGGCGAGTTGCACTGCATGTTGACTGGCCGCTCTGCTCACCTCTTCTCAGGGTGACTCTGACGGATTCGAGTAGTTCGCTGGATTGCGGTCTTTCTCGTCCGCAGACTTGGTCTCCAGGGTGAGCATGCGGACTGAAGCTACACTCTAGGGCGTACTCGGGTTCAAAGGGCGTTCTTGAGAATCAACTTGAGTCCTAGCAAAGACTCGACTCGATACTGCGATCAACTCGCGGCAGAGATTATTTCGGCACAAGAGCGTTCGAGTCCATTTAAAGATGTCGTAGTTGCTGACTCGAGAGAATTCGACGAAAATCAACTGAATCATTTGTCCAAGTGCTTGTAAACGCTCGCCATGCACAGGGCCTTGCGAGCCCCATCCCCATATCGGGTGCCGCTCTCGTGACGGTCAACGTTCTACTTACTTCAAGGCTGTCCTCTCAACATCTTCCATGTCGATTGCACATCATCACCGCGTGAAGTAAATTGGGGTCCAATCCAGCCATACCAACCCTGTCTCCTCTACTTCCTCGAAGCTTGCCTTGCTGGCTGAGATCGTGCCTTACAGTGGACGCTGCCTTTCCAGGCTACCCCGAGCGCCTTGTCAGCCGCAGCGCGTCAGCAAGCAATTAATAATTGTCAAGACGGGATTTCAACCTCTCAGATCTTCGCTTCAAGGTTCCTCGAAGAAAGGGACGATTGATATTGAGCTCGAAGGGCTCGGAAGAACAACTCACAAGGTGACAGGAGGACATGCAGAATGATGGAGTCACGGATTAACTTTACCATAATTACTCTTAGAAGATCCGGATTCTGTAAGGAAGGTGCGTATGTTGCAGTATCACAGCGCCAGCAAATCAGAGAGAACACATAGTCATATATCTCTGTCGATCAGGAAACCTTGCAATACTGAACAATGCAGTAGGTAGAACTCTTGCGGAGGCTTACTTATCCACAACATCTGACTCACTTGCCAAGAAACTCATTAGAGACAAAAAGAAAGATCCGAGGTCGTACTGCGATTATGTCTTATTTAACAATGCCATAGGGGCTGTGTTCTTGCGAATCTGATCGCTGAAGAACCATAGACGACTACTTGCAACATAACACTACCCACACTCCCGCATCCTGACACATCACATCCCTTCGTAGTCTGTCTCCAATGTTTACAAGTTGGCGTCGATGAAAGAGCGGAGAGTGCCAACGCGAGCGTAAACACCAGGCTTGCCAGCCGCAGCGCAGCCCTCACCCCAAGAGACAAGACCGATGAGAGTCTTAGAAGAGTTGACAATGGGACCTCCAGAGTCACCCTGGCAAGAGTCCTTGCCACCAGCAGTAACACCGGCACAGAACATGTTGTCGGTGATCTCGCTGACGGAGTAGTTGTTGCGGCAGGTAGCGCGAGAGACAACGGGTACATCAACCTTGCGGAGCGTGGTGGGCAAAGAGGAGCCGCCCGAGGTCAGGGTTCCCCAACCGGCAACGGTAGCGGTGCTGCCGGAGGTGGGGTCGGAGCCAGAGGCGGCCAGAGAGGCATAACCGATGGTGCTGCTGGTGGGGATGGAGGTGGCGAGCTTCCAGATAGCGACGTCGTTGTTGAGTGTGGAGCTGGAGAAGCTGGGGTGCACCGTGAGGGAGGAGACTCTGACGACGGTTCCACCAGAGCTGCGGTCCTAACAATTGTCAGTATCAGTTCTGGTGACTTGAGATCTGAGATGCTTACCAGGCTTCCAGCACGGACAGTGAGGGAGGAAGCAGTCTGGCCGACAGTGCAGTGAGCGGCAGTGATGACAGTGTTGGCGTTGAGGAGGGAACCACCGCAGAAGTGGGAGCCGCTTTGCTGCAGAGAGACGATGAAGGGGAAGTCGCCAGCCGCAGCAACAGTGCCACCGACGATGTCGGAGTCCTGAGGAGTAGGCGCAGCGTTGACTGCGGAGGCCAAGAGGCCAGCCATCATTGCCTTGTACTGCATCTTGACGAGGTGCTCGGGAGTGAGGGTAGTGAGTGTTGGAAGAGTATCTGCGAGAGGATGATTCTTTGGAAGAGGTAACGTCCACCATCTTTATAGTCCTGAGGCGAAGCTGTACAGACAATCGTGGCCTTTCTCGACCTTCCTGTTCGGCGGCGCTGATAGCACCTAGAATGCCAAGCTGGTGTTGTTCACTGTCCTTCCAGATGTAGTCAATTCGGGACTTGGCGAAGACTAAACAGATCATTCTCCCGCTGGTGAAGCTGTTATCTGATGCAGTCTCATGTGCAGATACACGCAGCGAGAGCTAAAGAGGAAGCTCCTGTGGAGCACCGCGTTCACACAACGTCATTAATTCGCCTCCGGCTGCTCTACTCGGCGGATCGGTGCGACCTAGCAGTGCTACCATTACTGAGAAACCTAGGGACCCCAGCGTGGTATGCAGGGCCAGAGAGTCTTCGCCAGCTCGTTCTCCGGGGAGTTTTCTGATTCGTGCAGAGAAGCCTCACTGGGGCGGATTGCATGTACGACAGATTGTACAACATGAGTCTTGACTGCAGATCTACTTTTTCAGAGACTGGCGAGCTTTGGACCCGCTGCAAATAAGAAATCGTACAGCGCGTAGATGTTGCGTTTGTAGAGAGCAGCTCGACTCTGATTGGATAGATTGAACGCGCGCTGAAACAGCATCGCTATACGCGAAATTAAGCTTGAAGATCTGCCGGCAAGCAACGGGATACCCTTGTAGTCGTGCGCTCGGTATCCTAAAGGTAAAGTGAAGACGCCAACCCACCTGCCGCAAACGATCGTGCACGTGGTTGTTGTAGATTACTCCGGTGCTTGGCAAGGTGATACGAGGCGCGGTCTTTAATCTCTATGCTGCCGAATGAAAGACATGTCCGCTGCTTGGTGGTCTTGGCAGTTGAGTGAGTACCTGGAGTGCCGCCGGCTCTACGACTGATCAGGCAATGCATAAGCAATGCCAAGCTAGGCTTCGCGATAATCTAACAGTCCGCCGAGGCGTCCGCCAACGCTAATCATTACCGGTGTTGGCAGGTAGCGTCGCTGTGCTATGATTGGCTCCCTACTTCCTGTAAATCGCATGTGATGGCGGCTGTGGACGATCGCCCCTATCAAAAGACCACCAGCAAGTCTCTGCCCTCAAACGTCTCCCTGTGACCACAGTTCCCACCCGATGCTGATAGATTTCGAGCGCGCATTCGTCTTCCTGTCTACAGTCAGCCTTCCGAGACTCCTGTCGTCACCCTCTCTCGACAACATGGACAGCCTAGAGACACCCTTCACGATAGAGCTGAACGGCTCGCCTATCGAGATTGTAGGCAACAACGTAGAGGACAAAACACAAGCCAAGTGTGGATCGGAAGCAGCTGTGTTCACACTTCAGGATGGCCGCCTACAACACGGTAACTGGGTACTTGGCAGGAATAGAACAGAGAATCGAAGCATGCTGCCAAAAGAAGTGTACTGGTTCAAGTCCGGCGACGATGTTGACAAGAGAGTCAAGCCAGTCGCGGCGCACAAGGATGGCGACACTATCCAGCTGAAGTTTGACGGTTCCCCCTTGATGTTGGGAGACGATAAGGTCTTCACAGATCTTCTTGGAGGTAGGTGACGTTACAGATGGCGGTTTTCGAAGCTGACATGGTGCAGACGACAAGACCGAAGTCGTGGTGAAATTGCAGTCATGAGTACGATACCAGACCAGCGAATGATGTCGAAATATTGCCATATCAGCGTTAGTATGATGTTCCTGAAGGGATACTGTTTACAATGAGAAATTTGTCGTATTAACTGACGCTGGTATTCGATCCCTGGTTGTGCCTCGTTACTGCGTTAGTATCTTCTTCGTGTCTTACGGCACCCGAGGGCCATTTGAAGAGCTGTTCGTAGCCACCGCAGCCGCACTCTCCAATTACTAGGGCGTTGAGACTTAGATAGCGTCGTCGCAGTATCCATGGGAGAGATTCTAACGGTGAAAAAGGAAGCAGGGTTGGTGATGAAATATTGTGGCATTGATGGGCAAGGGCGTGTTCGACGACTCCTGCCCGACTCGGAGAATGAGGCCAGCGCGACGCTAGCCGAATTCCCTCCGCCGCCTCCATTCCGCCCACTTTCACATGCTCGCCATACGAACACTTCGGTGGCAGTCCCGTCTGCGTCGACATGCAGCATGCTGATAAGACGCCGCGGTTGCTCAGAAAGCTTCTTTGTTCACTACTTTGTCTTACAGCTTCACATTATAGCGCACAATGTGCCGATCGTCGATCGATATCGTATTGTAATGTTGCTCCGATATGGCTCCATTTCGATCTCTCCGCCGGCCTGTTCGAGGCTTCGAGCCTGCTGTCGACATTGGTGGATCCTTCCCCCCAGCACATTGCTCACTGAATGCAGGTCTAGTGGCGAAACCCGCCCGACGGAGATTGCTTTCTAGCGCGAGATTAACAAGGCAACGGGGAGAGTTCAAGGATAGTTTATCATCGGAGCGAAGCAGCATGTAACGTAATCGTGAACGTGGGAAGTAAATGGCTTGGTGGGGACGTTAACTGATCGCGTGATTCTTGGCACAGCTGCGCGATTGCAATGTGGGTTCATGTAACACAAGTTTGCGACATCAAAGGATAAAGGAGACATACTAAGTTCAGTATTTCCAGGCCGACAGATCGACTGCTGTTACCACGGGCATCGAGACAACGTACTGTCATGCACGGGTCATCGGGCTGGGGCAGTTCATTTCCTACGTTGGAAACAATGCGAATGCTCTCTGCAATACATTTGACTGCTTCCCGTTGCTATGAATATTATCACGGACATGATGCAAGAGATGGATCAAAGTGCAGCGACTCAGGCCTACGTGAGCGGTATGAAAGAAGATTTGGCACTATTTGGCGACGAGCTGAACCGGCTCCAAATGTACTCCTCGATTGCATAAGCCATTTCCATCGTGCTCTCGCAGATGCTACGAACTAAGCAGCACTCATATCCTTGGCTTCAATCTGCTGAGATCGCCTGGGAGATCTTGACTTTGCTTCTGTGAACACTTTGGCGGCATGACCGCAATCAAGACATGCTGAAGCTGAATGATCTTGATAGGTAGAGAGAGTTGAGTAAGAAGTGATCAGATTCCTCTGCCGAGCTGTTCACGAAGGCAGCTGGCTCATATACTACTGATCCACCTGAACCGGACTAGCTCACTCCAAACGTTGTTCCGGAGCGATCCGCTGCCCCTCTCAATCCACATCTGCTGTGACAAGACAACCCCCTTTTTCCAAAATAACGATGGTTTTATTCTTTGTCTGAAGCCTTGTCCAAGTGTGGTTCGTCTCTCTCATGGGCCGAAACTCTGACTTCCGTTGTTCTCTTTATCTTAGCAACACCACCGAGAATGAACTCCTCGCTGCCTACTTGCTCAGATGGACCGTATATGTGTGTTGTTCGATCGACACCACTCCCGAGTGGGACCGATCCGTCTCGTGTGCCGCGACTGGGCTTCAAGGCGTACAAGGATCGCGAACGACTGTAGCCAGTAGAGCTCTTCTGTGTCTTCTCGGCGTAGTATTTGAACAGTGGTGCAAGCGTCGGTATCGAAGCCACTATCAGTAGTCTATCAGCGTCTGCTCCCAGTGAAGCCCAGCAGTCCTTACCGATGATCCCCAAGTTGTTCTCGACAGATGACCACAGGATCAAACTTGCAGAGTCGAGATAGTTCGCAAGATTCTTCACGGTCTGGATGCGTATGACTTGGATGACTGTAATAAATATGCCGAGGGCAAGAAGACCCAAGAGGGCAAGCTTCTTTCGCATTTGAATGTGACTCCGAAGTAGGACTGGGAAGGGCAGGAGCATTCTGTTTGTGTCAGTCGCGTTCTCTAGAGCCAGAATTGATTATACACTTACACAGTGATGTCGAAAAGGATCGTGAGCGAGGCCATGCTTGTATAGAATGGTACAGCCGGCAAGCATTGGCCCCAGGTGATCTTAGGATCCCATTGCTTCGCAGCCTGGTAACGTGTTAGCGAGGCATCTTACCTTGGCCGCTTGAGTACTGACCGGCTGGCAGAGATTGATCTGCACCAGGAGGAACGAGAGGTGGAAAAGAACGCATCCGATGATGACTGTGATCGTTGCTGTGCGCGCGGCACCTTGTGTCATAAAACGAAGATAAGACATCAGAAGACTCATTTTGAACCCGAGGATGCTTGTGATGTAGCTGGAGACATGCTCGTTAGTGCAAATCAGGAGAGGTCGGAGGGGTGTGGGTTTACAATGGCGCCCCTATGTATTGTACCTGATGCTGTCAGCTATTTTCTCCTCTTGTACGCGAAAGGAACCGCACCAGTCCGAAGTTGTAGATGTTCTCGACTGGCATATCATCCAGGTGCTTCAATCCGAGACCCCATTTGGTTTCTGAAAAGGTGAGCTTGATGAGAAACTGTAGTCACGACCACGCGCGCTTACGAACAATGGACACCACAGCGAATCCGCATGCCGCTAGCTGCTATCTGTCAGCTACACAATTCTTATGGTGGTAGCTAGTGGCGTTTACCCAAGTGATGATGAGGACGTAATCATCTGAAAGTGTTAGTTCGTGTTGCCGCACGGAGGGTGAACTATGGAGAGTCACTTACCAGCGCCAACAGCTTTGATCATATACCCACGAACGTAGAACCGCAGCAGTAACATCGCAAGTGACGTCGCTGTGAACACAATGGCCACTGTTGTGATCTGTGGCCCATCGTTGGGAACGTTGTCTGAGGTATTGTATGTCCAGCCCATGGCGGCAGAACAGTCGAAGTACAGCGGTCGCTGTTACGCTCGAAAGAATCTACCTCCCTCTTAACTCTCGCTGGGACATCGAATGTATCAGAGTCACAGATTGGTCGAGCGACCCTGCCGACCCGGTGCTCAAGACACTGAATCGAACGTGCTCGACCCGCATGATTCTCAATATCCCTTGATCAGATACGACATTTATAAAGCCTAGTATATGGCGATTGGGTATCCCACCCGTCTTGCTGATCGCTTCGTTGGTAACTTCGCCGCTTCTTCGGTGCCTTAGTGAAAGCTACTGCATACTCAAGCATACTTCACATTCGTCATACCAAGCGAGGTCAGACGAGCTGCATATATTATGTCAAGTGCATACCTTTGCTACTGTTGTGCTTGGTACTGGTATCAAAGCACAGCCTGAAGTCCAACTGCTGGACGGGCCACACCTCCGCTGATGAGTAGGATGAATGCCGTCCCGTCTAGCCCAGCGTATGAACGGTAAACGCCACACTACTGATACCGATTGGGCGAGTACACTCTCGCTCCGTGCCGCGCAGTTGTCAGCGGGACCCTTTCACAACCACTAGCGTGTGCACGTCGGCCCGGAACCCTGGCGTATCTGTCAGAAGGAGACTAGGATATGATCACCTGACATAATGTCTACAGATGCATGTTGCGATTGTTCTCTACCATGGTCGAGCGATCAACCGTAAAAGTATCGGGATTGCGACGTTGACGAGACGCTGCGCAATAGTTGTTGACGATTGAGGAAGATGTGTCCCTACTCACTTGCCACAGTACTACGCTTCCGGTACCGGTACCGCCAGGATGGATAAGGCGCAGCCAAGCTCTTTCCAGGTTCAGCACCGAATGACTGGGAAGTTGCGCCCGGAGATTGGTAGACGAGTGCGCTGATGACCTTTGACGGAACGCCTAGCATTTGCTGGCCCGAATCGCTAGTAGCATTGTCGCCGCCTCGAGGGGACTCCCGCGGCTGCAAGGTTCCTACAGATGAGATACCGAATGTATAAATTGTCACGGTTCGAGGTTACTTGCTTACCAGCAGGGTATCACAATGCGGTTCATCGCCATTGGTCTCACGCTTTTTGGCGCTGCTCTTGTCAACGGCCAACCATCCACCCAATGCAAGACCTTTCCTGGAGACAAGGCATGGCCTTCTAAGACCGAGTGGGATAATTTGAACAGCACCGTGGGTGGACGACTTATTGCAACTGTTCCGCTTGGTGCGCCATGCCACGGAGCGTCTTTCAACAATGCGACTTGCGAGAGCTTGAAGGCGCAATGGCAATCCGAGAAGATTCAGTGTGTACATACCGGCTTCTCTCAAACGTGATTTTGACGGCGATTAGCTATGAGTCTTCCTCGTCGGTCATGGCACCGTTCTTTGCGAACCAGAGCTGTGATCCCTTCCAGCCACGAGCGCGCCCATGTGAGCTCGGCAACTATGTCCGATACGCAGTCAACGCCTCTGGGCCAGCAGATGTCCAGAAAGCAATCGCTTTTGCGGCATCCAAAAACATCCGCCTTGTTATCCGCAACACAGGCCATGGTAAGTCTTTCAGCGCGACATTGTATCCCATAGTTCCTCTGACTGATCGTGTCAGACTATCTGGGTCGCTCCACAGGCGCTGGCTCACTCGCTGTATGGACACATCACCTTAAGAACATCACTCACGTTCCCGCCTACAGTGACTCAGGGTACAGTGGTGCAGCGTTTAAGCTCGGTGCTGGTGTTCAGGGTTTCGAGATTATGGCAGCTGCCCGTGATAAGGGTCTCGTAGTCGTAGGTGGTGAGTGCCCGACCGTCGGTATCGCTGGTGGATACACACAAGGAGGAGGCCACTCGGCGATCAGCACAAGTTTTGGACTCGCCGCTGACAACGTGTTGAGCTGGGACGTCGTCACAGCCGACGGCAAGCTCGCTGTTGCCAGTAAGGAGCAGAACGCTGATCTCTACTGGGCCCTGAACGGTGGCGGGGGCAGCACATACGGTGTTGTTGTCTCGATAACTGTGAAGGCTCACAAAGAGGCTGTGTTTGGTGGAGCTTCTTTGTCTTTCTTCACCACCGACAACGCCCAGGACGTCTTTTACGATGCGATCCAAGCATTCCACGAAGAACTGCCCGCGATGGTTGACGCAGGTACTATGGTGGTGCACTACTTCACCACGTCATTCTTCATGATCTCACCGCTCAACGCTTACAACAAGACTGCGGCTGAAGTCCAGACGATACTCGCACCGTTCGTTGCCCGACTTGATGCCAAGAAGGTCAACTACACCGCCGCTTACAGCGAGTTCAACACTTACTACGAGCACTACGACAAGTACTTCGGTCCTCTTCCCCTCGGCAATATTCAAGTTGGCATTGCACAGTACGGAACGCGCCTGGTCCCGCGCAGCATAGTCGGTAACATTACTGCGACCTGGAAATCGATCGTGGAGAAGGGCGTCACCTGGATCGGTGTTGGAACAGATGTGGGGTCGTTCGGCTCGGAGACGACAACTTCAGTGCACCCAGCCTGGAGAAATGCCATCGTGCATGCCACGCTCACACTTCCCTGGAACTTTACGGCTCCATGGTCCGAGGCTCTGGAGACGCAACAGAAGATGACTAATGTCATTATGCCCATTGTCGAGGCCGCAACACCAGGGAGTGGTTCGTACGTCAACGAGGCCGACTTCAACCAGAAGAACTGGCAGACAACGTTCTGGGGTGACAACTACAGCAAACTGCTGAGCATTAAGCAGAAGTGGGACCCCTCAGGCCTCTTCTACGCTACCGTAGGCGTGGGCAGCGAGGCTTGGGTCGTTCAGAACGATGGGCGCATGTGCCAAGCAAAGTAGAACGAAGCACAAAATGATAGGTACCGGTAACTACCGGTACCGCTAATCGGTGTTCCGACGAGTCGGTGACATGAACTCCTGCAGGCCCAACAATGCCACGCGATTTTGAATATCTCCTCGCCGTTCGGTTCTTCGGCCCCGAGAACGAGAACGAGGGAAAAAAAAGTTGTTCGAGTATTTCCAGCAGTTTGGTCACTCATTTCCGACTTGCAGGTCGAGAAGAGCCTGGGTGTGACTGTGGCGCTTCCTCGGCGGTCCTTCGTGAAAAGTGGCATGAGGTGGCAGCACGAATCATGCGCAGAACAGCCAATGAGTATGCGCATCCTCCCGAGCTGTGATGCGTAGAGTTAGCGTGGTGTCGCTGGGCTCGTTTGGCTGCGAAAGGTGAGAATCGTGGGATGGTGTCGGAAGAAATCTGGCCGCCAAATATTTGGCAGAACAATCCTCCAGCCTAAGACATCATCTTGCCGTATGATCCTGCGCGTCCTTGTCCTTAATTCCACGTCTCTGCTTCACGATTCAGGTTGCAGAATCCTTCGAAACTGCAGTTTCTGCTCTATTAACGTACGACAAACGTTATGTACGAACTGCCTTGAAGGCGGTGACTGCAACATGTCCAACACCAGCAGCCTATGGACTCATGATATCTTCGAGCGCGCGTCCTGGATCATATCGAACGGCAGTCGCGAATTAGTCGCGCATGCAGGGCGACCCGCGTCCAATCAGCATTGAGCGGTTCGTCTTTCGACATCTATCTGTCTGCCCTCGTGGCTTGCCTTGCACCAAGCCTCATCCAGCGGTACGACATTGATTGGGTCAAGAATGGGCCACAGGCGGGTCGGCTCATTATCTTGTCTGGATCATCAGATCCGCGACCACTCCGCAACGGTGCGGCGCGGAAAAACTGCGGATCTTCCGCTCATACGACGTCGGTGTTTCAATCACGCTGCCTCCACGCTGGCTCGAGTGTCTAGCGTCTTTTCCCTTGTCGCTGAGACTCTAAGTGACTGGCAGGTCCTGTACACGTCCACTGTAGTTTGTGCACCCATGTCTGCTAGCAAACAGGGTCTTTTAGGTGATGTTCGGCTTCACGCACTTGCAAACATAGCCACAAAAGCTTCGTACCTGCTTTGCCGATTGGCTGAATTTGGCGCTAGACACCCGAGTCGAGGGTGAAGGAGTATCTACGACCCCATCCTGCGAAACATACGCCTTTCCGATTTAGAGGTAGGTTGGGTACGTACAACTCAGACTTGACGGAGAGCGCCTTCCTTGCCGAAGGCTTCCGTCGTAACCGAGACATGCTTGGATACGATGATTCCCCCCTGCGGTCGCTGGGACTCGGCCGGAGAATGCAGGTGCTGCATCTTTATGTCGTTTTCTTCGATGATGCGTTCCTCGCTCTCATTGTCAAGGTTTATGTTCGCTGAGATCCGGGCTCCACTCCACGGACTCTTGTTGGCATGGCTCGAAGCACCTCCACCGCCAATGGTTACAAACCCGCTACCCGGTGTTTTATATGCCTTGTTGCTACTAGAGCGCAATGTGCTAGGCAGGAATGGTTGCAGCCATATCTTGAGTAAGGGAAAGATCATTGGCAGGTTCGTGGTCAGGACCGCGACGAAGGTCTCCCTGGTACCCCATTCGGCCGCCAGTGCTCCACCATCGATAGGGTCCTATGGCGAAGTCAGTATATGGTCAAGCTCTATCCTCAAGGTAATAGACTCTGCCATCCACGGCACACGACAGTCGCAGGACAACCATGGCGGTACTCACAGTGATAACAAAGATGCTTTTCAGCGTCGCACAGATGATAATCAAGAGGCCAGCAGAGAGCACCAAGGTGGCAGCTACCTTCTTGTACAGCCGTAAACTCGAATTCCACAGCATTGGGACGGGTATCATGAACAAAAAGATATCTGTGGACACATTCGTGACGAACGTTACCCAGACGATGGGCTTCGATATTGCTGGTTGGCAAGAGTTTCCAGGGTTTGGCGATATCTGCCAGTAGTGGTTGAGTGGCCTACACGACAGGAAAATGGTCAATACGACTACCACAAATGTGGTCGCAATGAAACCCATCGCGACGCTGATGCGCTTCTGGTATGTGCTCAGGCCGCTCTGCACGATCGACATCAGCGAAACTTTCCGGAGACCCAACAGAGGCACCTACCGTGAGCCGATAGTAGAAGACCGCGACGCACAGCTTGAGCGTCCAAAGCAAGCAGAGTGCTGTTGTCCAACCCGCCAACTGGATTTTGGATCCGATGACTCTGCGTTTGATGTCAGACATTCGACGCTCGATATACCGTCCGCTCCCGGGTGGAAAATATGAAAGTGACTTGGCGTACCTCCATCCGTATTCCGGGTCGTCGTGCGAGAGCGCACTTCTTTGAGCATCCGTCATGCCATTGTTCGCGAGACCGTGAGAGGCAATCCCAACATTGTATCCGAGAATCGTCTGAGCCGTGTAGAGGAGCTGGAGAATGGAGTCAGTCAAGGCGTAAGGAGGGGACCAGACGGCCGATGGACACGTACCAAAGCGAGCCAGATCAAATAGTCATCAGCGCGAAGCTCACGATAGCCAACAGCCGACACCCTTGCATAGGTCCGGAGGAGAGTGACAGCTACCCCAAACGCATACAGCGTCCATAGCTCCACAGAAGTAGCGGGCATACTGGTGGTCCCGCGGAATCGGTGTGTCGTCGATCACCGGATGGATTGAAGAGGCTCATCCAGGAACGAGGGAGATTTTGACATCGATGGCCTCGCATGACTTGCTTGTGCGGCCTTGCGTTCGGCCTGAAAAAGGAAATACATACCTATCCAGTACTGAACTCGATGCTGGACTATAGAGACCCCACTTCGAGACAGCGCGCCTAACTCTAAGAGCCTCAGACCCCTGCTCCTCGTATGCACAAGCCATTGCACGTGCACGCGGCTAGATGGCAGGCTCAGCAAACGGATGTTATCTTTCCCAAGGCCTGGAGGCCTACGTGCAGCGTTGATCCGGGAAGCCTAGTTTCGGCAGCATGGACTCATTCGAGGTAGCCTTCCATCGCGGGTGGTGCATACCTTAGTGCCTTCTCGGGTCAGGCCCTTTAAATTAAACGTGTAGACGTCTCAAAGCGCCCTCTGCACTCCTGAGCGACATCCACTTGTTGGCAGTATGTTCACACGATTCATTGCCCCGTCGGCTGTCGCTGCTTGGACATTGGCCTCAGTGCTGTCCGGTGTCGCATGTGGACCCACCTCTCATGATGTGTTCCCGAGGACGTCCGCGGCAGGCATCGATCTCAAATCTCTCGCATCTCAGCTCTCAAACACTGCTCAGGTCTACTACGAGGGTAGCGAGCTATTTACAGCGTACACCGTGCGATGGTCCAACCTGTCGCCTCCAACGCCCAACGTGGTCATCGCCCCGGGAACAGAGGATGATGTCTCCAAGATTGTATGGGCTCGATTTTCATCACACAGCGACCGTGCTAACGACCTGTCTCCAGGTCAAGTTTGCCGCTGACCAGGATATTCCAATCCTTGCGTACAATGGGCACCATGGATCATTGACCAGTCTTGGCAAGATGGACTTTGGCATCCAGATCTACATGCCCCAACTGAACTCCATCTCCATCTCCAAGAGCACGTCCTCTGTCACCATTGGCGGAGGCACAAACAGCAAGAAGGTCACTGACACCCTCTGGGCGGCCGGAAAGCAGACTGTCACCGGAACATGCGAATGCGTCAGCTATCTGGGGCCCGCGTTAGGCGGCGGCCACGGCTGGCTGCAAGGCCACCACGGCTTGATCGCGGATCAGTTCGAGTCCATGAACATTGTCACTGCTGATGGTAAACTGCAAACCATCGACTCCAACTCGGATCTCTGGTGGGCTATGCAGGGTGCCGGACACAACTTCGGTATTGTCACATCTGTCACCTCGAAGGTCTACGACATTCAATACACCGAATGGGCCATTGAGACCATTGTCCTCAGCGGCGACAAAGTCGAGGAGATCTACAAGGCCGCCAACGAGGTCTTTATCAACAACGGCACTCAGAGTGCCAAGATCCACAACTGGTCGTACTGGCAGAACGACGCAACACTCGACGCCGACAAGCCCGTGATCATCATGTACATCATCCAGGAAGGCGTGACATCCGTGGACGCGCAGTACACCGCACCCTTCCACGCTCTCCAGCCATTGAAGACAACGCCGCAATCTGGAACCTACCACGACCTCGCGGCCTGGACCGGCATCGCCATGGACTCACCGCCATGCCAGGACTTCGGCTTCAACAACCCGCGCTTCCCCATCTACACACACGCGTACAACACCACCGCGCAGAAACAAGCATACGACGTCTACGCGGCCGCCGTCGGCGGCGCGGACTCGCCCTACACAAACTCTATCTTCATGTTCGAAGACTACGCGTCCGTGGGCGTGCGCGCGCGCAGCGCCGACGCATCTGCGTTTGCGTTCCGCGACGCGCAGATCCTCGCTGCGCCGCTGATTATCTACGGGTCCACGGGCGCCGCGGAGGACGCGAGTGTCAAAGCGCTCGGTAACGAGCTGCGCGACATCATCCGCCAGGGCACTGGCAGCGAAGAGCTGCATATTTACGTCAACTACGCGTATGGCGACGAGGGCAGCAAGAGCTGGTACGGCTACGAGGATTGGAGACAGGAGAAGCTGAGTGCGCTGAAGGAGAAGTATGATCCGCGGGGAAGGTTCTCTTTCTACGCACCTATCGCTTAGCGATGTTAGTGTTAAGCGGGTGGTAATGCCGGTATGTGTGATGTTGAATGAAAGTTATGACCCCATGATCCGCACCTAGTATTGGCATATGGACGAGCAGGGCAGTGGTTCTGTCGTGTTCTCGTGACGAACAAGCAAGCTGATGTGTCCCACTTGCCAGAGGCTTCAACCCATGGATAGACTCGCGGCAACATGTACCGGGGCGTTGCTTGAGTTTGCTCCGGTGGACCGTGGCAGCTTCGAACGAAGTTCGTTCGCACGATATCTTCGTCGGATCAGATGAGGAAGAGCGAGCTGCTAGGGGATGATCGAGTCAAGCACCCAGGCTATCTCGTCCGAGTCTCCGAAGTGTGCAGCGCTAGAAGTCCGCACTTCGAAATCCGCGAAGCTCAAAACAGAACCTTAGAAGGTGTCGCGAGTGCACCGCTTCCTGCTCGACCATCGGAGCAGAGGTAAGCGCAGCTCAGACTCGCTCGTCCCTCGCTTACACTTTCCTCACAACCCACACCTGCGCCTTGTACGCATTCCTCACCAGCGCCCTCGGATCGAACCCATACTCTGCCTCCATCCACCTTACCTTCCCCCTCCCCCCCTCCTCGCCCTCAAAACTCAGCGCCCCGCACTGCCCCCCCACGTCCTCGAACTCAAACCCCATGGCTTCCACCACAGCAACGATCTCGTCGAGACTGAGCTGCACAAGCGGCGCAGTCCCATACAGCAGCGGGCCAAGATTAACCCAGCGGCCACCCGGCGCGAGCAGGCGGTGAATAGTATCGAAGTAAGCGACGAGGTTGCGGGCCGTGTCGATGAAGAAATGCGTCACGACCACGTCGAAGGCGGCTTGTTGGTCGTTGAAGGCGGTGTTGAAATCGCCCTCGACGAGCAGCACGTCTGGGTTTGGAGGCGCGTTTGGCGCATCCACACGGCGTAGTAGATTTGCTGTTGTGCTGTGGTGCGAGAGTGCGTCGACGAAGGGGTGGAATGCGAAGTGCTGTGCGGGCGTGGAGGTCAGGAAGCGGTACGCGATGTTCATGGCCATGCTGTACTCGTTCAGCGTGACTTGGAAGCGTCCTAGATTCGCTATTTCGGTGCCGAGGCGGCCGAGGCCGGACCCGGGGAGCAGGATTCTGAGGCGTGGCGAGGCGGCGGGGGGTGCGAGGGCGGACAGCGTGGTGAGGATGCAGGGAAATGCGTCGTCGCGCTCTTTGGAGCCGTCGTCGGCCCAGTCGCGGACGAAGTGCTTGAGGGTTTGGCTGGGGCCGATGCGGTCTGCCACTCTCCCTGCTTTCTCTGCGTCTTTGATGTGCGCGGCCAACTCTTTCTGCTCGATGCCGTAGAACGTCGTGGCGTAGTCCACGATAGCATTGCAAAGGACTTCATTTTCGTAAATCTGCTGCTCTATATTACGCAATTTCCTCTTGTAGTCCACTGCTTTCTCCAGCATCTGTGCGTATCAGCATCGATCGACACACGACTCCAGCCCTGCCTGTGTCGAGAGTCAGGTTCGAAACGTACTTTCTTGTGCGCCCTGCCCACCTTCCCATACCTCGCGCGCCACCTATCTAGCTCCGCCATATTACGCTCCCGATACTTCGCGAACCCGTACAGAGCCTCCAGCAGTCTATAGCGCGGATGCGCCGTGTTCCAGGTCCCGTGCTTGCGGCTCATGCGCTTCATCAAATGCGCCTTTTCACGCCGATGTCGCAGCGGTTCGCCTGTGGCCATGGACCCCATGTGCAGCACATCTTGAGCGGCAATGTCAGCATCGCCGTGGAAGAGTACAGCGTCGGCAGCAGCGGCAGCAGCGGCGATGTCTGGTGCTGCTGGGGCCGTGCTCAAGACCCCTGTCGCGCCTGCGAGAGTGAGGCTTGCTAGGAGCAGCACGCCTGACGCGATCACCGGCCTCATGTTGGGTGATTCCAGTGATTTACGACCGATGGTCTGCCTGCTCGGTTGGAACTATTGATGCAGTTCATCGTTCGGGGTCGCTGAGCACCGTGATGGCGCCAAGCGACTACCGGTGAAGCTTTTCTGGGCAACTGAGATCCCTTCGAAGTCATCGAGGCGTGAGTGTCATTCTGGAGCAGGATCCCAAGGTCCAAGTGAAGCGTGGCCTAGTCTGTAATTACCTGCTTGACCATCGGCAGCCCAGCCCAGCAGCCCGGAGAAACTGCAGTCATTCCGACATCGAGCAGCGTGTCGTCTGTGTGTGTTTGTCTACGGCACCCTACCTCGCTGCATTAGTCATCTCACGTACACAACACACAGCAACGCAGCATAAGTAGAAGCACGAAGTTGCTGAAATCTATCATCTCTGAAACATCGCGTGTCACCGCTCGTGACCACATGCGTGGGTATACCTGCGCCTCGAATATCGAAACGCCGAAATGCAAGCGCTCCCAGGTGCTGAAAGGGCACAAATGAAACGAAATCGCCGTGGTGTGGAAGAAAGGAGAATGCAACTACAAGTTGCCAATAACCACCATGAACCTCAACTTCCCGTCGCCCTTCTTAGGGGGACTCGATCCCAGCGCGGGCGGAGAGTCGTCTGCAGTGCCGTTAATGGCAACTTCGTCGAGCATGAGCGTGCTGCTCTTCCATCCCCAGCTCTGGCTGAAATTGAACTTATCCGGAGCGCTCTCGTAGATGCTCAGCATGCGACCGCCCTTGGACGGACTGTAGATCTTAAAGTACGTTTTGATGGTAGGGCGGCCGTCAACGTACGGTGGTAGAGTGGGCATGCTGAGACGGGGTCGGCGGGCGAGGGGCGTGAGAGAGGGGTTCGTGTAAATCGAGTCTAGCTCGTCTTGGTCGTCTGAATCATTGTCGTCGTGATGCGAGTGTCCGAATGCAGATGAGATGGGCGTGTCGAGATTCCCCGCATCTGGGGGGGATGTTGCGAGAGTGTGCAGACCACGGCTAGAGAGGCGGGCGATGGGCACGCTTCGACGACGACCCAAGCCACTGCTCGACAGGAGATGGCTGCGAGAGCCTGTCGATACCAGCGTGGAGTCTGGATCGCCGCCGCTGCCACTTGTGTCGTCCTCGCCGATGTTGTCCTGCATGATCGCCCGGGTGCTGCGGCGACGCTCCCTTCGCTCGCTGCGCATGAGCATCTCACGCTCAAGCTGACCGATTCGAGAGTCAACTGTCGCGTTACTCTGCTGGCTCAGGCCGCTGTCTTGTGAACTCTCGTCCACTTCACGCTCCTTGGCACGGTGGAGGTAGACGCCGAGCTGTACGCTCTTGGCTGAGCGAACCTTTTGAATGTAAATGTTCCACAGAGATCCAGCATATGAGACTGTCCTCGAATATACCCTCTTCCTCTCCTTCAAAAAGCGAGGATTAGGGAACTCGGCTGCAAAACGGAAGGGAGGGAACTCGCTGAATGCCAATGACTTGGGTTGCCCGGCATTGCTTCCACCTGCTGAGACCGGTCTCTGGGGATAGTCGCGTACGTTTGGATTGGCAAGAGTGGAAGGTGTGGAGGCGAAATCGGTTGCCCACTGTGCATCTTCTGGCTGGATCGTAGCAGACAGACGAGTTGCGTGGCGCTGGAATGTGTTTGAAGTCGTCACGACAGGGTCTGCACCATTGCCGAGAACAATGTTGCAATCTGAGCTAGGAATCCAGAACTTGCGAGGCCTGCCGTTACCGTCCCAACTTTCAGACTCGGTCTCCAACCCGTCTTCTGATTCATCTGCATTCCGCTTGCCCTTTGATGCGAGTGTGTCGTCGGCCTTGGACAGCACATCCGTGGTCTCCGGATCGTCTGGTCCGTGACACAACCCTAGCTCCATGGCTGACTCTCCTGCATTGAGCACCTTCTGGCGCAGGGCCAACTGCTGCCACAGAGCATTCGAAATGACTCTCTCAGGCATGACTGGCAGGCCAAAGATATCGCGAGCAGTGCGGATGAACTCGAGCTGCTCGTATTCCATGTGGATGTAGTGGATACCCTCGTCGAGCAAGACCAAGAGGCGCTCGACATCGGGATTCGTATACACTGTAAGCCACTCTGTCTGTACATCGGAGGCATAGGCTTGCGTTGCGGTCAGTGCATTCTGACGGTAAACACCGTCGAAGCGCACGGCCATGAAGCGCATGGATTGAGGAGCCTTGGGCACAGGCTTCTGGCCGCGCTTCATCAAGCCGGCTTCGACGGCGACGTGCTTCAGGCGGCGATCCAGCAGACGCTTGGCAAGCACCCATCTGTGCCACTCGCTGTCGACGAAGAAGCCATCTGACCCTACGAGCTCTCGGATGATGTCACCCGGCATTTCGTCCCAGTTCTTGAGCGGCATCTCCCAGCCGTTTCTGCTCAGCATGGCCTTGGCTGACTCGAGGATTCGCTCTCCTGAGCGGCCGTAGTAGTTGAGAGTGACCAGTCGTATGAGGGGTGCAAGGGTTATCGGTGCCATTTGATGCAGAATGGATTCGATGGCAGCGTCGATGAGGTCTTGCATCTCCAGCCAGCATCCCGTGGCGAACAAACCAACAGCTTCGGCATCGATCTCCTTTGAGATGTCAACGCCGTAGATTCTCCTGATGGCCAGCTCGAATGCTGCTTGGGTGATGCTTTGGTCGATTTCCTCAGGATGCAGCGTTACTTCCCTGGACTGGCTTTCAATCCAGGGCTCGGAGAGAGCAGTGGTGAAGAAAGGCGCGCGATCGAGCAGCAGACGATGCAGGTTGTAGCGCTTGCCAAACGCAATGATGCAGATGTCCGAGTGGCGGCCTTGGAGCAGACCGCGGGTGAAGAGGTGGTCGGGCAGGGGCACAGCGTCGTTGGATGCTGCGCGGTGTTAGCAGACACGGACTCTCTCAGCGGCAGGCAGGCAGGCAGGCAGGCAGGCAGGCAGGCAGGCAGGCGGGCAGGCAGACGTACCTCGCAGATACAACGGCCCAGTTGCTTGGTTGTAGGACGGGGCTCGGCTGTGGGACATGCTGGTGCTGCTGGCGAAGAGGCCGCTCAGCGAGTTGACGGCAGCGTATTCGTTGCCGATGAGGTCGATGGTGGTCCGCTTCTTCCCAGGCGTGTCGAGGGGCGTGGTGGGGTCATCGCCGCTCTTTTGCACGCTCGGTATCTGCGTCTGAAGTTGCACAATGGGCGTGCGGTTGTCGCCCAGCTTGAGGCGCGAAGTGCGCTTTGTCATGCTGGCAACTGCTGCGAGCGCAGATTGTGGACGGGACGGGCGTGCAGGAGCAGGACTCGGACTGCCCTCGTGTGGTGGCCGGGCATGTCCGACGGCGGCGTCTGCGGAGGCACTGGCAGAGGGAGACATGGCGGGTACGCCTGGCGAGAAGAGGCTCACATGCGGCGAGCGCACAATGGCAACGTTGCCGGCGGCCTGTCCTGCAGACGGTCCTGCAGACTGTCCTGCAGACTGTCCTGCAGACTGTCCGGTAGACTGTCCTGTAGACTGTCCTGTAGACTGTCCTGCAGAGCGCGGCCACGTCTCGCCCAGGCTGTTCCCGTGACCGTCGCCATCGGCCTCGTGCCCCGCAGAGGAGGAGTCGGTGAAGTGCATGCTATGAGACCGGGCGTGTCACTCGGTCGCGAACTGGTCGGGGCCCAGGCGTGGTTATCTATGTGCAGCCGTCCACGGCAGCACCAGGGCGTTACGCAGGACGTCACGCAGGCAGGCCAGCTGGTGCAGATCCGTCATGAAGCGATCGTCGTCCGAGTCCGCGTGCTCGTGCTCGAGCGGCGCTCGCTTCCGCCGCCCTGTCAACGTCGCGCTTGCCCACGCCATGTGGGGGGCAGCGGGCGCAATCTGTGGCGGCAATGCAGGGTCCTCGCCGCGCCACGTCCTCCTCGAGGCCGTCGACTCGAAATGTCATAGACTCACTCGAAGAGTCGACGGTCGACACCAGACGCCAGATGCCCGCTGAGCCTTTGCCCTTTACCCACGTCCGCTGAGCCTTTGCCCTTTACCCGCGCCCGCTGAGCCTTTGCCCTTCACCCACGCCCACTGAGCCTTTGCCCTTCACCCACGCCCACTGAGCCTTTGCCTTTTACCCACGCCCACTGAGCCAATGCTCCCCGCCCACACCCGCTGAGCCATTGCTCCCCACCCACGCGCGCCGCCATGGCCTCCATCTTTCACGCATTCCCCCAGCTGCGGACGGCGGCCCCGCGCCTTTCGAAGCGCCTGTTCGTCGCCAAGCCGTGCCTCAACGCGCCCGTCCGTCCCGCCGTCTCCGTCTCGCCATGCCCTGCGCACCGCCCGTCGGTCCTGCACGCCGTGCGCTGGAAGTCGACCCAGCCACTGCGCAGCAGCGCCACCATTGAAGCCGCTGGCCGGGCCGCCATCGTTGAGGCCGCTGCCAAGCCCGCGTCCAGCAGCGGGGCCAGGTCGAGCAGCTTCCCCAAGACGACGTCGAGGAGCGTCGCATACTGGCTGCTGGGCAGCGCAGCGAGCGTCTTTGGCATCGTCGTCTTTGGAGGCCTGACTCGGCTCACCGAGTCTGGGCTCAGCATCACCGAGTGGAAGCCCGTCACCGGCTCGCTGTGGCCTGGAAGCCCGGAGGCTTGGGAGGAGGAATACACAAAATACAAGTCGTCGCCCGAGTTCGCCATGCTCAACTCCGCCATGACGCTGTCAGAGTTCAAGCAAATCTACTTCATGGAATGGGCCCATCGTCTGTGGGGCCGCGTTATCGGTGTCACCTTCCTCCTGCCTACTGTCTACTTCATCGCCCGCAAGCGAGTGAACCCCTCGACGGCCTTGAAGCTCGTCGGCATCTGCGGCATGATTGGCTTCCAGGGAGTCATTGGCTGGTGGATGGTCAAGAGTGGTCTTAAAGACGACTTGTTCGAGCCTGGAAGCCACCCCCGTGTCAGCCAGTACCGCCTGACTGCCCATCTCGGCACTGCCTTCCTCGTCTACTGCTCCATGGTCCTCACCGGCCTCAACATCCTCAAGGAGCACCGCATGCTTGCCAACCCTGCTGCTGCCGCCGAGTCCATCCAGGCTCTGCAGTCGCCCATGCTCAAGGTCTTCCGCCGCTCTGTCGTCGGCCTGACCCTCCTCGTCTTCACTACCGCCATGTCCGGTGCTCTCGTCGCCGGCCTCGACGCTGGTCTGATCTACAACGAGTTCCCCTGGATGGGTCTCGGCCTCACACCACCCAAGCAGGAGCTCTTCGACCCCTGGTACAGCCACGTCCCCGACCAGTCCGATCTCTACTGGCGCAATGCGCTCGAGAACCCTTCGCTCGTCCAACTCGACCACCGCATCCTGGCCACCACCACCTTCACCGCCATCATGGCGCTTGTGGCATACACCCGCTTCTCCAAGGGCGTCCGCAGCACCATTCCCAAAGACGCCAAGAAGGGCGTCTTCGGCATGGTGCACCTAGTCACCCTGCAGGTCACCCTCGGTATCAGCACCCTGATCTACATGGTCCCCACATGGCTTGCATCTGCCCACCAGGCCGGTGCTTTGGCACTGCTCACCGGTGCCGTTGTGCTCTACAGCAGGACCTCGATGCCTCGCCGCGTCATCTTAAATCAGGTCATGAAGCAAGGCGTGCCGAGGACAAGTGCCGTCCCGCACATCAACGCACGTGTCGAGGCTGCAAAGGCGGCAGAGAAGAAGTTGTAGAAAGCTGTAAGAATAGCCGTGTTATCATCTCCCATCTCCCTGTACTCTTATGTACCTAGCATCGCGCGGCGAATCCAATGTATACCATCTGCAGCTTTTTAGAGCTTGCAATAGATATTCGTAGACCTGGAGTCCAAGAGTCCCTTGTTTTCTGCTGCAACCCTTGCCCTGCTTGCCCTGCTCGCCCCGCTCGCCCCGCTTGCCCTGCTTGACCTCGTTGCCAGTGGCGCCAGTGGCGCCTTCCTAACTGCAAGCCCACCTGCACGGTCCAGCGACAATCTGCATCATCTCAACACTGCTCTTTAGGACTGTGCACGTCACGCCAATAAAACTCCACGATGGTACACATGACCCCTTGCCGCTGCTTTCAGTGAGGATGTAGTAGCTGCGAGCTGCATGCCACGAATCCAGAGGTTCCGTGCCGCACGAGGCTGAAGCTTTCGAGGGTAGAAGGGCTGATGCGGTGTTGTAATCGAAAATCGCGTTACTTGCAGTGGCTGTGTCGCGGAAAGGACCTTTTCTGGGTGTCTGGCAAACCAGGGTTGGGAAATCAATGCTCGTGAAGTACATCTCGGATAGCCAACTCACGAGAAATGGCTTGGAGCAATGGGCTGATGACTTGCGAGCGCCGGATCGTGCCAGCAACTCGCCCAACATTGTTTGACCAGCAACTGGCCCAACATCGTTCGATCCACCTTCAATTGGACTACAGTCATTCGGTCCACCATCGACTGGGCCGTCGCCGATCCGCCCCTCTCCAGCTGCATCATCACAACCCAAGCCAGACGACATCCAGGTAGTATTAGCCTCCTTCTTCCGGAGCGCTGGATCAAGCATGCAAAAGTCGCAGCAGGGTCTGGTTCAGTCTCTACTCTATGCCATATCCACTGCCGCTCGTGATTTCCTCATGACTGACGAGATGCGGACTGAGCTGGAATCCAAAGTACCAGCCAAGCACCAGATTTGTGCGTCGATACCGAAGCTTCTATTGCGACTCTCAAGCAAAGGCCTCGAGATAGGACCGAGCAGTATATCGCTGCTTGGGCAAAGCACGTCCTCACAACAGCCACGCTCTGCGCGAAACGGGCGGAACTCATCCACCAAGTGCCCCACATAGACCTGCTAGCACATAGACCTGCTAGCACATAGACCTGCTAGCACATAGACCTGCTAGACGAGCTTTGCTATGTCCTGAGTGAGGACCCTCTCTGCTCTCTGGTGTGGGGAATGAGCTCTGGAACGCCCAAAGATCGTTTCGTCGCAGCTGCAATGAGCAGTGGCCGTTAGCTGTACACCTCACGTCAGCTCGAACGAAGGGACCATGGCCGTGTTGCCAACGTGAGGCTCCATCTTGGTCGTCTGCATCATCCTCTGCTGCACCATACCATGAGCAGTCTTGATAGTCCGTCGTCGATGGAGCCTGACATGGGTGACATGGTTGAATACCCCCTCGAGCAAGGCTGCAATCCAAACGAGATATTCGATGGAGACCACCTCTTCAGTTGATTCCTGTCGGACATGGCGTTAGAGCAATGCTCGGACAGCACGCCAGTCGAGATTAAATTGTGCTCGAACCGTCTGAGATTGCCAAGGTTACTGTTGCGCCACGGCGTCAACCCAAAGATGCGCGAGATTATGACATTGAGACCCCTTCTCGCGACGCTGTTGCAATGCTTCCGTATCGCCGGCTTCACCAAACACGCCTCGCAGCATTACTCGGAGGTCGTCGACGTCTTCCTCACATACAAAATGGACCCCAACCTGCCGATCCACTCACGCTGCGTTTCTCAACATGTGGAAAGCATTTGGACTCGGTTCCTGAAATCGCTCACGCAGGTCAATGTGCACAATCTTCCTCACCACCACCAAGAGCTCCTCGCGCACACACGCCAAGCGCTACCGCAGCACGGCGCAGATCAAGATGCTGTTCTGGCAAAGCAGACTCCTGGCTGCGCATACGGCTGTCGCTATAACAGAGCCCCGCGCTCCGTTCCGAACCGGGGAGGTGTGTGCTCGGTCGTTGCCGAGCCCGAGGCTCCCACATATAATGTGCTCGATGTGCTCAGGTCGGCGTTCTCAAATCGCCTGTACGATAGGATCTGTGAAGCGGGGCGTGTGGAATGTGGCGATCTGGGATCTGGAGGGGATGGCTCGCGAGACGGTGGCTCTCAGGATGAAGATGAGGATGAGGATGAGGATGACAATAAGAACAAGGATAAGAACAAGGATAAGAACAAGGATAAGAACAAGGACAAGAACAAGGATAGGAACAAGGATAGGAACAAGGATAGGAACGAGGATAGGAACAAGGATAAGAACAATGAGGTCTGCATACCGTCGGCCCGTGCGTCCAGCGGTCTATGGAGACTACTTTCCTACCGAACGTACTTCAGGTAGTAGGCGGGAAAACGAGGCACTGTGCCAATTGCCGTTCGCCAACGAGCATGTCATGACCTAAGGATGATGTCCTGCCTCGACATAGGTACCTGCAGATATTGAGGTTGCGAACGGAAGTGGAGAAGAATTACCCAGGCGCTCCTGAATACTAGAATCTACATAACCGCGCACTACAGTCAGTACAATGGAGGGCAAATAGCCACTTCAATCGTGCTGTTGGCCTTGGCCGTGGTGTGCGTCTTTCATCGTTGTTGTTTGTCCAAAGTAATTAATTCTCCCACCGTACCGGCTCAACCGTGTCCTGAGACCTGAGCGGTTTGCGGCTTTCAGTTGCGTGCGTGAGGTGGTGTTGGTGTGCGCGGGCCAGGCGTTCTCGGCGAGGCTCCGCGGGAGTATCTTATCAGATGTCCGAGGGCCATGCTTGCCCCGCAATCGCCGAGACACCGACCGAGACTCGAGAGCGGCGTGCTATGGCGTGATAGACGCTAAAACAATTTCTGGTCGCAACAACGCGACAAGCCGCGCTTGAAGGGCTCTCGCCCGAAAGACTACAACAGAGCCGCCAATCATGGCGTCAGCATTCAATGGTGCATTCCTAATCCTGCTCGGCTGGACATCTGCCGATGTCGCTGGAGTCCGGCGCGTGCTGGATATAGAGGCGTTGGCTCGAGTTTCTGCTTTCACGCACTTTTCCCCACGGTGAAACGTCGAAGAGAGACTGCGCCGGCTTCTCTCATACCATACGAGGGAGTCTTACAGATCCTCTGACAGGTCAATTCGTCGAGGCATCCACATCTCAAGATGCACTTCCAGCAGACACAGTCGGCTGGCCCTGGCGCCGAGGAGAAGGATGCGCCCAAGGTCTTCACCAAACAGTCGTCGAGTCTGCCTTTCGGGGAGCAGTTGTCTCTTGGCTCGATCAGCGGACCCACGTACCTGACAGCGCAGACTCTCGTCCAGCAGGTCGCGTACGCGTTGTCCGACAAGATCTTTGCCTACTCGGCCGAGTCGTTCGACCTCGATGTGGCCATCAAGAGCTGGCAGGTGCAGGGCGAGAAGAACGCCCTCGGATACAAGACGGGCGTCTCCTCGCTGGAGACAAGATCCGGCGCTGGCACAATCGCGCTCGGCTACCTCTTCTCCAAGGACTTCGATCTCAGCAAGCGCCACGTCCCCCAGTCGATTGTGGCCTCCTCGTCGACCCTGAGCTACCTCCGTCCCGCGCTTGACCAGCTGTCGCTCCTCTACTCGGTCGCCAACCCCGTCACCGCACACATCGCCGCTGTCGACTACTCGGCCGATTCGAGCGCCGGCCTAGTCACCGACTATGTCTCGTCGCTCACCCTCGCCGAGGACCTCGGTCTCGGTCTCGTCTGCAGCCCGTCTGTCTTCGAGACCCAGCACATGGCCCTCTTTGCCACCCTCCTCTCGAGCGTCGTCCCCACGATCCACACATACGACGGCGTCAGCGTTGGCCGCGAGACCGCACGGCTGGTCGACACCCTGGACCAGGCCAGGCTTCACAACAGCTACCAGGCTGTCCTGAAGGCTGTCTCCGAAGTCGACAAGAAGCACTCGGACAGCGCCGGTCGCCTTGTCCGCCTGCTCCAGGCCTTCAACGACGAATTTGGCGAGGACTACCGCCTGTTTGACTACTACGGCCACGAGGAGCCCGAGAGCGTCCTCGTTGTCTTCGGTACCGTCGAGGCGTCGCTGACTGCTCAGGTCGCTAATGTCCTGTCCAAGGACGGCGACAAGGTCGGTGTCATCAACGTTCGCGTCTACAGGCCCTTCGTCGAAGAGGCCTTCGTCGAGGTCCTCCCCAAGAGCACTCAGCGCGTCGCCGTGCTTGGCCAGGTCCGGGACGAGGCTGCCGTGCTCGACGCTGCAGAGTACTCTCGTCTCTACTCCGACGTGCTGGCCGCCACCCAGTTCGCCTTTGACAGGACCATCGACGTCACTGACATCAAGTACTCGCGCGAGCAGGTCTGGACCCCCAGCAACGTCCTCGATGTCTTCCGCCAGATCCACAGCGAGAAGACGGCCGGCGCCGAGTCGCGCTCGCACGTCGACATTCTGAACACTGCCGATGTCAAACAGTACTCTTTCTGGGACCTAGACGAGTCCCCGGCCGCCACCGCCCCAGCTGTCGTTGGCAAACTCCTGTCTTCCGACTCGTCCAAGAACATCTTCGTTCGCGAGGGTCACGACAACCTTGCCTGCGGCGGTGTCACCCGCGTTGACATCCGCAACGCCGACTACACCATCGAGGCCCCCTATGCTGTCGAGCAGGCCGATGTTGCCGCCATTGGTGACGTCGCCATCCTCGACGCGTTCGACGTTCTCAACAGCGTCAAGGCCGGTGGCTCCATCATCATCCAGCTGCCTGGTGTCAAGGACGAGGACCTCGAGAAGAAGCTATCCCCCGCTTTCCGCAAGGCATTGGTCGAGAAGGACGTCTCCCTGTTCATCATGGACCCCACCCAGTCGGAGGCTGTTGCCGAGGAGGCTACCCTCACCACCTGCCTTTGTCAGTTGGGTTTCCTGAAGGTCGCTCGTCCCGACTTGCTCAGCTCCCACATGTCCAAGCTTGCAGCCATCAATGGCACCCAGCAGATCTGCGAGAAGATTGTTCAGCAGCTCGAGACCGCTCTCCGCGAGGTCGAGGTCCCCGCCGCGTGGGGCACTGTCGAGGAGGATGTTCAGCCCATCCGCCTGCCCGCCGACATCAACGTCAACAGCTTCGCGCCCTTCGACCGCACCGAGTCTGAGCCCCCGACACTGCTCAAGAGCTGGCAGATTGCCGCCAAGGGTCTTGCCTTCAAGGAGGCCTACGGCACCGAGACCGTGCTCCGCCCCGAGCTTGGCGTCAAGACCTCCGTTGTTACCGTCAAGGAGAAGCGCCGTCTCACTCCCAAGAACTACGACCGCAACATCTTCCACATCGAGTTCGACCTCGGCGACACTGGTGTTACCTACGCCATCGGCGAGGCGCTCGGCATCCACGCTGAGAACGACAAGGCCGAGGTCGAGGAGTTCATCAAGTGGTACGGTCTTGACCCCGAGGAGATCGTCGAGGTTCCCTCCCGTGAGGATCCCGACGTCCTCGTCAACCGCACCGTCTACCAGTCGCTGCTCCAGAACGTCGACATCTTCGGCCGCCCTGGCAAGAAGTTCTACGAGGACCTCGGCGACTTCGCCAGCGACGAGCAGGAGAAGCTTGCTCTCCAGACTCTCTGCACCGGCGACGGCGCCACCGAGTTCAAGCGCCGTGCTGAAGTTGACACCATCACCTACGCCGATCTTCTGCTCGAGTACAAGTCTGCGCACCCATCCTTCCATGATATTGTCCGTATCGTCGCCCCCATGAAGCGTCGTGAGTACTCCATCGCTTCATCGCAGCACGTCACCCCCAACTCGGTCACCCTCTGCATCGTCACCGTCAACTGGGTCGACCCCAAGGGCCGCGACCGCTTCGGTCAAGCGACCCGCTACCTTAACAACCTGCGCGTCGGCAGCCCCGTGACTGTCTCCGTCAAGCCCTCCGTCATGAAGCTGCCGCCCAAATCCAGCGCGCCCATCATCATGGCCGGTCTCGGAACCGGTCTCGCGCCCTTCCGCGCCTTTGTGCAGGAGCGCGCGTACCAGAAGCAGCGCGGCGAGGAGATTGGCGAGGTGATGCTGTACATGGGCTCGCGTCACCAGCGCGAAGAGTACCTGTACGGCGAGGAGTGGGAGGCGTACCAGGACGCGGGCATCATCACGCTGCTGGGCCGCGCCTTCTCGCGCGACCAGCCCCAGAAAATCTACATCCAGGACCGCATGAGACAGACGCTGAGCGATATCCGCCGCGCGTACCTCGAGAAGGAGGGCAGCTTCTACCTCTGCGGCCCGACTTGGCCTGTCCCTGATGTTACTGAGGTGCTGCAGGAGGCTATTGAGGTGGATCACAAGATGAAGAACCCTGATGCTAGGAAGGTCAACAGCAGGAGGGAGATCGAGACTCTCAAGGATGAGGGCCGCTATGTTCTCGAGGTTTATTAGGTGCGCTCGTTGGATTAGTGCAGATGCATTTCTTATCAGTCGATATCGAATTAGACTTTCTACCTCCCAGCCGTCGTTGTATTTCGTATCCCGTTTGTGAAGTGCGAGGCGTCGTTGCTTGTCAACCCGGCCGAACGACGCCAGCCCGCTTCGGCTCTAGTGCGATCCGACTTCACAGCACTACACTCCGACCATCGAGTATCGACCACTTCTACTACACAGACGGTCGCGTCGAAAACCACACATATAACCAGATAGGTCTCACGTCTCACCACGACATAAAAGCGATGCAAACAGCGGCGCAGCAGTCGAAAAATGTTGATCAATCAGTTCAATAAAGACCTTCCAAACACCACTGGCCCAAGAAAGAGAATGCAAAGAATGAATCCACGCTCCCCTTGCTAATTAGAACCTCAACCGACCACCGCCGCTACCTACTTCGCCTTCGCCTTCGCCTGCGCCTTCGCCTGCCCCGCCAGCGCCGCGCGCCGCGCCTGCAGACGCGCGACCTTCAGCTCGAGCTCGGTGGCGCGCAGCTCTGCATCCAGCGCAGCGACAGTGTCGTCCTCGAGTTCTGTTGTTGGCGCTGCGTCGTCCTCTGACGGCGCGCGCGGTGAGAAGGGGGGCGTTTCGTGCTTGACTTCTGTCTGGGCGTGAAAGCGCCTGCTGAAGGGCGAGTCGGGGGTGCGCGCGCTGTCTGCGCGGGTTGTGTGCCGGTGGGTTGTGTTGTAGCCTGCGGGTTGCTGAGACGTATGGCAGCTTCCGCTGTTGTGCGGCGGGATGTATCCGCCGTAGCCGTATATGGCGTAGCCGCTGTGGTCGTGGTAACTTTCTGGAAAGCCTGGGTAGGGCGTCGGACGGCTCCAGGGATCGAGGGGGGGACCGTACGGATACGGATTGCTGTAGCCTTGTTGGCTCTTGTCGACGCCAGAAGGAGGTTGCGGGCGCGTCGGAAGTCGGGAACCGTACTTTCTTGCCTTCTCGGGGTGGGCGTTTTGCTGCTTGGCTGATGGGAATGGTGTGTGGTGCGGGTGCTGGTGGTGAGGTGCGTTGGTGTAGCCGCTGGCCTGGAGATAGTGGCCCGTCAGGCCGCCGTGCCCCAAGTCGTCATCGCTATGGTCTTCGTCCCTATCGTCGTCGTACCGGTTATTTGCGTCGCCGGGCTTGGACTCGTCGTCGTCGCCGCTACCCTCTTCTCCGGACGGCACGCCGGACGGCACGCCCAGGATGTGGTCAATGTCTTCATCCGTGTCCTGATGCCCCTGCGGGTTCGTCAGGAGATGCTTGTAGCGAATGCCAAAGCTATACGCGATATCCCAGTCCTTGACGAGCATATCCTCCAGCACATCAAAATCGGTCGTCACAAGCTGCGGCTTACGATTACCTACACATCGTCAGCAAACCCATCCCCTCGCACACCCGGAAACGCACATACCAGTGTTCTTAATGCGATACCGCACCACATCATTCATCGCCTTCTTCAACCACGCCTTATTCGCCGTCATCTTGGCCAGACTCAGAATCGCCTTCAGCACGCTCGGTAGCCACTTCTTCGGATCCGCCTCGTGCTCGCGATACATGGCGCGCTTACCGTCCCTGCCACGCTTGACCAGCGGCCGGTGGCACTTGGGCACGTACGCGCGGATAAAGCCCGCGCCCCAGCACCGCTCGATCTCGCAGATCACCTCCAGCTTGGCAACCATGTCGTTCTTCTTGATGGGCTTGCTGGCCGCTGGTCGCCGGCTGGGTTTCCGCGAAGCCTTGCCGGGAGGCTGTGCGGGGGCCTTGGGAGGTTTACGCAGTGTCGCTTGGTGCGCGGCGCGCTGCTGGTCCAGCAGCGAGATCTCGGTGGCATCTTGCGGGTGCTCTCGCGGGTCGTGGCTGCTCTCGCGCGGAGACGAGGCTGGAGCGCGCAGTGGGCGCAGTTGGCGCAGGGGCGTGTTGCCGCTGCTGAAATCGCGGTCGAAGTGCTGCTCCTGCAACTGCATCGCGGGCGGGAGCTCGTCGTCGTCGACCTTCGGGGGGTTGTGCTCCCCCACGTGAGAGGAGGGTCGGTGGTCCATGTCGGTCCGTTGTGATGTCAGTGGACAGCAGCGACTAGTGCGTGAAATACTCGCCTCTAGGAGGTAGCTCTGCTTGTTCGGTTGCAGATTGTAGCCCAACGCCGGGAAGCGGTCGGCAGAAGCACGCGGTGCGTTGTGCTGCTCGACTAGCGGCGTCTTCACTGGCTCCATTTCTCGGCGAGGCGCTGATGTGCGCAAGACGGAGGATGTAGACGTGTAGCTGTATCGTCAGTATCGCTCTGACCAGCACTGACGAAGCGCCCAGGAAGCTCAGTGAAGCAAGAATCGTCGATCCAACGCCCTGCACAATCTCTCAGACCCGCAAGCTACCGGGGTTGATACTCACCGTCGCAGTATCAGAAGGGCGTCAGTCCTCACGATTGAGAGCCCAAGCAAAGCTGGAGTTGAGAAACCTTCCGTCGACGTTCAAGAGTAAGTGCAGCCCGCACTGAAGCCAGATTATAGCTAGGTTGTATACGCGACCCACTCACCCGTACCCACCGCCTATTGGCCAGCTGTCCAATAGCAACAGCTCCAAGTCTAAAGCAAGGGTAAAGGTAGACGGCCGCTGCATGGCGCGCTGCCAGCGCGGCACCAGATCTCACTGCTCTGCTGGCTGTTACTGGGCGGTAGCTTGAGGCCCTCATTGGGAGTTGGGAGTTGGCTGGAGATGTGCTGGGACTTCAGGCAGGTGGAGTGTTGGAGTTGTATGTCTGGTGTTGCGGATGGCTACGTGGAGTCTCACGGAGGCAGTTGGCTGTGCTCGGACAGCGAGCTTGAGTGAGCTGGATTCGGGCGGCAAGAGACCGATACGGTTGTATGTCGTTCGGATGAAGTCCATGCCCTTTCACACCTACGAATGACATTAGTTCACGATTCTGAAATGCTTCATCCGAGATCAGATGGGATTGTACGTGTCGAATCTTCCCGAGAGCCGCTGCTTCATCGAACTACATCAGTTCTATGGCTGAGACTTTATACTTGTATAGTTTTCCGGAACCTTGATTACTATCTCCGTCTGCGGATCTGCACCAAACAGTGACTCTCGTGCCGGATCACGACCTCGTAATTAGCAACGCACTGGAGCAACTCAATATGCACCTCGAATACGAGCCAAGACTTGTCCTTGAACAAGACACTTATGGCTCTACTCTATTTCATTGGGCGGTACGGTACTCGAAACAGGATATTGTCCAGACTCCAGGCCATCATTGATGCGGGAGCTGACGTCGATGCTTGTTCCGAGGAGGGCGGTACTGCGTTAATATGGGCTCTTGAGTCGATTCAATCTGCATCGATATGCAAGGTGTTAATTGAAGCAGGCGCAGAACTCGAGTCGGAGGGTGGAGGAGATTTGAAGGCTCGGTACATACAGCTGGATTACTGCCAAAGCGGCTTGAAGTGGAGAAGTTGCAATGCGAACTGGAAGATTCCAACAACGACATCGAAGCAACGACCAACATCGCAGCCTAGTTGGTGGAGGTCTCTCCTCGCACTTGATGCAGGAGGTTAATCGGCATGTAAGAGGGACTCGCTCTCTACGAGTTCTAGTCTACAACCGGCCAGGACGCAAAACATGAGGCAAAGTCCCATCCGTCCTCTTGCAACAGCACGAGACGACTCGAACATACTTCTTTGAAGCTGGAACTGTAATCTTCTCGTCAACGGGCTTTTGTTCAAACGCGGCCACTATTCAATCAACGATCTCGTTGCGCGATCTGCTGCGACTCTCTAGATATTCAGGAAGACAGTCAGCCATTGTTTGTAGATACTACATGCTGAATATCAGTACATTTTGAAAAATTGCTAAAACCCCATCGCAAAGTACCTCCCACACTCTCAACTCTCCGCCTTAGATCACCCTCAAAGTGTCACAACACTAGCCTCCAGCACGCCCTCGGGCCCAATCAATGCCTGAGCAACATCCTCACCCACTGGCCGATCAACACCAAGAATCATCAGCGCCTCGTTGCTGTCTTTCCCATTCGCCTCCGCCACCGCCTCTTCATCCACATCGAGCGGCGCAACATTCATGAAGTTAATATTCACACCAGCCTTGCCCAGGAGATTGCCAACAAACCCAATCTTCCCGCACGAATCGAAATTCCGGCATATGAGCAGAGTGCCTTGCGGGACGAATTCGCCCTTAAACCGATCAAGGCGGCTAATAAAGGGCTTGTTGCCGGATACAAAGCCTTGGATGATTTGATCTTGCTCCTGCTTTTGCTCTGCTTGAGATACGCCTTGGTGCGTGTCGATTCTTGTTAAGTTGGAAGAGCGAGAAGCGGCTGGACTGGTCGCTCTCGACCCGCCGCGCGCTGATGATGTGGACCGCGAGGCGCGCGCGCGCAGCGTGATGAACGAGGAATACGGTTTATCTTCCACGTTCTCGCGGGAGCGCTGTTCGTTGATCAGGATGCCTCGTTCTTTGGCGAGAAGCTCGGCGTTCACGATGTTGATGTTGAGGCCATCGGAGCTGGTGATCGGCGTAAGGAGGCCCTTAACAAGTGCGGCGAAGAGCGGCTTGGTGGTATTCAAATTCGCAAGTTTGCCCTCGTAGATCAAATCGAACGTCGTACGGAAGCTCTTTATGTTTGTGCTGGAGTAGTGCTGGGTGTACAAGCTTCCCATTTTCTCGACCAGCGAGACAAATGGGTGCAGGGTGCGGTACTCGTCTGGCAAAATCAACGGTGCATTGACGGCGCTGCGAGGTAGTTCTCCTGAAAGGATGAGGACGACTTGTTCGCAGACGTCTATGGAGACGTTTTCTTGGGCTTCTTTGGTGGAGGCGCCCAGGTGGGGTGTTGCCACGACTTTGGGGTGAGCGATGAGGCGGCTTGCTGACGAGTCTGGCTTAGGGGGCTCGGAGGTGAACACATCGATTCCTGCCCCAGCGATTATACCGGCGTCGAGGGCTTCGACTAGGGCGTCTTCGTCGATCATACCGCCTCGAGCAACGTTAAGGATGCGGGCTGTAGGCTTCATTGTTGCTAACTCGGCTTTGCCGATCATGCCTTTGGTGGATGCGATGAGCGGAGTGTGTAGTGTCAAGAAGTCGGCTTCTTGAAGCAATTCTGCAAGACTTGACCGTATTGTGACTGATGCAGCAGCAGCGAGGGTTGGATTCGCGTAAGGATCGTAGGCAATCAGTCGCATGCCGAGGCCGTTGGCGATGCGGGCAACAGTGAGACCAACTTGGAAATCTATTAGCGGCAAATACATGAATGCCCCTGCTTTGATTACCTTTGCCCAAGCCGACGATGGCAAGTGTCTTGCCCTTTGCTTCGATACCGGTCAAACGACTGCGCTCCCACTTGCCGTTCTTGATACTCTGGGATGCATCACCAATGTTGCGAGCCACAGCCATGAGAACTGCTTTGATCAGTATTGGACCATCATTGTTGCTTTGGATACGCACGGGCAATAGTGTGTTCAGCTGCGGCATTGATGTTTCCGGAGGGCGAGTTCACAACAATGATGCCGTGGGTTGTGGCGCTTTGGACATCGACATTGTCAACGCCGACACCGGCACGAGCAACAACTTTAAGCTTCTTCGCTGCGTTGAGCAAATCTGCTGTCACCTGGGTCTCAGAACGGACAATAAGAGCCTCATAGTCGCCAATTATCTCTTTCAGCTCTTCAGGGCTCAGGCTCTTCTTCTCATGTACCTCGAATTGGTCTTGAAGCAAGGCCAGACCATCTGCTGAGACCTTTTCTGGTATGAGAATCTTCGATCTCGTTTGGATAGCCATGACAGTCATAGTGGAATCGTCAGAAAGGTACCAATGAAGTCTTTGGTGAAGCAATAGGGAAGGGATTAAGAAGCGGTACCATGGGCGATGCATCCTTTTAGCTGCACGTCGAGCTACATGGAACATTGAAGTACCGCTACCGGACACCGCCTGCTGTGAGCTCACCGTGCACAGCATCAGCTGTTGGCCTGTGTGATGGAGGGTAACCTGGTACGGCTAGCTTGCAGCTACCCCGCCCCCGCATTCGTGGGGAATCCCGCCGCGTCCACATGTTCGGGGGTTTCAAGGGGCGAGTGGAGGTGACGGAGCGCGGTCAATGACATCGAATACATCGTAATGCACGTGGTTCACCGGAGGTAGATCGCAGTTAGTGCTGTCTTATACTTGTGAAGGTCATGCCTTCGGAGACCATTTCATTGTTTCGACGTGCGCATGTCATGCATGGCGCCATAGCACAACAATGTGGCTGCCACTAATTGGAGCCGATCATTTGTTGAGTGGGTTCGTGCATGAAAGGTGGCAATGCTGTTTACCAATTGCTTCGTGTCTTGAGCCTTTCGTTTTGCACAACCTCGATCCAGTAGTTGTCAGGGTCTGTGAATGATGTTAGCCACGAGTGTGAACATACACACATGTTGCGTACCTAGCACGAAGGCAATGTTCTTCATCCTGCCGTCGGTAAGCTTCTTCTTCCAGTTGACGCCCTTCTCCTCGAAACGAGCGCAGGCAGCATCCAGGTCGTCGACAGTAATGCAGATGTGACCAAAACCTTGGGGCTCATCGTTGCCGTTGTGGTACTTGAAATCGCCGTCCTTCTCAGTGCCGTAGTTCCATGTAAGCTCGAGCAGGCCCTCGCTGTCTGCTACAGGATTCACGCCGTTTGCGGTCTGTGCGGCAGCGTCCGCGCCATAACCGAGGAAGTACAGGTTGAAGCCTGCGTTGGGGCTCTCAGAGGTGCGCTTGAGATTCATGCCAAGGACGTCCTGATAGAAGTTGAGCGAAACGTCCTTGTCCTTAACCCGAATCATAGTGTGGTTCTGGCAATGTCAGTTGTGAACAACAGCAGACGATACTGCACTCACCATGCGGTATGTGGCAGTATCGGTTTCCTTGGCATTCTCGGTTTCTTCCAGAGGCTTCTGCCCAATGACTTCAACCCAGTAGCCATCAGGGTCCAGCACGAAAGCAATGTGCCTCATGCGCCCGTCTGTGAGCTTCTTCTGAAACTTGTAACCGGCATCTTCGAGGCGCTGGCAGGCCGCCTGGAGGTTGTCGACTGATATGCAGAGGTGACCGAAGCCCTTGTGGGGTTCTGTGTTGCCGTTGGTAATCTTGTAGTTTGGGTCGTCTTCGGTGCCGTAGTTGTGTGTGAGCTCGACGATGCCCTCGCGGTCGGTCCAGTGATTGCCGTGGGACACAGCCTTCGGGCTGTCGTACGCAAAAAAGTACAGATCGAACTTGGCGTCAGGATTTGGTAGCTTGTTGATGAGCTTCATGCCCAGGAACTCGTAGAACTCTACGCTACGCTTGGGATCCTTGATGCGAAGCCTATAACGTAAGTAAGCCCATGTCTCGGCAGCCAATGACCGGTACAGCTGCAGATGACAGCCATGGAGGTACTCACATCGAGTGGTTGAGCTTGTAGCGGGTGGGATCGGTCGCCATGGTTGCTAGTGCTCGAAAGATGCTGAGCGGCTTGGTGTCGTTTAGATACTTTGTTGCTGCGAAAGCGGTAGTTACTCGAGGTATCCTAAACAGTGCTTGTCGTAGGGAGAGCATTAATTGCAGAGGACAGCAATTGGAGGGGAGTAAAGAGCTCCAGATATCCGAGAGGATTGATGTCATCACCCAATCAATGAACGCAAATTACCCCACCGAGTCGGCTATGACCGCATCGCGCACTAGCCCGAACAGTCCTTTGTAACGTAAGGCAAGGCCCCAAAACATTGTGACATCTCGCATTTGTGCAGCGCATGGTTGGTGAGATGCAGGTGTTTTGCACAGATATGGTGAATGTGATAGGAGTGTTGCGCCTTCCGCACAGTTACTGCACGTGACATGGAAGTTAGTCGCATGGTCAAAGCTCTTTCTAAGATTGTGGCTGGCCGCGATATCTCAGACACAGTCTTACCTTCCGTTTCAGATACATACTCCTGCTGCAATCGACCTTGGTGCCCGTCCCCATAGCGTTGTTCGTAGCAATTGCGGCTCAAGACCAAGTCCCTGCCACGTGCGCGTCGCTTCCGTGGTTGAGAAGGTAATCTCTGATTCAGGTACGTGACCTCATTCGTTACCCGTTACCACACCGTCCAAGCTATCTGTACCACACGGCTACCGCCGCCATATTTTCAAGACATCTCTGTCGTTACACTTCACGGATTGTATTTTCATTCTTTCGCTATGTCTGATCGACAGCAACAACACCCAGACGCTGAAATGCGCGTGTCCGCCCGTTTGCAGCTTCTGACCATGCAGGCACACAAGGACGGTCCGATGATAGACATCATCAAAGTGAGCGAGTGGCTCACTAGGAATGTCAACGAAAAGCTCTACCCGCGGTTGCTGTAGGTCCTTCCGCACCCAATGCCAGGGCCCCTCTAAAAGACGCAGTTTGATGTCACCAAACGGCAATTTGCTCGCCTATTCGACCCCAGTAAATATCAAGGAACTTCGCGACCAGGCAGCATTGATCTCGGCGGCATGGAAAGATCAGTGCACCGGTCGACAGACGCAGTCGACACCAGACCCGCGGAAGGACTCAGCCCGAGATGATGCAGAGGCAGCACAGCAAAATGGCTTGAAACCACCTCTCGAGACACTCACTATCGAAGCGGAAACCTGCAACATTCTGATACGATCACTCCAGCCGGAGCTTCTTTTCGTACTAATTGGCGAGCTCCCACCAAATAAGGTACAGCAGTTCAAGATTACCGCGGAGGGCCATGGCGATGCCCGACACCCTGCGCTGGAAGGAGCTGACACTCCAAACGAATCAGCAGCCACGCAAGGCGCCTCTCGCACGCTCAAAGCTCCTTCCATACTCAGTTCTATGAGTCAGCGGGAAAAGGACGTCCGACTTGGTGTTCTGCACATACAACGCAAGAGACTCGACGCTTTGACGGACTACATCCAGCGTGACTTCAAGGACAGCGGATTTATTATGCCGGCAGATTGGGCGCTCCAGTAGCCATGGACGGACAAACCCTTCCCATCAGAAATCCTGTTCGGCAAGCCTCCGGACAAGGTCTCGTTCTTTAAGCCCGGCAAGTCTCCCAATGACCCCAGGAGTCCCTCAGCGAAACGCGACTCTGAAGACATCTCACCCACCAGAATCGGGCCTGGGGGTACTCAGCGACGTGTATCGAGTCGAAGTAGCAGTACTCGAGAGGAGAGTGTTGAATCATCACGCCAAGAGCGTACCGGATATGCAAATGCCTCACGTGCACGCGAATTGAATCCAACAGAGACGACGAGATCCGTCAGCAGCTTCATCAAGGCATCCCAATACAAATATGTGCGAATGCCTTCATCCGATGAATTTCCATCTCAACCTCGAGGAATGCACAGCTATGGGCCTATGGGCGCATCTGCAACAAAGAGCGACCAGGCCCGCATGCACTCTGTCCCGACTACAACTACTGGAGAGACCAGCTCGCAACGCGCGCCTGTGGGCATCTGCGGATTTGCGCCCGAAGAACTCCAGGCTGTACCGAGACCTGATAATCAGACCGCCCCCAATGAAGAGCCTGAATCCAAGCCCAGGGCCGCCTTTCCCTGTTCATCGTATTCTATGGATGAAGCTGCTCTTGCGGCCATGAGCCAGTCAGCAATTTTGGATAAAGAGAAGGGTAAGTCAGCAACAGGATGCGGCTCGATGAAGATGGACAAGGGCAAAGGCAAAGCTGTCTCCTTCAACGAGCCTAATCTTGGGACCAAGGTTGCCGCATCCCCGCCTGATGACCACCTAGGGTCTGCGGGTGGGTCGATTACCTCCGGGGGATCGAAAAACATTGTGACAGCCGAGGTCGACCCTAGGGTCCAGCGCAGCGGTGCTCCTTATTACGCGTCGGATTTTGGAAGGAAACCCACGAGCAGCGGGGCGTCCAACAAACGGGACGAGGGCAAGGCCGATTCTGGTAATATGAAGGACTCCACTTCGACCTAGGAGTCGACCTCGGGGAGCTCATCTGAAACGGACACCCAGCCGACTAGCAAGGACAAGGGCAAGGGCAAGGCCGTGGAGAGTCGGAAATCCGCGAATGCGACAACCGGCGGATCTGCATGCGACAATGGCAAATACCCACTGGGAGAGTCATCGTCTGACAATTGCGCGATGGCTGACTCGTCATCGCCCAGAATCTCGAGATTTTCCGATCGATCACAGCATGGCAGTCATTGGGATCTGTATGTCGTACTCAAATTCGTCAATCAAGCACGAGTCTGACGATACCAGCTCTAATCAAGCAGGTCCCTCATCGCAAGCGGATTCGTCGGCAGTAGCAGTGCAAAGAGCAGCAGCACGAGCATTTGCAGCCAGGAGGAACACGGTAGAGATGCAGAACAAAGTCAAGGCTTACTTGGGTATCAAGAAGATTCATAGTCCTACCAATCGGCCAACCAAGAGCCTCATGAGCCAGGCAACCGGGTACTTGTTCAGTACAAAAGAGAGGCTGAGGCCGGCGGAGGAGCGGGATGAGAATGAGGGTGATGTCCTAGACTGAGGTGGGTGAAAGGGTTTATCGGTCATAGCTTGAATGGAAAGCATCGGTGTTGAGTGGCTGCGGAGAATCAGCATGTGCACGGGTGATGTTTTGCTTTTACGCCACAGAATTTCAGCCTACATAATATCGGAACGGGGTCTTGAAGGTGAAAGTGAGTATACTGTATCAGCGCCTACTGCGGCGCATCGACACCCATGTTGAAGAACACAGCCTTCGTCTGTGTATAGTTCTCCAGAGCCGCCTCACCGCACTCGCGCCCAGTGCCACTTTCCTTATACCCACCAAACGGAATGCTCCAGTGCACAAGGTTGAACATATTGACCCACGCCGTGCCCGCCTTTAGCTTGTTGGTGACCCTGATCGCAAGCTGGTAGTCATTGGTGTGAATTTCAGCAGCTAGGCCATACGTTGTGTTATTCGCGAGCTCAAGCACATCCTCCTCAGTCTTGAACGTAATGACGGTGACTACAGGGCCGAAGATCTCCTCCTTGACAATCTTCATCTCGGGTGTCACGTTTGTGAAGATCGTGGGCTGGATGAAGTATCCGCCGCCGGGCGCTTCGTGCGCCTTGCCGCCAAGAGTGACGGTTGCGCCCTCCTCCTGCCCGGCCTCAAGATAGCCCTTGATCTTGTCGTGCTGCAACTTCCTTCATGCGCGCGGTGAAGAGCTCGGTGAACTTGTCGTAGATGTCTTCGTGCACGTGGATGCGGGTGCCCGCGTGACATGTCTGGCCGTAGTTCATATTGATACCCCAGGCGCTCCATTTCACGGCCTTCTCAAGGTCGGCGTCGGGGAGGATGATGTTGGGACTCTTGCCGCCGAGCTCGAGTGTGACTTTTTTCAGATTTGAGTCTGCTGCTGCGCGGAGGATGGCACGGCCTGTGACTGTTGAGCCGGTAAAGACGACCTTGTCGATTGAGCCAGGGAGGTCGAGGTTGGCTGCTTGCTTCTTTGTCTTTCCGGTGTCCAGCATCTCAATGGCAAGGATGTCGTCGAAGTGCTTCTCCATCAGATCTGCGAGCTTCAGCAAGAACTGGCCTCGTGCCGCAGGGTTAAGCTCGTTCCATGCTGGATCATTCGTTTTCTTGCGGGCGGCCTTGACTGCAATGTCGACATCATCGACCGAACCCTCTGAAACCTCGATAATGGTCTTTCCTATTCTGGGGTCCTCCACGGGGAAAGTTTTATCGACCTGGGGCTTGACGAACTCGCTGCCGATGAACAAACCAGTATTGAACTTGACCTCTCGGCCGTTGATGTTGAGTGTTTGTACCGACATGTTGATGACTCGGTGTCGGAAGAGTACCTCCTTATATGTGCAGTTCACAGGCCTGGCAGCAAGAGATGCAGGTGGGGTATATAAACATCTTCGAGACCACTACTCAGGAGACGAGATCGGCCATGACAGACCCTCATCGGTGGAAGACGCAGAAGCTAGAACAGCCCGTGGTACCTCCATCCACTCGATACTGTGCATGGATCAAACTCGACTGTCGGAAGGGAGGTTCAACCAAGGACCCATTGGTGGCCCTTCGGTTGGCTGAGCCGCCGGTCTTAATACGCTGTTCAAAATATCGATCAATCCAATGGTGTACCACTTCCCTACCAAGTGGAGACAGTACGAAGTAGAGGCTGAACGCGGTAATCAACTGATGTATTGCGGGGGTCTCGAAGGCGAGGCGAACCAAAGTGGATATTCTAGAAGTCTAGCTGGCACACCCACTGCTGACAGATCAGAGAACCATGTAGCCGACATGTCGGTAACTTGCCAGCGCGCGAAGCAGACGCATGAGATTGTTGATGGCAGGCCCATATACAACAGCCAATGCAGGGAAAAGTTGGCTTGCCGATTGCTGATTGGCTCCTGCTGATTGCGTGTGGGTCGCACTTGCATCGTGAGCTTATGACTGAGACGTGCACTCACTGTCGTACCTCAAAGACATGCGAACTATCCTGCTCTGTAGACATTACGACATATACATCAAATGAAGTCCCGTCATTAGCATTGTCGTAATGTTGCAAGAACCCGGAATTATGACGATGATCCTCCGCTCGGACGAATTTTAATGGCGAAAGGGCCAGAACACAATCAAGCTCTTGCGATAAAGACTGACCAGCAGCAACTCACTCAGACACAGCAGGATCCAGCCCCTTAAATCGAAGACACGGTAACTCAACAACTTACCCGTACAGTCACCGACAATGTCGACTGCAGCGCTCGCAGGGAGCACTGGCCTCGTAGTAAGTACCACACCAGAAACATCGCAGTCGACCTAGAGCTTACTGTCACAGGGCTCCAACATCCTCAGCCAGCTCCTCGCCCACCCCTCCTTCTCATCCGTCTACGCCTATGCACGCCGTGACCTGCCCAACCCCACTGCCACGTCCAAGTTGAATCCTATCACATCGACCGACACATCGACATGGACGAGCATGTTCCCGCGCTCCCCAGCACCTGCAATATTCTTCTCCGGCCTCGGGAGCACGAAAGCACAAGCCGGCAGCTTGGAAGCTCAGCGCGAAATCGACTACGACCTTAATCTCGCGCTTGCCAAAGCCGCAAAAGAGGCCGGTGTCGATACATACGTGTTGATCAGCGCCGGAAGCGCGAACGCGCAGAGCAGTTTCGCGTATGTTAGGATGAAGGGCGAGCTGGAAGAGAGCGTCAAGGCGCTGGGGTTCAAGCACACGGTCCTTGTGCGGCCGGGGCTGATTCTTGGGGGCAGGGAGGATAGCAGGCCCGCCGAGTTTGCGATTCAGAAGGTTGCGGGCTTGTTCAAGAGTGTAACACCCAAGTTGACGGATTTCTGGGCGCAGGATGCGACGACCATTGCGAGGGCTGCTGTCAATGCGGGAGTGCAGTGTGTGGAGGGCAAGAAGGAGGGTGGCGTCTGGCTACTGGGGCAGGCTGAGATTAACGCGCTGGGCAAGGCGTAGATTGTGAGTAGGCATGCACTGCAGATAGCTCAGAAGGGTGCTTGTAGCTGTGTGGATGCCGAAGCACTTGCCCTTTACTTCGCGATACCCTCAATCAGATTGCCCACTCGTCTCAATCATGATCGAGTAAACAGCTACCAGGTTGCTGGATTCTCTGGAGCGCGCTGTCGTGCACCGTACTACCAGAGAATGACCTCACTCGAACTCCAAATATGCTCTGAGAGCAGCCAATGAACGCTCAGCCTGTTCTCCGCGTTTCCACTGTGCGACCTACTTGGGCAAAGACGCTCTGATCTGAATATTGTGTCACACCACGTATCTCACGCGATGCGGCTTTCGGTGAGCGCCGTGCCGCCCGTCTCGCCGAAGAATTCGTGCAAAGGTCACACCACTCTCTTGCGACACTTTGCCCACGCCACCCGACAACCCAACAATTGCAGGATAGTTCTCCCTCTGACTGGCCAGAACAATTCGCTTTTGGTCCACATTATGCTCTCATGTCCTAGAATGGAAATGCACGTACAAACACATGGCTCGGTTCTTGGCTGCCCAGGGGAACTCGGACTCGCAGGCTCGTAAGGCTGACCGTGTGCTCAGCGGCGTTGCGACGATCCTCCGGCTGCTGCTGAGCACACACCACCCACAGTATCTCAGGTGATACTGGTGGTCCGATAGGACGATTGACGTACTGCAATAGCGGAATAAGCAGGATCAAACATGTCTCGTAGACTTATTGTAGGATGAATAAATGCATCTTGTTACACCACAGAACTTATCATCAGCAAGCATCTCTACTCAGTCGTACAAATATACAACGACCCGGATAGGCAAAGTCACCACCATCTTGACCCAACTTAACTCGGTCCTAGCACTATACTCAATCCTGAGTAAAACAAACCAAACGCACATCACAAAGCACAGCTTCAAGATGCCCTCCGCAACACCCGCCCGCACTATGCTCCGCACCTGGGCACGCAACATGACGGAGCCTCACCCCTTCGCACGCAACCCCGTGAGCGCAAAGCCGTATCCCGCACAATACAGCGTCATGTTCCGTAAGCTCGGCCGCACATCCCTAGTGTACGTTCGAATCCATCTCCTTTCCCAACACACTTTGGGTCATATCACATGGCTCCATTCGTTTTTCTGAGAATGGCTTGCTAACGCCTGTTAAACAGCTTCTTCCCCTGGTACGCCGTCGTCCTCGGCTGGCCGCTCGCCGCCGGGTGGGCGTTCAATGGGCACATGTGACTTTTCCTCGCGGAGGGGGAGCGGAATCAGACTGTAGGGGGGAAACAGGAGGCTATTCGGAATCTTGACGCTGGTGAGGTTAAGGAGTCGGTATTGAATATGCAGTGGGATGATTAGCATTGCATGGCATAGCATGGCCTCGTGTTGCTTGGTATAGCATTGAAGGAGTTGCCGGCGCTTTTTTTTTTAAACAGTGGGCAGGGTGTAGACACCAGACAGTGTATATACATTGCATTTAACGGTTTTCCTCTTGTGCACCTGATGGCCTGTTTGGCTTGTCTGTTGAGGAGGATCTTGCTCAACGATTGCTAATTCTTGTCAGTGCAAAATACTGGCCTGTTGAGGTATGATCGTATTGTGTATGGTGTCTTCATTCGTACTCCAGGCTCTTGGTAAATGTAATTGTGTCATATGCTGCCTTGCGCTTTGCGCTGCTTGTTCGTTCCCCTCCTCCGATGATGCTTATGACCTAGTTGTGACTTCCACCCCCACTACTTCCACCGCCCTGCTTATTTGGGCTACCCGAGCCACTGGGCTTATCATTCGTTCCTTGGCTGGCTCCTCCAATCTCCGGGTCATTCGCATGGCTGACCTCGTGGTTGCCCGGGCTCACGTTCAAACTGTTGTTGGCATCTCCTGACTCCTTCTCGGCGCTGGCCTCTGCAGCTTCGGGTGAAGTTTGATTAGGGTTGAAGGCGGCGTCGGTGTGTGCGGCCGCGTCGTCGGATCCAGACTTAGAGTACTCATTTGAGCTCGTGTTGATCGAATCTTTGTCTTCGGCGCTCTTTCGGGCGAATAGCGGACGTGAAGTGCTGAGGAAGCGTGGCTGGACGAATTGGATGCGCGCAGAGCGTGCCAGTGAGCGGGTGGGTTGGAGGCGGAACATGGCTGTAGGATGGTGTGGTCTGGCTTGTGAAGGTGTAAGGTCTGTAAGAGTCAAGGAAGGTTCAGAACCATGCGATTGAAGAGTACTTACATTTTCAAAATAACTCACAGGTAGATGAGTGCAATTGGAGTCTTGAAGCCTGTCACGGCGAGAGTTGACGTTTGTGTAGCTAAGTTCGAGCTGTCACGACAATCTGACGTCACAGCCGCACAGACATTTTTCGCTGGGCACATCGTTCAAACATCTTTGTGACAACAGTATGATGGTCACTTCAAATAGGAGACATGCGACATTTGGCCTCATGATGGACTCACTGGTCGCAAAGTGTTAAGGCTGTCGCTGACTCGGGGAAGCAGCATAGTCTCCGAGCCAGCCTCGGAGATGGCGTTGAAATCCGACCTCGTTGAGCCAGACCCACCAGCCCTCAGGCAGCACCATCACGTTTCAACAAGGGCCCCAGGACGTGAACAGCTATATATCTAGGATAGGAAGGTGCACGATCACCAGTGCTATAGCTTTTTCGCCTGCAATATATAAGATGCCGAAATAAAGGTTCATTCTTGTTGCCTCACCACACTACCAAACATCCTTTCGGGCGATCAGCTTCGGTGCATCCTATACAAAGACGAACTCAGCCCTTCTCAGCAGATCTTTCTGGGATCAAGAGAGGGCTACACCATTATATGTCCTATAACTCTCTCCCTATCTTTGGCTTATTGTTGACCTTGCACTGCCCCCAGCCAGTTGGCAGTAACAAGCGACCCCATGGTAAGCCAACCTTTTCACTGAACGAGTCAAGTTGTATCCGTGGATGTGCTCACGCTGTTCTGCTTGATCAGGCACTCCAACGCAAGCTATCTCACTTGTGGCGATCGGGCGGGACCGGTCCTGTTTAAACGTCTGCCTCCCATTCCCGAATCCACCCAGCACATCAACACCGAGAACCACAGGAGCGGACCAACTTCGCAGAATCTCAACATGAATATCTCCACTTGGATCCCACCACCACGTCCAGAACCTGAGACATTGCGCAACCCTCCACCGTTCCAGCCATTTCCACTCGGTCAGATACGCAGTGGCAAGATCAGAAAATCGCTCGGCAACGGTCGTATCGAAACTGCAATCTTCAAGACAAGCATTCCAGGGCCTGTCACTATCACCAAGAATGGTATTGTTGGCGATGAGCATGCCTACGAGCCACACCGCAGTCCAGATAAGGCACTCCTACATTATTGCACTTCACACTACAACAAATGGTCTAAGGAAATTCCCATTTCAGAAGCGCACTTTAAGCCCGGTGCTTTCGGTGAGAATATCTTCAACGCTGAAGTGAGCGAACGAAACGTATGCATTGGTGACCGCATCGCCATCGGCGACGTCATCGTCGAAGTCGCCGAGCCTCGGTCACCATGTTACAAGCTAAATCACCGCTTCGAAGTCAAGGACATGGCCAAACGCACACAGACCCTCTTTCGAACAGGCTGGCTATATCGGGTTGTCAAGCCTGGTACCATAGCTGCTGGAGATACTGTTCGGCTTCTTGAGCGACCGCATCCAGACTGGACGGTTGCGAGAATCGAGTATTATCTGTTCCTCGAAACAGACAAAACGGATATGATGAAGGAGATCATCGAAATTCCACAGCTTGGTTGGGAGATCAAGGACAAGTTCCGCGCCCGACTGATGAAAGGCGTTACGGAGAACCAGGATGGTCGTATGTATGGCGGCTCAGACGACGCAATGGATGCCTGGTACGAGTGTCGCGTTGTCGAGAAACGCAAGGAGACCAGCAATGTCACATCGTTCACCCTCGAGACCATCGAAGACACACCCAACCCTTCACCAGTCGAACCCGGCAGCCACATCCGTCTCAAATTTGGCGGGAAGCTCGTTCGCACATACTCTGTCACACGCGGCACTACGAAGCGCTTCAGTCTCGGTATCGCGCTTGATGAGAATAGCCGAGGTGGCTCAAGATATCTACACGAGATCGTCCAAGTCGGTTCTGTCGTCACCGCAGGACGCATAACCGCATCCTTCCCCCTCGCCTCCGCTACAGACATGCACATCATCATCGCCGGCGGAATTGGTATCACCGCCTTCCTCGTCGCCTTATCGTATCTCCAGAAGACCAAGCAGAACTTCCACATGCACCACGCTGTGTCCGCCGAAGTCCCGTTCAAAGAGCAGATCACCGCCCTCGGAGCCAACGTGACTGTCTACAACAAGTCAGAAGGCAGACGTATGGACCTCAAGGCCATTCTCGGGCATGCAGACAGCCGCACGCATATCTATACCTGTGGTCCGACCCGGCTGAAGGACGCCGTTCTCGCCACCGCAAAGTCACTCAGCATCCCCGATGCGCTCGTGCATACGGAGCAGTTCACAGTCACTACGTCCGGCAATCCGTTCTCTGCGGAGTTGAGGCAAAGCAAGAGAGTCGTGGAGGTCAGTGCGACTCAGACGCTGCTCGATGTGTTGAAAGAGGCGGGGATGGACGTTGATAGCTCATGCGAGGTCGGTAATTGTGGAACTTGTAAGGTCGATGTTGTTGATGGACGGGTCGAGCATATGGGGACTGGGTTGCAACAGGAAGAGAAGCGTGGGGCGATGTTGACTTGTGTGAGCAGGGGTGTTGGGAGGATTGTGCTGGACCTCTAGGTGTGTTGTCGAGTCACTCAGGGTCTTCGCAACAAGCGCAGCTTCGAGCGTGATAAAAAAGGTCATGGGATCTACCACAATGGCCACAAAGTCGATGCGCTATTATAAGCAATCACCTAGTCATGTGGAAGTCTAGGTCAGTCTGCTGTTAATGCCATGCCATCATGAACTCGATCGTTCAATCCGTTGTGACCACTTTATTGTATTGACTTATTGCACAACAGTACACCGTGGACACCGCTCAGATTATTCAGCCCACGGAAGACCTCGTTCCTTGCGAGGGGACCTTGCCTGACACTAACCGACAAGCGCATCAATGGCAGTACAAGATCACGGAGGCGAAGTTGGGGATCGAGAACGGCCAGGAGTGAGGCCGGAGAGGTCAAAGACATGTTGACCTCGGACCACTGACCAGGTGGCATTGAGATATTCGGAGCTGCTTCTACTGTAACAAAACAATGACAAGAGACGATGTGATCAACAATGCGTACAAATCTGGAGTCCAACACAAATCACCCTATAGGAGCATACCTTCTCACGATCTCTCGAGTCTTAACAAGCGGTCAATACAGGGATTCGGCCTTGCGCCAAGTTGGGCGCCAGCAGGCCAAGCTTTCCGAAGAGACGGAGACGGATGAAGTACCGCAGGACCCCAGCTTAGTACCTAGCGCAGATCATGAAAGATTCGTGCGTTCAGAAAGAGGTTCGCTCGTTGATGCTAGATCTCACTTCCGACGGTTTCCTGCCACGATGGTCCCGTCTTCGAGGCCGTGTAAGCAACATCTCATTACCAGCCCTCGTGGCCCCAAAGAAGGAGAGAAAAGTCGTCAGCGGACGAGCTCAAAGCCGTTCGACAGCAGAAGTTAGCAAGGCCTCGAAGACGCGGGGCAATAATGCAACCGACCAACCGTGCGCACGAGCCAATCGGACGAAGCTTTTCCCGGGCGGCATCCACTTCGCATCATCGAGGAAACGCGAGGCGTTGGGAGCTATGTTAGAAGCGTTTGCCTCGCATAAGGCTTGCGTTCACGTCTCTTCATCATCGCCTTCTTCATATCTTCCTGTATTGTGAGCCTTGGCTTGCGTGTGCCGACTTGAGCGACTCACACGTTGCCCTTTGCGACGTTCACGATCAGGCCTGCTTGAGCCACGCAGTCTTAAGCCGCGGCCAACTCCACGCCACACGTTATCGCCCATCACCAACCACGATGGCCATCCCCAAGCGTACACTCCTGCTTTCCTCGTGCGCACTCACTTTCTTCAGCAAAAAGTATGCGCCTGGTTCTCCCTTGACGCATGGCGGGTTTATCAAGACCGTGCTTGCGCTCTTTGCGATCCAGTACTTTGTGCAAGCTTTCTACAGGATTCTTATCTACCCATTCTTTTTGAGCCCGCTGAGACATTTGCCGCAACCCCCTGTATGTCCCCTGTCTCCACACTCTCTGTTGGGACTCTTGCGTGAAAGATGAGGCCTGAGCTAACGACACCCAGAACGGCCACCCCATCCTCGGGCATTTCCCGCGCATCTTCCGCGACCCATCAGGAGAGCCACAGCGAGATTGGATTGACAGCGTGCCGAATGATGGTGTGTTGTACTACCGCTGGCTTTTCAACGAAAGTCGTGTGCTGGTGACCAGCCCCAAAGCGCTGGGTGAGGTGCTAGTCCAGAGAAATTATGAATTCGTCAAGCCGGTCAGGATTAGAATGGGTCTTGGCAGGCTTTTGGGGGTGGGGATCTTGCTGGCAGAGGGAGATGAGCATAAGGTACGTTCCAATCCTGTCTGTGGGGAGCTGACTCTGGCCGCATGTGAGGGCTTGCGACTTGCGAGATCAGGGTCTGTTTATGTGTTCGAAGAGGAACGGAGAAGATGATAGCGGTTTTGAAACTGACAGTATGCAGCGCCAAAGAAAGCTACTGATGCCGGCTTTTGCATTCCGTCATGTCAAGGACTTGTACCCTATCTTCTGGGGAAAGAGCCAGGAGATGACTGACCGCATCGTGAAGACCACAGACCGAGCTCCGGATGGCTCTGTCGTTATCGAAGTTCGTGACTGGGCTTCACGTGCGACACTGGACATCATTGGCTCAGCAGGCATGGGTAAAGATTTCGACTCGCTGATAAATCCTGAGAATGAGCTGTTCCAAACGTACAAGAAGATATTCTCCAGCAACCGCGGCGCTCAGATCATTCAGCTGCTGCTCGGCACGCTACCTCATTGGGTGGCAGTGAACCTCCCATTGAAGCGCAACGACGAGATCGGCCAGGCGATCGGAACAATTAAGAAAGTATCCCGCGATCTCATCGCCACAAAGCGAGCCCAGTTACAGCGCGGCGAAAAGCCTTCCCATGACATCCTATCCGTAGCTATGGAATCGGGCGGCTTCACCGACGAAGATCTCGTAAACCAACTAATGACTTTCTTGGCCGCCGGCCACGAGACCACCGCCAGCGCCATGTCCTGGGCCATCTACTGCCTGTGCAAGCACCCCGAGACACAGACTCGCCTGCGCGAAGAACTGCGCACACAGCTGCCCGCGCTCCTGGATCCCAGCGCCCAGATCTCAAGCACAGACATCGATCGCCTGCCCTACCTCAACGCTGTCTTGAACGAGACACTGCGCATCTTCCCCCCCGTTCCTCTCACAATGCGCGAAACCGCAAATGACACAACGATATGTGGCTCCTTCGTTCCGCGTGGAACAACCGTCATAATCTGTCCCTGGGCAATCAACACTTCCACCCACCTCTGGGGCGAAGACGCAAGATCTTTCAACCCTGACCGCTGGCTCGGCAGCAATGCCAATTCAGGCGGTGCGGAGAGCAACTATGCCGTTACGACGTTTCTGCATGGCCCGAGGAGTTGTATTGGCAAGGAGTTTGCGAAGGCGGAGTTTGCGTGTTTGGTCGCCAGTTTGGTGGGCAGGTTTGAGGTCGAGTTTGAGGAGGGCGATTGGGAGTTGAAAATCCAGGGAGGCATTACGGCGAGGCCGAAAGGGGGGTTGAGGGTTAGGCTAAGGGAGGCTGGAGGGAGCAAAGCATAGGAGAGGAGTATTAACATAGTGGAGCTAAGATGCACTGATATGGCTTGTGGATCACATGAGCTTTGATCAGGGCATGGGTGCACCTGGTTGGACCTGTACGACGAGTAAATTTTCTGGTCCACTTGCTGACATTGCGAACAATCGTCGACCCGTTCGTCAAGTCGAGGTATCGCGATTGATGCGGGCTTGTATTTTTTTTTCAAATCTTTCACCATGCACAACCGAGAGCCATATCTTTTGAGTCTTACTCAGCGCGCTTGCCAAGCTTGTTCGCTGCAACTTTGAGCGTGTTGTTTGCGTGAACCTTCATTTCCTTGGAACCATCATTGATGCAAGACAACTCCATGGTCGGTTTGCTTCAGTGATACATCAATACCTGTGCCGGAAGAGATGTATCAGCCATCCCGCTCGTGGTAGGGCCTGGCCTGTGCCATGTAACACAAGGTAATATATGTGTCTAGGATGAGCAATGCACCCTGACCCATACCTTCAAAGAATCTGACTGTCCCTGGCAAGCTATGGAGGGCACCGAGAGTTTCCATTTCGCGCAGCCCGTTGTACTTCATCACGTTTTTTAAGTGTCAAAATTTCAATTCTTGTAATACTATGCTGATAATATCAAGTAGACTATGAACAGTACACATGGTCTCCTAGTCGACGCTGTGCGGTGTGTCAGGTATTCACCCTGAATATACATACCCCCCATCGAGCTTTCGTTGCCCATCAGCTGCCGGAGCCATCGTGAATCTAGCGAAGATGTACAGTACCTACCCCAAGCGATCGTGCTCGTAAGAGGTAGCATAAACCATGCTATCAATACCATAGTCAAGCTGTCGAAAGAGAATACGACCCAGACAACGTTGGGGAACATCACAGGTCTACCCATAGCGACTGACCCGATCAACGTGTAAGTGCGACACCACATAATTATAGCATCCTTACTCGCAACTAAAAGCCAAGTCTCGGTCGTGTTCCTGGAGAGCTTTGCCGTGGCTCTAGACGCCGTCATTCAAGATGGCAAGGCCGTCGCTGTCTATGACAAGCTTAAGTCCACGGAGAATGAAACTCAAAAGCAGAACTCCAAAGGTCACATGTACTAATTGAGCGCCTTGGAGTACGTTTGTCACATGAAATAGCATCTGTTCGAAGGTGCTGCGCATGCTACTCTCCACCCAATCTTCCACTTCGGCTATGCCAGTGCAGCCCGCGAGTCTGACTAGCCAAGAGCGCGAAGTTGTCCGTGTAACCCTTCACGAGCTTATGTACGATTAAGTCGAAAAATATGCTAGCCATTCAGCGCTTTCTTTAGGAGTTGTGGTCTCAGTATTTCGCAAAAACAATCACCTTACAGATATTCTACAGAGTGCTGTATACTTCGTACTGCGGTGTTGCTGATTGAGGATACAAGCGATAAATTCTATGAAGCAGCGCCGTCATTTGATCCACACAAATTAGACCAAATATTTCAGCAATTCCGGGCTTTGGGCGTAGCTGGGCTGCTCCAGCCTCCATCTTGATTATCAGAACGAGTCAGTCAAGACTGGTCAAACTAATCGCGTTGTGTCACGTCTGGACCAGTACGCTCACAAGATGAGTAAGACCGCCACTTTTCATCTCCACGTGATTCTAGATAGACTGTACGCTCTCGGCAGGGAACGATGTAAGACATACAAGTCAGCCATGGAGATCGCTCATGCCCCGCTAGGCAACATCTACGAGTTCGACAGTTCCAGCTCAGGTCCACCTGTCAGCTTTTACGGGAGTGGCGAGGTCGCAGATAACATTAGCCCGCTCACAAATGGCTGAAGCTACACAGCCCAGTCCTCGCCGGCGTTTTCTACCTTGCTCTCCTCAAGTATTGGCATGATATCTGCAGGCTCCTTGGACAGAAGTGGCCAGTCATCGTCGCGTAATTGGCAATCTTTGACGTCCTCAAGTCAACGAATTACCTCTCGTCAACGTACGGCGATGCTAAGCATGTTATCGCCTGGTGAAGCGAGCGAGTTATGCTCAGGCAATCACCGCCACCGTCGGATGCACGAACAGCTCACTAATGTCTCAGCCGTCTTGTTCAGCAGAGTCCGACAACCAACTTCTCCCCACAATCCAAGGTCAAAGAACCACTAGCAAAGAGCATCCTCTACCACAACTTCATGTACTTCTTTGCCTTTTTACCATCACCACACGCTCTAAACTCCTTTAGAGCCGTCAATCACTAGCCTTCCTCAGCTAATAGGGACCCCTCTATCTTAACTTGCTTTTCTTTATGCAATTTTTGTTGTGTAACGTACCCCGCAGGCGAGTCGGACACACGGGCGAATCAGACACTTTTGCTAAGACCCTACTAAACCTCACCCTATTATAGCTTAAAACACTACACTTTAGCACTGCAAGGTGTAGAACAGCCTAGAATATTATTTAAAGACTACTTCTACATTATTCTTACATGTTTGCGCGTTGTGCCCTGTCTAATTGCACTGTCCACAGCGTTATTAAGAGGGCTTACCTACTTCAGCGCGCTGCGCGCACCCTCTTCTTCTGCTTCTTCCCATCACTACGCGCCCCAAAGTCCTTTAGAGCTGCTACCTGCTGTCCTTCCTCAACTATAAGGGTCCCTTCCTTCTATATTCGCTTTCTTTTGCGCGATTTACGTTCTATTGTAGCTGCTAGAGCTGTATAAAGCTCAGCGTTCTTCTGTTGTGCTAAAACCAGCTTGTGTAATAAAATTGATCCCCCCTTTGCGTAGTGCTTAAGCGCGCTTAGCACAGTTTAGTAAGCTACCTTGCTGCTTCTTATACTTCTCTTAAACTAGAGTTAATTACAACTTAAGTCCTAGGGTAGTACTAGGGGTCTGTAACTGCTAGGGCTTGTTATTATTAGGGAGTTGTGGTAATAGAGTGTGCAGCTGTCAGGACGGAGTCCGGCCCGTGGTCGTTAGCCCATCTGGGAAGTCCAGAGGATAAATACCTCCACTATTGCTACTAAACAGTAGCAATTACTCTATCCTTACCCTCTGAATAACGTAGATTATCACCAAGCTGGCTATATCACCAAACTAGCCACTTTCTCTTAGCACAGCCACCTTTTACCCTAACATAACATGCCTTAATAATAATAACTTTAGAATACTACTAGAGAAGGCAGAGTTATCCTTACTATCTAGGCCTTCTATGTAACGGTCTAGACTCTAAAGCTAAAGATGAGCTAGAGCTAGCCGGTTACATTAGCTTAGCCGGCTTGGCTTAAGCTAGATATATATTATCTACGCAGTTAACTAGACGTCTAGTTAACTTGTGCATGCTTTTTAGCAAAAGTTGTTAGGAAGTAGATATCCTTTATTGGCCTTTGGCCAGACTACTACAATGAGGTACGTTACTACACACTGTAAATTACACAAAAGAAAGCAAGTAAAGGTAGAAGGTACCCTTATAGTTAAGGATAGGTTGCAAATAACTGCTCTAGGGGAGTTTAGGGCGCGTAGTGATAGTAAGAAGGTAAGTAAGTAGGTGCGCGCTGAAGTAGGTAAGCTATCCTAAAGACAGTGTGGACAGTGTAATAAGACTAAGCACAACACGCAAACATGTAAGAACAATGTAGAAGTAGTCTCTAAATAATATAATAGGCTGTACTACACTGTGCAGCGCCAAAGTTTGGTGTTTTAGGCCATAATAGGGTGAAGTTTGGTGGGGGCTTGGCAAAAGTGACCGGCTCGCCTGTTGACCGGCTCGCCTGTGAGGTACGTTAGCCCTTGTTGTGGTTGAGGCATTTTGTTTATACTGTTCGCGACAGTACGTTTTGGTGGGGTCGTGGTAGAGTGACCGATTCGCTCGTGGGATACGTACTCTACGTTATAATGTTTATACAGATGATTTCTTGGCGATGTACTAGTCTGCTGCTAGGAAAGAAAGCAAGACCAGCCAGCCAGCCACCCTTTTTCTTTCCACGGACGTGCCACACCTTGGTACACCCTGAAAGCACAGCGAAAGCCTCGGCCAGACTATGGTACGCCAGCATGTCATCAGATCTTGACCTGTGTCAAAAAAATCATTTCCCTGTTCTACATCTTCGCACCGCAAAAAATTCGTCTCACCAGGGTTGCCCAGGTTGCGCTCACCGCTTGGTGTTCTCACGTCCTCCCTCAAGGGGATGTATTTGCTGGAGAACACGCCTTGGTCAGCTTTCGGGGCATGCTTTTCATGTTCCAACGGCCGCGATCGGACTGGAATAATTGCCATTCTCGCTTAAGCAAGACGACACTAAAGACGCACGCTGCTGCACGTCTGAACAATCGAAAGCGGACTCGCTTCCGACTTGAATGCGCAACGGCCTCGGAGGAAACGTTAGAGATTTGGGTACGCTGCGCCAAAAGGAAAGTCTCAAGGGATGATGGCGGCCACCTCATGAGGCCTGCTAAGCGCTTACCTTCGCGACGGCAGAATCTCAAGACGTTTCAGATCGCACGGGCGTCTACACAACGTCACCTTCCATGGGTCTTCCGTCAAACTTCTACCCCACCATGGCCCCTAAGACCAAATGCTGGTCTAGTATAGCGTATCGGCCCTATTGTAACTGAGCCGACTGACACCGCTCAATGATACACTGTATCTTCGCGGCGCACCTTTCCGAATTGCTGCAAGCAAGCTCCGCAATTGGCTCATCACGGCTTTCTACTTATATGTTTCAGACACGAATTTCTCCAGGACACCCCTCGGAAAGTATATCCTGTTGACGCTGACAATGGGGTCTGAGGGTATACAAGGAGCTGTACACATGCACAACGACTCTTGAGTCCAGGCTCCCGGACCCAAGCAGCTGATGCAGACACCGGGGTTACCGTGGGGCCAAGTTGTACTGCAGCAAAACACAGGAAGACTTGCTGTTCCAAGCAGGACGACCCTTGAGCGCTTCGCTGGGGTTTTTACTTCCGTACGACACCTCGCACCTGTACCCCTCAACTTGCGTCATAAAGCGGAGCAGCGGGCTGGTCAAGTCCTCCTGCCTTTGTTATTTTTCACGCAGCGCTGACACGTACAGATCAGCCACTCGAATTCAATGATATCCAGATATATATGCGCCGTTCGCTTTCGTCGAGGACGGAGTAGGGAATCCCCTTCGCAAATCGCTCGCAGCGTGAAGCACCGAGAATGGTTGAGCAGAAGGATTCATTGTCGCGGTTTCGTTAAGTCTCGCTGACCACAAACGGATGAGCCTGCCGTTCGTTTGTCAGCCCGACGTTGATGGAGGTGACGACCGGCTCAAGCTGATCCACTCTACTACTGCAATGCATATGCAGCTAGGTGATAGTTGCATATACGTCTTCCATCGTCGAGCCACAGTCCTCAGCTCCTTGCACATGCTGGAGGAGGGCATGGTCAGTCAGAAATTTCAGTCTGAGACTCCGCCTCCCTGCCCGCCTCGTCGTTCTGACTGAGATGTCAAGTGCTCACCAACTGGCAATCTGCAACAACACCATAAAAAGCGATATATGTATGACTATCAACCTCCACTTGCACCAACCTTCAGGCAGCTCTCGGGGCCATCTGCTGCTCAGACTGCTCCCAAAATCGCAGCTCTCGGCGGACATGTGACATACGTCAATCTAGTTGGCCAACCATCTCACTTCTGACCGCGGGGACATGCACATAGCCAGGCCAGGCCGGCATTGACCCACCTCAAGAGCATAGCCAATCCAGCAACTCCTCCATACCCACCACTCACAGCGCAAGGTCCGCCGACCGCGTTTCCGACCCACACACGCACAGCTCCAGCTCGTCCACTGATCAAAATTGCGTGCGACCATGCCTTCTTACCCTCCGCAGTCTATGCGCGAGCACCGCACCCAGCGCAAACTTCTCGTCATGTGAGTTGGTAGCGATGCGGACTGCCTTGTAGCGAGTTTCAACGTCAAGTCATGTCGAGGACTACAGCTGATGGCTCCAGGACAGATTCACGACCACCTTCGGGCCAGGTTTGCTGTTAACATGACGACACAAAGCACCACAAATTTATTTAGACGCAAGAAGGCAAAAATCAGCATCAAATCCATTGGTCAATGTGCTGTTTACAAGGTTGGTGGAAGGCCGCAGGAAGGCCGCAGTTTTGGTGTTTGCTATGATGGCTGGTGTGGCTCTGTGCACAACGCGAGACCGCATTCAGACGACAAAACACCTCAACTTCCAGCATTTGATGCTGCAGATTGTCAAAACAACAACTCCAATGAGCTCGATCCGCAGCGTCAGAAAGACGAGCAAAGATATAGTCTCAAATTACTGAAGGGAAGCAATTGGCTTGATTGTACGGAGTTGTTCTGCTTTGAGTGATTATGACAGTCTCATTGATGGGAGATGCTGCATCAAGTTGCCACCATACGGTCAGTCTTGGAAGTTATTGGCAAAACTTCCACCCGGACTTATACCCTAGCATGATTACCGGTGAGAGTGGCCCAACAGTAGACTGGTCTTGTTTAAGTGTGACGCGCTTCCTGCGGGCTGTGGACATGGAATCCTCGCAGGAACTATGTTGACAAGTGTGGGAGCCAATACGGATTGATTCGTAACACCCATGACTGATGGCGAGGTGAAGGTTCGGGGTATGCTCTCCTCACAGATCAACCAAACCGCGCTCGCCACGTCAGAGGATCTCCGATGGGGCATGATTTGGCCGGTTCTAGTGTCTGTCCGGGGTCCAGATGATTGATTCGACATGCAATGACGGCCTAGGTTCCGCATAAACTTCACGCCATCCTGTTATCTAAGAGAAGCATGCCTGTCAGCGTGCATGGCCTAGCAAGCCAACAATAGGCCGGACTCGGGAAGACCGCGCCGTTGAGTGGAGAGCCTGATCAGCTGAATGAAAGGGAGCCGACGGTGCGATGCAACCTGCAATCGGCCATTACTAGCGTGCCATACGAGTGGACGTATGGAATGACCGGATGTGATATCCAAGACACCACTGCAGCATGGGCAGATAAGGTGACTGGTTGGCAGTGCCTCGAGCTCGTGCTTGAAGGGTTGACAAATTTTGTGTCAGCCAAGAATAGCGGCTTGACTACCCAGTGGAGGCGACGGTCGATCAAAGGGCCATCAGTGAAAGTGCGTGACTACACATAATGATTAGCGGCTTTCGATTCAAAGAAATAGGGTGAACCCAAAGAGACCGCAGATGGAGGAACCCTGGAGCACGAAGGAGCAAGGGGCAGACTGGCCAGCGAGTAAATGCAGAAAACCAGCTGTGTTGCTGAAAGTATTTCGCATCTAGTCTCCACCAATGGCTCGGAAGAACGGCCGTTCAGACTTCGTGCTTAGAAAATGTAGGATAGACTGCAGCATGAACTTGGCCCGTAGAACCTGTTCGCTTCCGGGACGTTGGACTTACCAGCAGGCTTATTGCCGTTGGCCAATGGGCTGCTCGCTCGTTAGAGCTCGTGGACCAGTCCATCGCCCGGCATAGTTTTCACGGCACGTGACCGTCCCTCGCTTCACGAATACCCGCCTTCCTACACATTCGACGATTCGAGTCGTATGTCTAGAGACCAGCCAAATTCGAAGACGGACGCCGTCTGATACACAGGGGCAAGGAACATGAGGAATTTTCGCTTTTACTGGACCAGAACGCTCCATTTCCAGAGCCACAATGCGGTGATCCCTTAGCAGGTGTGATATCTTTCTGCAGCTGGAAACGCCGGCACGGCCCAGGGTATCATTGCAGCCCGTCTCCGCAGTGCTTTAGCGGCAGAATGAGCGGTATCCGCGGATCGTGGCAATATCGTTGGACGCGGCCAGGTGGGGTACCACCATGTTCGGTTGAAGGATAGGCCATACTATCATTCTTTGGTTTGACAGCGGCAAAGGCACGTAACGAAGTGCGTCGACGACTGGGCGAGAACCCTCCGCTGAGAGCATAAATAGCGGCGTGGTCTCCCTGAGAACGAACTCAGCAAGCTCGTACTCAACCAGACTCCAGTCAAAGACAGATATCTTCGAGCATCTTCCATCTCTTGATACACCATCATCCTTGTGCCTGCTCCTTCTCCAACACCAATACTAGAGGCTCCCCCTAAGGCCCTCTCTCATCCAACCATCTTGTATGTGTTGTCAATAGTCGAGTCAACCAAGGCCCCTGAGCTGACCCGAACAGCAGCCCATCCGCACTCCCTCTGAGACCATCGGTCTGAACGACGGAACACTAAGTAGGTCGGCAGGCTCTTTCGACCAAGCAATTGCCAACCGAGACTAACAATTGGTCAGCTTGCAACGGTTCAACTCTTACACTTGAAACATGTGCTTCTACGACCAACATCGATTCGGATGCGGCGACTGGAAGTGGGGTCACTTTCGCCAGCACTGTGCCAAGGAGTACCGCATCGGTGAAACCTGTGGCATGAAGCTCATTATGCAGACGATTCCCACAGGAACCAAGTGCAAGCTCTGTGAAAAGATCGACACTAAGATGCGCCGCCGGGCCGCCGAGGTCGAACGCATCAATCGCTGGCAGCGCGATGGTAACAAGTTCCGTGCTTCGATCGACAAATCGATGGAGATGATTCGAGGACTGGACTACGAGATCTACGAGCTCGGGTGCGAGCGCAACCGCAGATTGCAGCAGGTTGGACATTGAGCTGGCAGCGATCGGAGCGTGGCGTCTAAAGTTTCATGTACAACCAGGAGTTGTTTCTTTCTCGGATTGAGTCCATTCATTTTCGGCGCCTGGGTTTGGTTTGACACAGCGGAGGACTGACACTGGCTGGTGGAGGTTGAGAAGATTTTTGCCGGGCGGTACCTCTTACGATCGCTCCTTCGGTATCTCTTCTTCGTAGCTCAATAATGAATGAAATGTCTGGAAGCCATTTGATTGGGTGCATTCTTCCAGTTGGTGATGGTAGCCGCTGTGTCATTGAAGGGGCCCGACGCTGTCCAATCCGTGAACGTCGCGTAGCCGCAAATAGGGGAAAAGAGTGGTCGTGCACGGCCCAGCGGGTAAGGCACGGCGTCCCGCTTCCAAATTTGGAAGCTCAGTTGACGACCGTCCTCGAGGACGCGACCGCTAACATCCGGAGCAGCAACGACTGCCATGTGTTGGCGGGCTTGGAGGGTCGATGAGGTGTCGTTGTGACGCGCGAGAGGCAATTTTCTGGTTCGAGTTGCACGTGATAGCACTAGTCCTGTCTGGTCGGCTCCTGCAGCGCGCGCCAAGGAAACACCATGGCCCGTGCTCCACCAGCCTTGTGAGTCTTCGACACCGTCAATGATTCTTCGCTTGACGACAAGCACCCGTCTACATTCAGACCGTATCGTGTACCCGCTGATTCGATCAAACACTCAGCACTGACTCGAGCTCACATGTACTCCTGCCGCCCGTCCACTGCGTTTCGCCAATGGCGGGCACAGGTGCCCTGATGTCCAATGTTGCTTATGGCCTACCGTAGGTCGAGCTTCGAGATATATATCGAGGAGAGCTGTGTAGCTAGTATGAGGAAGTCTGAATGAGGTTGGAGCTTCCGGGAGACTACCGAATCCCGCAATTCGCGAGGTCGTTACCGAATGTCAAGTTTCTTGTGTCGAAGCGTGCTTTCTGTAGGGATCACAACTCCTTTCAGAAAGCGAGCAACCTGGAGATATGTCTGTACTGACCAGAGTGTTACGTCAGTTACCTGGATTCAGCATGAATATCAAAGAATTCTTACCCCACGTGGCGAACTCTGAGTGGCCTGAAATGCGGCCGATCACCCACGACGAGCCCTCCTGCGCCCTGATCCGATACTATGCCGCTTCGACGTCGGAACGCCCAGAGAATATGGAGCTGGAGTCCTTGCCAGCATCATCTGCCTGGTACTTTATTGGAGTAGAGGAAATATCGAGGCTCGCAAGAGATGGAGATCGAAGGGAAGGGCGGAGTGAGGCTTTTGAAGCTTTGAGAAGAGCGTTTGTCTCAAGGCGAGGAGAGTTGGCGCTTATCATCTACAGCTCTCGGAGACTTGTACCACCAATCTCCTTGTGTCAGAACGAGGTGCTCCGTGGACTTGTCATCGCGACGGACGCTATTATCCAATGAAGAACCTGTGAGTATTGTCAGCAGGGCAGGCCTTTAGACAAGACAGCTCACAACATGCACTTCTCGACACTATCAATAGGAGACATTGGGCAGCAGCTAACAACCGTGTGCATGACTGGTACATGGCTCAGGCATATCGCGGACCAATCATCGACCCAAACACCGCGGCTTGTTACTATGAGCGGACGGCATCGTTTCGCCTGACTTTGGTGTCGATCCAGGAAGACGTGTGCAAAGATTGTGGGAGCCGCAGCATTCTCGATGCAAACTACTCCCCGTTACCAATCGTGCCGACTGTCGCCGTTGTTCGAGGTCCTCGTGCAGACAACCTTAGCCCTTTTCGGATTGTCATGCTTGCCATAGCGCTCCCGCATATTGTTTGCATACCGGAACAAGCGCACCTCATCTGATGTGCCAATTAAAAATCAAACCAGGAGCTTGCAAAGATCCTTCCGCTTGGCTCCTACTACTTGCGACGCTTCAGGTTCTTTTATCAGACGCTAGATTACGGACCAACAGCCGCAAGAGCGCATCAACTCTCAACTGCTGGATCTCAAACCAATTCAAACCAATTCAAACCTAATGATAGCCGCGTATGCGTCTCAATAGACTGTTGTCGAACACCGACTGATGTTGTAAGACGTCAAGCGTGGTACAGCGTCGACCAGGGCCGTCAGCCAATGAGAGTACAGAAGTGCGTTCGCCACTCACCTCGAAGCCGCCCACATCACCCGACGAAACAATGCGAGACATGTACATCGCCAACCAATATACCAAGCGCTAAGATTCTCTGAGGTAACACTGAGACTGCGTGCAAGTCCCGGAAGAAAACCATCGCCATGGAACATCTCTGGGCGATGGCCGATTGAACGCCCTCGATTTTGTCTTGTCAATAAACTCAGCAGCAACGACATCTCATTCTTGACCTCCGATCCCGAGACTTCCCGATATCTAAAGGAATAGACTCGCACGTTTCTTTAGGGAGCATGTGTGTGATACTTTACATACGGGGTGGATATTCATCTAGTTGCTGCTTAGATGCAACTTTCGTTGATCGACATATCAGCCGAGTCGGCGCAGAGCCGGAGTCGCTGCAACTTGTGACCTGAAAATTCTTCTCTACGACTGGCATGATTGTTGAGTTCGCGCTCTGGTCTCGCATGTCATCGACTTTAGCTACAAGGAGCACGATCCATATACGGCTTGCAACGACGCTGCTCTGACTGTAGTCTGGGTTCTTTAGATGGCGCTTCTTGATAAATACAAGGTCAACCAACCTGAGACGCTCAACCAAGTTCTCAAGAGTGTTAGCGAGCGTAGTCAGAATGATCTGTTCAGGCATGGCTCAGCCACCTACTGCGTCCGCTGCCATTTCCGTGATTATTGCCGCGAGGTTGACTCACCTAAAGGCTGCCAGGTCAAGGTATTTTGTGCTAAGTGCGAACACTTTGGTTACCACACCAAGAAATGTCGCCGGGATGCTTGATACCATACCTCAGTAACGTCTAGGCAACATTTGTGTAGCATTCCGGAAAAAGACGACAAGCAGGCATGGTAGACAAACGCTCCTAAAAGGGCAGTGTAGAACACTCAAGACAACCACTCTTTAAACAAAACTATGCAACTATATATCTTCGCCTGACTACAACTTTCTGACACAAATTTGCACTGAAAAGATGGTAGTCGAAATACCCGTCTTGATTCCCTTTTTCTGTCACGACACCTGCAAAATACCACATGAATTGACTTGGCCTGTCATGCAAGTCTGAACTCAATTAGAGACCACTTTCAACCTCAGCTAAAGGTGAAAAGTGCTTCGGAGATTCTGCAGACATGTGAATTCCACGCTGGGCGTGGTACTATTGCGCCTCCTGCGCATATGCCACAAATCACGTGTCTATTTCATCCAAGAAAGGAGTGTATTGAGTGCTGATAAAGAGTAGATGTGCGTTCCATCCCACGCAAAATCGTCCTTTTGTGGTCTAGCTTTAGCTTCTGCCGGGTCACGGTACCTCATCCCCTCGAGCTGAGATGATGTCGGGTTTTCTCAAGATATCTTCTCAGAACTCTGACTGCCATCTGCAGGGCGGATTACGATGATCTAGCCCTGTTCGACGAGTTGCAGACCGACATCTGGACTGCGCGACGTTTCTGCTACCACGCGCGAGATGTGACTCACCTCATCCAAGCAGCAAGTCAAACGGCGGCTGATATGACCAGAGTGTAGTTGTAAATCGATTATCGATTCATGGCTATAATAGAGGTTCCAGAGCTGCGAAAGCGTTACGCTCACTACAGTGATTGGTTGAATGAAGCAGAAAAGATCCGTGACAATTCATGAAAGATCCCCTGATGCCCCCCCCCCTTTGGGCATTAATTTATTCCCACCTCCGCCCAATTCCGATTGATTTAAAAGTCTGTAATTCAGTCTCGCTGGACCTTTTTGCTGCGCTGTGCGTGTATCATTATGTCTCACAATTGTTGTCTACTATTTCACTGATCTTGGCCTACCGGAACCTACTAATTATGGGCGGCCAGTCTGTTATACATCGGGCCATGTGTGTGAATTTGGTTCATGCTAGGAGACAATATGAAGTACATCGAGTCTTTCAAGCGGCCTAGCTCGAATGGTCGTGTGGACTGGCGAAATTAAAGGAAGTCAAAAACTAATATTGATGCTTAGTGTATTTGATTACAACAAGCTAAGTGGTATCATCTAATTTTTCTCCTTGTTATGAGGGCGCTATCTCGTGCACTAATCCTCTATAGGCCTTCGAGGTGACCATGTACTGCTTACAGCATACACCAAGCGAACAAACCGGCAAGAAGTCCGGTACCAGCGACGGGCGTCAGCATGATTCCAGCACCTGTGCTAGCCGACGGTGTCGCAGCACTGCTGGTGTTTGTAGAAGACTGCTGGAGGTTGCCGACGTGCTCAGCACCGACTCCTGTACTGTTGACGCACTGGTTATCAGCGAGCAGCTGAGCAGTCGAGTTGAATACAATGTCCGCGCACTGTCATTGTTAGTCTAATTACCCACCAACACTCCTCGTAGGCCGTTGCCACTTACGTTGTACAATGCGCTTCCCGAGTGGCCCAGCTGAATGACCTGCACACTAGCCTCCAGTCCATTCAGCCTCTCATCTTCGAAGCCACTGTATCCAGCAGCCTTGAGTCCCTCCTCGAGGTTCGCACGACCGGCTTCCTTGAGACAGAGCACACCGGCGCCAGTTTGATTGAGGTTCTCGACGAGCGAAATGTTGAAGTTGGTCACGTTGGTGCCGAGACCGAGGTTCACGTAGGTAAGGGCGGAGCTGTGCGAGCCGTTGATTGAGACTGAGCCACCGGTCAGGGGCCATTGGGTGCGGTTTGCGATGTCGGTCGTTTCGTTGACGTTGGCGCCTACATTGCGTTAGTTGGAGAGGTCGAAGATATGGTCAAATACGAGCGGGAAAGAGGCGATGCTCAATTTGGGAATACAAAAAGGTCCATAGTTTGGATGGAGGCGCTTACAAGGGAAAATCCACTGGCTGGCAGGCTCTTCGAACGAGTCACCACGCCATGCAGGGGCAAGGAGCTTGTAATGTGCTGTTGCGCTACCTGCAAGAGCAGTCATTGCGAGGATCGTGGAGGGGAGCATCTTGATTGATTTTCGGAATTGACCACCGTTGGTTGCGGAGTATTTCGATGAGGTAGAGGTGAACAGAAGGCGCTGGAATAACACGAGATGTCTCTCACGAGATCTACCTTCCTTTTGTACCCCCGGCTCTTTCTTCCCACGAATGGTCAATGCATTCAACCGCATCTAGAGCATCCTCGTGGCTCTTGTGCTCACTTCTCGTGCCGCGAAGCCGCAGGCACGGCGTCGCTGCAGTAATCCCATCTCTTAGCGATTGGATGCCCGCTGTTTCACAAGTCGAGCGAGCTACCAATTGGACAATGAGGACTACAGAAGGTGTAGACTAGCTGAGGGCGGCTGCTTGTGGCGTGAGCCCTGGCTGCGGCCCTGCATGTGCACCCTAGAAAACGTGCTCACTGTGAGCAACTTGGCATTCAGACCTCACCAGCAAAATCAACGCTACACGCCTCAATCCTAAGCAAAGACCTTAACAAGCCTAGTATCTATTTTCCATTGATTCATTCAAAATAATTAGCCTTGCGTTGGTGTTTGCAGTCAGTGTTGCTGTCAAGGCGCGAATGCCAAGTCCGACGCGCAGGTGCAGGTACGTGCGTGCCATAGAAAACATGCTCAGTGTGAGCAAATATACGGGAAGATTGTCTGCGCCTCCTTCCGCTTTCGTCGTCGTTTAGTCTTGGCGAACGCAAGCGGCAGATACAGTCCGGTGAGAAAGCGGAAATAAAACTCGCTCATCAACGGCTCGAAGATGGTTCATTCCAAGCAATCATCGACTTTGGAAATGACTGTCACCTGTTTGTAGAGGAAGCGATGCTATTGAGGTCAATCGTGCGTGGAGAGGGTGGTGCGAAGGAAAGCCACATCTTGGCAATCATGTAGCCTAATAACAAGCGAACAACTACTGCATCGACCCTTGAGTGAGATAGATGAAGTCAGTGCTGGTATTGTAAGGGTATCGTCAAGGTGCAGGTCTAAGAAACACAATGGAACCTCCAGTCAAAGCTGGAATTGCCAGGAACGCCGATAATGCTGATGCTGGGGCTGGTCGGACATGATCGCCTAGAACATGCTGCTTTTTTTCTTCTTCAACTTATCTGCGTTGGTCTCGCTGTTTGAACGTAGTCCCCAGAAGCTCTTCTTTGCCTTCATAGGCGCCTGCTCTATCTGAGGCTTCGGGAGTCCGTTGCTGAAAAGGCTGCTCGCGCTCGTTGTGGGTCGGTGCCCACCAGGTTGCAGGTAAGGTCCTGCGGCGAACACTGGTTGCGCAGGTACCGGCGCCGGGCGTTGCTGTAGCCGGGAATGAGCAGGCCTCTGGGTCTGGAAGTGAACATGTGGAGCCGAGTGACGCTGCGATTGGGGCTGTGGGCGCTGCGAGCCTAGCAGGTTCGACTGATCGCCGAACTGCTTCCGCAAACGCTCCGTCTCCTTGTCAACTTCTGACTCTCTGCGACGACGTTCTTTTTCCTCTCTCTCCTTTGCCTTACGCTCATTCTCGAGGAACTGCAGTGTCTTCCTTTCTTCGTCAGCTTCCGCCTTGCGACGCGCTTTCCGAGCTGCCTCCTCTTGCTTCACCTGCTCCCGAGCTTCTGCCTCCACTGCCGCCTTGAGACGAGCAGTCTCTGCATCGATTTCCCATTGTGTGCGTGGATCGAGTCGGGGCGGCTGCTGCGGGAGAGCTTGCGTGGGCTGCTGTTGGCGCTGCGCAGTCCTCTGTTGCGGTCGTTGCGGCTGTGCGGGGTGCTGCTGGGATCGTGGAGGTTGTTGCGGTCTCGCGTTTTGCTGTTGAGAGTAAGGAGGACGGGATTGATGGTGCCGAGGAGGTGTTTGCTGAGCTTGCGTTTGTAGAGGCGGCAAGGAAGAACGCTGCGCACGATTGGCAAAACTGCCTGCAACCGCTGCAGCTGGTGCTGCGACAGGAGCTGCTGCAGTTTGGGCTGTGCCCGCCGAAGCTTGGGCAATCTTCTCAGGCGGGTATTGTGAAGGGCCGGTATACGGCGGTGGCGGTGGAGGTTGTGGTGTCATCATGGGCGGAGTGATACCAGGACCGACGAGTGGCGAGGAAGCCTTCCGTGTCAGAATGCCTCCGCTGTTCTTGCGGCCAACTAGGTCGACGATGTGAAAGGCCTCCCGCTGATTGTTGATGAACAAGTCCCTGATGACAGCCGCACTAAGTAGGAGCACCACCTCCAGCCCTTTGTAGTCCTCAATCTCAATGCGGTAGAGATTCGGTTCCATGATCGTCAACTCCTTCAGCATTGTGAACAGAGCTACAGCGATATCGGGCTCTTTGCTCTTTTTCGCCTTCTTTCCCAACAAGTCTGTTGACTTGCCAGTCAGATAGCATGTCATGTCCTTCGCATATCTGCCCTCTTTGCGCCAAACAAAGTTCACTCGTGGTGTGGTGACATCGGCGGCAGGGTCGTTCTGCGTGCGGTCGAGAGTAGAGGCGCTTGGTGTTCGAAAAGTCGTCTGAGGTATGCTGAACTCCCAGCTCTGCGTTCCACTCCATTTTGACTTCTGTTCCTTAACAATAATCTGCGTTTCAGGATTGTAGAGCTGTATCGCAAACTGATCGGGGAAGATAGGCTCAGGTGGAGGCGGTACTCCTCCATTCCTGCGAATCTCCTCTTGTGAGAGTGTTGGATGTGACCATCCTGGCTTTGCCATCACCTCTCCAAAGAGCACATCAGGATAGTGCGAGTCGTATAGACCTACAGCGTATGTGTTCTTCGCGGTGTTCGATGCGGGGTCGACGTGAGTGAGCGCATACTGTGCCTCGGGCTCGGAGCCATTCTGAGTATAGAGAAAGGACTCGAGGTGTTTGCTGGCTTTGTCTGTAGCCTTGAGAAAGAAAGCTGGGGTGCATTAGCGGCGATGTCATCGGTTTAGGGTGATAAGGCTGGACGCACTGGGTAGGTTCTCGTCTAGCATCGCGCATATGACGTGCTAGCGAGTATTTACGTATTCTAGGTATATATGGGAAAGAGTGAAAGCAACTGGAAGTTCGATTGAATCTGGCCAGCAGAAGGAGTTGTGATGTTCAAATGTTCACATAGATACGCGTTTACGCAGGCGCAGCTCGGGCTACCCCTGCTCTGTGCCCCGCCCGCGCCTTCCCCCAAATCGGCGAGGAAGTGAAATGTCCGTTATTCTTAGAACCCGCCACACCCCGTTCACCTTGGCCAGCATGCTTCGTCACTGTCACTCGCGCGTGCTTTGCTTGTTTTCTCGACGGCGTCGAAGTTGACCGTGAGCGTGGTCAAGCTACGCTCTTCGCACACGTGCGTCGCGAAGCCTTGTATCATCTAGATAAAGCTTGCACGACAGTTTCAGGCTGTTTGGTATGGTGCACAGCCTACCCAGAGCCTCAGAATCTCCGACCGCAGGCCATCATATCCGCGAGTACACCGGGCTCGCATATCAACACCTTGCGGTGATACTCTTGACAAGGCAGACTGTGCAGAGATTGGTCAGCAACATCGTAGCTGCGTGCGCGATTTTAATGCTGCGACAAACTCTTTCTCCTTCATCGTTACGCGTCCATGGCTTCTCGTACCCCACAATCGCAACACGCTCCTTATTTCGGCTGCGCACTCTGCTCTGACTAGTGATGATCTACATAATCATTGAAGTCATCGTCACTTCTCGAAAGCGTGAAACAATAGGGCCGTGCCCAAGGCTGTGTTACAGGGTGTACCACGTGCGGAAGCGCAGCTCTTCCTCCGGCGCAACACGCGTCTTTTGACTTCTAGATGCTTATTGCTACAGCATTACGCGGAGTCTTGGACAATCGCATGATATAGGAGAGGTCGTTGATGCTGCAGAAGTTTCTCTGTAACGGAGTTATGGCGGTGTGCTCCGCCTTGGCGGGGGCGCCTTGCAGCAAATAATCGAGCACCATTGAACCTTCATACACAAACAATGCCTGAGGCAAGCCTCTCTGAATGGTCCTTCGAGACAGCACAACGACCGGTAACAGTGTAGTCTAGGGCTCAAAGACACTTGCAAGTCTCAGACAACGAGCTTCAGGCGCACCGTAGGATCCTACCGCGACTAGGTTTGTCACAGGTGAAACTCGCTAACAGCGATCACCAAAACTCTTGTTGACACTCCTGGCCATCACACTTCTTCAACACACATTTCAGCATACTCAGAGGCATTGTTTATCTTCCAGCGAGTCTTTCAGCATTTACATAGTGTCTGTTTGCATTCTAGCCAGCGCACAACCCCAGCGACAATATGAACTCTACACTCAATATGACGCTCAAGCGCAAGGCAACGCAAGCCCAACTTGCAACCATCGCACAGCCACAGAAAAAGATCCAGCCATACGTTACAGACGAGGACTTCCGGGTGCCAGTTCAACCCACAGGAGAAACAAACCACACACGTCCGCTGACTGAGCAAGAATGGATGAGGCTGCACACATGGACTTGGCACTAGGGTTGAAGGCTACAGCTCAAGAAGTAGCGCACTATCGAGGCCCGGAAAACTTTTCCGAGAGGACTATGAAGGATTGTTGAATCAGAATTGCAAGGTCATGCGGCTTTCCAAAGGGCTTCGATGTTGCCATTATTCCCGGAATAAGTTTGCAGGATGAGCCGTGGAGCTCGTCGACGATACCCACCATGAAACATCGCCGCAGCTAGGAAAGTCTGACGCCTTCATGACTTTCTTTGAGACGAACAAGGGCCACCGGGAGTTTGCCTTCCAATGATCTTGTCCTCAAGTCTGCAATCCCGGACGTTTCCACGAAGGTTCTGATAGCCGTAATTGCGCGCATTAAGATCTGGCAAGATTCTTGCGAGACGAACACCGACCTCAGCGAGATACGCATAGTCGGAATCATCGACGATACTACTGGCGATTGCCTTCCTCAAGCTTTCCAGGGCGACTTGATCAAGCGGTCGCGGCTTGCCGAATTCGCCACTACGGAACCGAGTGCGAATACCTCCAACGGAATGCTTTGCCATCGCAGCTGGTGCAGTGGGTATCATTAACGGTAGTGGATGGGCGCTTAGCGGATGTCCGCGATCCAGCTTCGGAGGCCTGCCTGACGGCGCCTCTCTGACCCTTGTATCTTCTAGGCCATCTTCTAACGATTCCTCTTCATCGTCTTCTAGACCGGGCAGGCCGTCAAATACACGAACTTGTCGCAGGCTGTAACGAACACGTTGACTGTGTTCCGCTTGCTAAAGCCATACACCGTTACACCTTGCTCACGGATTCGACCGGCGAGTCGTGTAAAGTTGCTATCGCTTGAACCGATACAGAATTTTGAGAATCATCCCGTATACAGCAAATACATTGCATCGACGATCATCGCACCATCGGTTGCGTTTTTGCCGGTTGTGTACGCAAATTGCTGCATCGGCGTGAACGAGTGATCCAGCAAGCATTCTTTCCACCCCGTCATCTGGTAGCTTGTCCAATCGCCGTACACGAACGCTGGCCTTGCCGATGTTGGCTATTTCGACCATAAACCCACCAATTTGCTTATACGATACATTATCTGCGTCAGTCAACACGGCTATGTTATCATCCCTCATTATTGACGATGACGCGGCGCTGGAGGCCATCGAATAGTTCTTTTTTTTCCAATTTTGGGAGGGCGGTCTGGTATTGAGCAGACACCCAGCTGGCTGTAGAAAGATAGTGGCTGGGCTGATTGGACCCACTTGTGTACCCCACGAAAGAGTGGCAACTGTTATCGCCGAGCTTGAGGGTTGTTGATAGGTATCGTGTACGAAGTAGACCCGGTAGGGCAGTGATGCAAACTGATCGAAGAAAGGCCTCACTCCAATGTTTTGTCTACTCGCGAGAGCCAATGTGTCACAGTTCCTGAATATGCCCCCACGTTCTAGCAGAGTACAATCTTCTTCGTCTCAGCTTGCGACAAGTCCCAACACAGATTCCCCCAATCGCTCATAATACCAGCAGTCGTCCTTATACTTCTTCCTTCCAGGCACGATTGGCGCATGCTCTTCGCAGCTCACGTCACTATTCAGTTAGACACCAGGTTTTGAAGGAGTACGAATATCAGCGACAACGAAGCAATCAAGTTAAAGACCTCTCCCTCGCATGCAATGCTCCGTTTTCGTTCCGCGACGCATCGCACTGACTAGCTCACCAGATTCGCTGATCATGGCCCTCTCATCAAGATGTGTATCAACTTGGAACATTGAAGGACCATGGCTTTGACCCAGCTTCGCCCCTGTGTAGAGCTTGAGCCCGTCAGTCGGACGGACGCTTAAATTACCATATACAACAACTAGAAGCACCTGCGTGATGAGCCCGTTAAGCGTGATGCTTCCTCCGGCAACCGCGCCATATTCATTCTCACCGACGACTTCGATATTGTCTCCCAAAACGTCTGCGCACATATCACTCAATAGCGTAGAGCTAGCGGGCTGCAATACGAAATCGACGGCAGTATTGTAAAGCACTTGCCGATCAATTGGTGCCCACAAAAAGGAGGGACTTGGAGGCTTGGTGGCAGTCGAGCGCTCCGTCTTGCCCTCAGTCCTAGAGCAAACCAAATTGGACATCGTCCGCCCAAATACCGGCTAAGTAGTGACCACTTTGTCGAGACCCAACGAACTGCGCCAAATTAGAGAATGCCAGAAATTTGTCCGCCTAGCGCAAAGAGTGCCATTCCACACAGAGGCCCTCAGTACTCACAGCTTGAGATTGCGGTGAATGGCCGCTCACTGTAGCTCCACTTTGGTAGCGGGCTGGCAAATCTTGGACCAGCAATATAAGCGGATGTGAATTGCACCTCAAGTCGACAGTTCTTGAGGAGACAGCCCAAGTCTACCTCCTGGAATTGATGGTTTTCATGTGATAACTTTTGCACCTGGAAACACTCTGAACAGGTTTCGAGGTCTGGACAGACTGCGCAGTGATAAATGAGCAAAGGCGAGCGCGCCATGTCGCATATGTCGCACCCGACATTGCCTCTCCAATGAGGTGCATTGACAGCAGTGCCGTCAAAATAGCACGGTGATCTTGGCGGCAAGTCGTGCTCAGCTGACGAGCTGCTGACTGGAATGGCAGTTGACATTGTTTGGAATTGTGACAGAGCCAAAAGGTTAAGAACAATGCGATTTTCGATCGACGAAAGGAACTTGAAATGATTGCAGTACCTATCGTTTCTGCTTAAAGTGTCTTGATTGAGAGTATCCTTCGTTTCGTTACTATTATCGAATCGACGTCATAGCTTGCATAGAGACACCATCTACATGCGCGGTGAGCACCCCCAAACTGCACCCTCCATATGATTGTCACTAACATCCTTCGTGGGTCGATCCATACTCTAGCGCAGCCACTGGGAGCATAGTCCGAGCCTCTCCCCACGCTTTAGCCATGTAGCGTAACCAGAACAACACCATGATCTACAGGTTATCGTATTGCGACCTTCTAGTCTTCACGCCAACGAGTACCGACCTCGGTACTTGAGCTGGCTCGTAGATGCATACCTGAACATCATAAGCAGGCTCAATGCGCACATCCCCAAGCTCCAGACCGAGGTTATTAACAGCCTAGAGACATCCTTCATCATGCATCTCCTCTCCATTCTGGCCCTCATCCCCACTGCCTTCTCCCTGGCAGTCCCTCAGTCCATTCTTCCCACCGGCGAAACCGTCAAACAGGACATCATCAACATCCATAATGCCGTGCTCGCCCTCGATGCAACAGTACAAGCCTACGACGGCTCGCTCTTCCCCACGTCTCTAGTGGACGGCATACCTGTGCTGCAGGGCATAGCAAAGATCCACAAAGTGAACCGCGCCGGATTCCGGCACGCGCTTGCCGCGCTGCCGTTTAGCGTAAGCGATTCAAATGATGTGATCACCGCGGTGACGGACACTGGTACCTCCCTCATCATGCCTTACTTGCAGTATGTAAGCGACTGACGTGTGCAGTAAACATTTCCATCCCGGCCGCAACAGCGCATCTCAAAGAGAAACTCCCAGCTTTTAGACAAAGCCTGTTGATTCCTGTCGTGATAGCGAGTCTAACGCTTTTACTGTCTGACCATGACACGTTCAGTGTTGCGACGCTGGCGAAGGTGAGCCCTGGGGTGGGAGAGGCGAAGATTCAGGAGGGTTCTGATGGGGTTGCGAACATCCACCATGCGATTCAGGATGCGATTTTATTCTATACTTTGAATGTGGTGTGAAGTGAGCGTCACGATCGTTAGTTTGGGGAGAATGGAAGCCTGAGCGCAAGACAAGATATATGCGTTGAGTAGATTCGAAAAAATGTGTGTGTATTACAAGTTTTTAGGCAATGTGCACAACCAGATGCGAAGCAGACAAAAGCGAGTGATCAGCGTATAGCTGCTACCATAGGTAGAACCCACGCGCCGTAACGCCATGCAATCGAGAAACCCTAAGAGAAAAAGCGTGAGCCTGGAAGTGGAGAACGGTCTGTCGAACGACTCAAGAAAAGCGAAGCAAGTGCCAGGGTATATCCTCCACAGATCGTTACCGATAATCACTGTACGCTGTACAAACCGAATTCACTTCAAACGATCTCTCGAGGCTTCTCGCCCAACGGGACCACGACCATAGGGTATTCATCCATTCCCTCAAAGCGTGTGATAGATGGTGTCTGCACTGCGGTGTGCGGTAGATTGGGAAGTGCAGTTGGAGGTGTATTCCCAACGGGGGTCTGCGGTGCGCTCTTCAGGCCGTACTTGGTGTTGAGCTGGCTGCGCATCTTATGTTGCTTCTCGCCGAACGTCATAAGAAAGCCAATACCTGCAATAACAGCAAAGATAATCCAGACAGATTTCAAGCTCTCATTGAAAGCATTGATGATTTGTGTCTTGTTTTGGGGGCCAAAGCTACCGACGAAAGCTGCAGATGCGTGCTGGTAGGCCTGACCCCTCGCAAGCTGCGACTGAGCAGTCTTGCTGGGAATCGTGTGGAGAAGCGACATAAAACGGAGGTTGAACACCGCTCCTGGAATAGCAACACCAAAGAGCGAGCCCGTACCACGAAGGAAAGCCCAAGAGCCAGCTGCCGCCCCAGTACTACTCTCGGGCAGTTTGACCTGAACAGCTGGGAGCATGGTTGAGATAACGATACCTAGCCCTCCAGCAACGACAAGTTGGAGAATAAGCCAGACGGAGATCGGAGTCGATGGCCCGAGGAGTACGCAACAGCTGAGGCCAACGGTCATGATACTGAAGCCTGCGATATGCATGGGCTTATACTTGCCCCATAGTGACATCAGCGGGCCACCAACGGCAGCACACACTACGACGGCCAATGTGGTAGGCATGACTTCTAGTCCAGACTGACTTGGCGAGGATCCCTTTACCGCTTGAAAGAACGGAGGAAGGTAGAATTGAAAGCCGTACGTGATGAAACCGTGCATGGTCGTCAGTGCGAAGGAGATGACAGTTGTGCGGTTCGAGAACACATGTGGTGGCATGATCGGGTATTTGCAACGCTTGGAGCGTTCCCAGAAAATGAGTGTGATGAAACCAACGACACCGAATACCAAGGGCGTGACAACGGACCAGTGCGACCACGGATTAGGCGCACCTCCGGTGCTGAGTGAGATAAGGCACATGACCACTGAGAATGTCAATAGTGCGGTGCCCAGGTAGTCCACTTTTTGGAGTTCACTCAGTACGGAGACTTCCTGAGTCTTCATGCCGCCGCCAACATCAAGCCAAAAGTAGATCATGACGAAGGCAAAGAAGCAGACGGGCATATTGATGAAAAAGCACCAACGCCAGTTGATCTCCGCGAAGACGCCACCAAGAAGCGGTCCTAAGCAGGTCCCGATAGCGAAGACAATGTGCTTGATTGCGAGGTATGGTCCACGTTTCCTGAGCGGCACAATATCGCAAAGAATCATCTCGGCAAATAGGTCAATACCGCCGGTTCCAAGCCCTTGGATAATGCGTCCAAAGATGAGTGTAGCACCAGAGTTGGCGATACCGCACACAGCACTGCCAATAGCAAAGACAGTGATAGCTGTCATCATAGGTATTTTCCTTCCCCACATGTCTCCAAGCTGGCTGTACATAGGTTGGAAGATCGTACTTGCCAGTAGAAAGGCGGTTGCGACCCACGAGAACGTGGTTCCGAGGTCAAGTGCGGCAGAGATAGTCGGCAAGGCGGTATTCGTGACGCTACCTTCCAATGCCGAGAGTAGTAATGGCAGGCACATAGCGACAAAAGAGCGCCAGAAGCCTTTGGTTCGCGTCCATTGCTCTAATGGTATCCCTGAGTCCCCTGAAGGGAGAGATTTAAGAGCTGGACGGATCGGCCAGTCTTTCTCCGAGATGTGCCACTGCTGACCACGGTCTAGATTTAACTTCGCGGTCCCCTCAGCAGCAGGCGTAGGTTCCTCCGAGTGCTTCAGCGAGAAAGTTGTTGACGACGAGCCGTTGACTGCCAACGTCGTAGAAGATGGATTGCGTAGAAATGTTGCGTAGGAGGCAGTTGGAGACTGCACAGCAGTCTCGGCAATAGCGAAAGAGTATTGACTCGGACTGGGTCGGATGATCGAAGATCGCCTCGAAGAGGATGTCGATTGTGGAAAGACCTGCATAACGATGTAAAAGATGGCGGGTGAAGCTCTGTGGAGCGGTACTGGACAGCCAAGTCAAGCTATATGAGCTGGCGAGATGCTGAGAAGGAAGCTGATAGCCATAGCCAGACAACCAAGAATGCTCGAGTCTTCTTGGTAAGATCTTGCGCGTACGAAGAAAACACCCGAACATGACGTCTGTTGTGGCACCCTGGGTCAACAGATAGGTGCTGCCCATGATGCTGCTAATGGTCGGAATGACCCTGAAACAGCGTTTTGGAAGGGCTTGACATGATTCGCTCAGGAAACCAAGTTTGAGTAGGCGAAGAAAATATCGTATCGTGTACCCACGGCTATGGGCCTAACAAGGGTGCCACGAAGGATTCGGAATGAGGACGATTACTCCATCAGAATCGAGGCCACAGATGCCAACAGGAGCCATATCTTTCCGCATGGCCGAAGCCAGTGATACTGGGAATGCCACCGAGATTGCGACGGTTGCTGTGCACCAGAGTTGGCGCAATGTTTACAGTACCCGGGTGTAAAGAGGAAGAATTACGAGGCACTTTGTAACTTCAATAAATTTTGCGAGTATCGCTACCAGTGCCAACGATCAAGGGTCTCGTCCGGATCAGTAAATACCGCCCCAACCAACTATGTGACGAATGAGAGGCGATTTAAGTGTCTCAACAGTGACAAGGCATATTGCGAGACAAACGCAAGCTCCAGGTTCGCAGACATCATCATCGCCACTGAGGGACGTATCATGCGTCCTACTCGACTTCACCCTTCTTGACTTGGCGCATGCCGATCTTGAACATCGGACTTTGCGTGAGTGTCTCCCAGTCATGGATAAAGTAGGACTGTTTCAGCGAGATCTCCATCTCGGTTTGACCTCTCTCGAGAACTTCATCGTCGTATGCTTGGACGGCCTCGGCAAGGGTTGCCTCGGCCTTGGATACTGACACAATCGTGCTAACGAAGTTGGAAGCGTCTTGCAGCGCGTTGTTCAAACCTTGGCCGCGGTCTGCAGAATGCATCGTATCAGTGATAAGATGTGTGGGGAGTGGGGGTCCAGGGTCTTGCGCAGGCTATGGTAACGCAGGAACGCGGAAACTTACGGGGTGTCATGGGGTGAGCTGCATCTCCACATAGTGTCATTCTTCCTCCTCTGTTATCCCATTTCTTCGACTTCTCCCAGTAGGTCAAACGATCCAATGGGATTGGCGTACCGTCCTTGATAGCGCGGCCGACTGAACGCCAGGGCTCGGCGTACTCTTCGCAACGTGCCTTGAAAAATTTGAAACGGCCGTCATTGGTAGTCAAATCAGCAGAAGGGGGCGTGGACTTGTCGTTCCAACTCTGCATGACCTGGAAAGACCAAGTTTCCGGTGTCTCGGGATCAGGGACGTCCATAACTGACTGCGGGTCAGCGGGCCGATCGGTAGGAATGCAAGAGAGAACAACTTACTTGACAACCAGTACATGGTCCCGTGATCGGGGTGTATACTGTTGATGAAGATCTTGTTGTACTTACGTATCCGGAGAGCAAGCTCGGCGTCGAACTTGTATGAGAAGTTGATCAGGTTCACGGGGATGGTTGTTAGTTCAGCATCTTCGGCACCCACGATGGCCTCCCTGAGGCGTGATTTCGCACCATCAGTACCAACGACGAGATCGCCAACCGCATCGCCACCGTCCTCGAACTCGACCTTGACTCGTCCGTTGTTGTGCGACGATGAGTCCTCGATCACGTAGGCACGCACAACCCGCTTGCCATACTGCACATCAATGCCCTCGCTGAACAGGTTACGCATCTTCTTCCGACTGACACGCATTGGCTTCTCGGCTCCCATCTCCAAAAGAAGGTCTCCCGTCTTGCCATTGTAGATCGGCAGGCCGCTGACCGCATCGGTGGGCAGAGACGGATCAGCGTAGGCTTCGTTGAAGCGGGCAGTGAGGTCGTCAGGAAGGCAGGAGGCGATGTGAGTCGAGCCCCAGTGAAGGGTCATGCCCCATTCTCTGGGGCGTGTCTGGTATGTTGCGCTTGACTCAGATTCGAAGATGGTGAATGCGATGCCATTCTGTACATGTGAGTGTCCAAATGATAGTGCTTCTGTGCTCGTCTCGACGGACCTTCTTCAGACCCTGCGCGACAAGCAGTCCACTCGTGCCTGCCTCTCTTGTTAGCTTCAAGCTACCCCTCCATGCCTTTCTCAGACACTCATGCAGTTTCATTTACCGGCGCCAACGATTAACACATGCAGATTTTTATTAGTGGAACCCGTCATCCTGATCTCGCGAATGATGCTGTGACGACTCGTGAAAAGCACGTCGTGTACCGGAGCGCTGGGAAGGAGTCGGCGGCTTCATCGTGTACGTACTGGAGCTTTGAGCTGTCTTCGGCGAGCTAAAGTCGACCTGCTAGCGCATCGACGATTCGAGATCAAGCAGGGGACGGCCCATGCCACCGCGTTAGGCGTCGAAGACAGGCCTGACAGGAGGCTGAAGTTGAAGTTGTGTGCTGCTTCATTTCGGGCTGTTATCGTAATTCGCTGAGCAGCAGCAGTTACTTGCACGCCACCTGCCTCGCCCTGCCACATTCGGTGCGCATTGCTCGTTCCCTATTTCGCCGCACCTGTCCCTCCCCGACACTACAACACACCAAGACCACCAACAGCCAAGCCCGAGGCGAATGGTAGCTGCAGGGCAATGAAAACCACTCACATGTGACGAAGCGTCCCCGCTGCGTTGTATTGGTTGCATTTGTATGGTCGACATCGACGGGTCCAAGGCGGAAAAGGATTTCCGCCGAGCGCGGCGACTCCCGTCTGGCCGTCTGGCACCACCGCCAAACGTCAACCCTTGTTTGAACAACAAAGACGACCCTGAACCCAGATTCTTTGATCTCCCGCCTTGTTGCTGCAAACCGCTGTGACACGACAGCACTGTTGTGACCCTGCGTTATTGCGATCGGAAAGAACGTGGCTGTCTGCATTCCACCAGAGTTTGCATGGTCGTACAAGAGCTTGGACGTCAACCTGTGGCTGAACGAGTGGCACAAAACGCAGCCAGCACGAGCCTGGGGATACTGCCACCTGCCATGGAGACCAGCGCAACTGAGAGCGGCTCGCAAATTGCCGGAGGTGGAGCAAGTGATCTCGATGTCTGGTCCAGCTCAGATGCTGACTCGTCTTATGGTGACCTGGCGGATGAGACGGCCTCGTTAACATCCAGCATTATGGCCGGGCACTACGAGAACGGGAGACGGTACCACGCGTATCAAGCTGGCGGAGAATACATTCTGCCCGACGATGAGCAAGAGCAGGACCGTCTTGATATCAAGTACGCATCATTGCAGCTTGTCTTTAGTGACAAGGTCACGTTCGCGCCGATCGAGCACCCACAGCAGATCCTTGATATTGGTACCGGGACCGGAATCTGGGCCATCGATGCCGGCGAGCAATTCCCTGGTGCAACTGTTACCGCTACAGACTTGAGTCCTATCCAGCCAACATGGTAAGTACGGTCTGTCATGTTACATGCACCCCGCATGACCCACCCGACATCTCGACCCGTCCTGAAAGGATGAGAGACCCCAGACTAACACCATCAGGGTTCCACCAAACGTCAAGTTCGAGATTGATGATGCTGAAGCGGACTGGACCTGGCCACTCGACCACTTCGATCTCGTGCACATGCGCACGATGACCGGGTGCATTCGCAACTGGGACAAGCTTTTCAGACAGGCCTACGCCCACACCAAGCCCGGCGGCTACATCGAGCTGCAAGAGATGGATTACTTCGCCATAATTCAGCCAACCTCCCGCAACCCTGGCACGTCTTTGCACTCATGGTGCATCGAGCAAGGCAAGGCCGCGATGCAGGTCGGCGTTAACCTGAGGACGAGTGTGGAGTTTATGAAGGAGAGTCTGGAGAAGGTGGGATTTGTGGATGTCACAGTGCGAGAGTTCAAGCTTCCCATCGGGCCGTGGCCGAAGCAGAAACGGCTCCGCGACGCGGGACTGTTGCAGCTGAGCGCCATGCTGGAGGGCATTGAAGGCTTGAGTCTGCGGCTGCTGAAGTTTTACGACGGGTGGACACTAGACGAGCTGAAGGTGTTATTGGCAAAGGTCAGGACCGAACTAAAGGACCCAGGGTGTCATGCCTACTGGCCGCTGTAAGTGCTCATCCCCTCATCGTCGACGAGAGTCACACTGACAAACATAGCATCGTGGTCGTCGGTAAGAAAGCAGAATGAAGAGAGCGACGAACATTCTTTCAGCCTGGGCAACCATACACATAATGTTTCCTCCACAATACTATCCCGCCTACCCTCCAACCGCTCAACAGCATGTGTTGGATGCTCACTGATACTTGACCCTGACTCTCCAGCATACCGTCCTCACCACCCATGATGTTCTGCCCACACCGCGAGGGATTGATTGACTATACACGGGCGCTTCAAAGATGAGGCGCTAGACTCAGTGGGACAGGAAGCGGATCGAGCTTCAAATCGCGATTTCGAGTCTGAGCAGGATCGCTAGAGGAAAATGCAGGAATCACAAAACTTGAAACAAACGTTCTCGACTTTACTTTCACCGAGGCGATGATCAAGAAGGCGGACGTGGACTGAAACACAGGCAGTCAGGAGGTACATCCTTAGTAGGAAGCACCGATGCTGACTTTGCACACACCCATATCTCTTCGCCATCTTCTTCTAGTTGGGCCCTCTGTTGCACTTGCACATCACTCAGAGTCGGAGGCATGGATTGAACCAAGCGCGAAGGGGCACGAGAGCAGCATACAAACAACGCGCACCAAGAGTCAACAGTCACATGCTGAACGGTATGGAAAATGTTCTACTGCAACGAAAGCTCGTCGCGACTTCACGTGCAAGTGCAGCAATTCGACTTACTCGTGACTTGAGCCTAGGGCCGCGTCGTTTTGCCGAGGCTCTCCCCAGCTTGCTGCAGCCGCACCGTCGCAACCGCATCAAAGCCCGGCTTCCTCCACACTCGTCCGCCAACACCCGCCGCCTTTCTGTTTCTGCCTCGAACACATCGCCGCGACCGCGACTGTCATCTCACCATCTCTGCTCGTTCGGAATTCAGACGGTGAAGCGTTACACAGCAGCGACGATACGACCTCGGGACCCTGTCAGGAGTTTATTCGGAAAGTCGAGATAACGAAACGACAAGATGGTCGCAGACGCACTTGTTTACCACCCTACGGTATCGCACTACCTGAAGTTTGTTGCGACGACAGGTACGTTTTTCTCTGCGTGTTGTCTGCTTTTGATAGCACTTGTCCGGTGCTCTCCTCGGCCGCTCGACCCTGTCACGAGCCTTTGTTGCAATACCTGACCACCCCCGCTGACACGCCACAGTCGGCCGCGACAAAGTCCTGCGCACGGTGCAGTACTTCTCACGCTTCCTGGCATGGTACCTCTACCGCACAAACCGCCCCCTCTCATCCATCGCGCCCTTCGACGCAGCCAAGAAGCAGCTCGGCACGGCGCGCAAGCTGATGCGCGTGGGCAAGTTCGTGGAGCACTTCAAAGCGGCCGCGGTAGCGAGCGACAATGCCTCGCTCGACCCCGTCATCAAGGCTACCAGCGTCGGCCGCCAGCTCGGATACGCCTTCTACATGCTGCTCGACAGCGCCAACATCCTCGACGCGACGGGGATCCGCAAGGCCGCGCACGCGCCGGCGCTGCTGCGCACCGCTAACAAGGCGTGGCTGAGCGGCATCTCGTTCTCGCTCGCGCAGTCGCTGTACGCGCTGTACGGGCTGCGGGCGCGCGGCGCGGTTGTCGCCGCCTCGGCTGATCCCGAAAAGGTCGTTGAGCTGAAGAAGGTTGCGCGCGAGTGGGACGCGGTTAGAGTGCAGTTGCTCAGCGACCTGTGCGATATCACGATCCCCGCGACGGCGCTGGGGTGGGTGCAGCTCGATGATGGAATTGTGGGGCTGGCGGGCACGACGAGCTCGTTGCTGGGCGTGTGGGCGCAGTGGAAGAAGACGGCGTAGAGGTGGGTGCTGAAGAGGGTGGCGGGTGTAGTTGATGCTGTGGAGATGCTGAGCCATTGTGGTCTGTGGCTCGAACGTGCAAATCTATCATTTCATTCATAGTAAATCATTGTGTATCCCGGGTGAACGCCAGTCAGAATCCCGCCACCACGCCCGATGCTGGAAGATGCCTGTGAGACGACGCCAAATACCCCGCCCCGCACTCAGCGCCGTAGCGGTCGGCACGCGGCTGAGCCTTGTCAGAGCAGACAAAAGTCACTCTCGACCAGACTTGTCAGAGCAGACAAAAGTCACTCTCGACCAGACTTGTCAGAGCAGACAAAAGTCACTCTCGACCAGACGTGTCAGAGCAGACAAAAGTCAGGCTAAACCTTGTAGAAGCAAAACGCATGGTAAAAGTCACTGGCAGCAAGCTCGTCCTCGCGCGTGAGCAGCTGTCCCGAGCGGCGATCACGAACACCCATGCGGTCGCTCAGCGGCCCAAGTTCGGCATCGTCCTTGTGCTCGTCCCAGACGTCGCGGAAGGGCTTGCGGTACTGCAGCTCGAGGTTGTAGTCTTCGGCGAGGGCGCGGAAGGCCTCCCAGGGCACGACGTACTCGGGCGCCTCGACGGCCTCCTCGAGCCAGTAAAAGTACTTCCAGCCGTAGGGCGGGCGGAAGGTGCCGTCTGGCGGCGTCTTGCCTGAGAATTTCACGCGGTAGATGCTGTTCCCGAATGCGAAGCCCGAGTCTTCAATCTCGCCGTCCTCGACGTCGGGCTTCTTGTCTTTGCTGTCGGCGGCGGGCTGCTTGTCTCTGCTGTCGGCGGCGGGCTGCTTGTCTTTGCTGTCGGCGGCGGGCTGCTTGTCTTTGCTGTCGGCGGCGGGCTGCTCGGGGGCTGCGGGCGTCGTGTCTTCTGGCTTGGGGCTGTCGAGGCTCTTCTCCGGGTCCCACTCGCCTTCGTCGTCGCTCGCAAACGCCGGCCGGTCGTCGTCGTCGGCGCCGTCGGCGCCGTCGGCGCCGTTTGTGTCTGCGGGCGCGGTGCCGTTGGCCTTGTGGTGCTCGACGACTTTGGCGGAGAGTATGTCCGAGTTGGGGATGCAGCCGATGAAGCGGCCGCCTTTCTTCAGGGCGCCGGCAACGTTGCGCAGCATGCCCTTGGCCTTGGCCTCGGACTCGAACGCGTAGTGCATGCAGAACATCATCGTCACCATGTCCCAGCCGCCGCCGCCCCAGCGCTGGCTCACGGCGTTCCCGGGGCCAACACCCGGGTCGATGCCGACGTCGCGGATGATGGGGATGTCGCCCAGCCACTCGCCGAAGCAGTCCTTTGCGTAGAACTCGGCGTGGAACAGACGGCGCGACTTCTTCTGCATGGACGCGTAGCGGTCCTTGGCCTGCTTGATCGACACATCGGCCGGGTCGCAGCCGACGTACAGCTCGACCTTGCGCGAGGCCTGCCACTTCTGCAGGTCGCCGCCCTTGCCGCAGCCGATGTCGAGGATCTTGAGGTTGCGCTCGTCGCCGATGAACTTTTGGATGAGCGACGACTTGACCCAGTTGTTGTAGCTGCGCAGGCCCTTGATCTTGCTGTCCGTCTGCCGCCACTCGCGGCCGCGCTCGGGCACCATGTTGTAGTGCTGCTTGACCACATCGTGCACGCCGCGCGACGCCGCCTCTTGCTGGGCCACGCGCGCCGCTTCCTGCTCGCGCTCGCGCTGTTTGCGGAGCGCGGCGTCGCGGTCGGCCTGGGAGAGCCGCGCTCCGGCGCCGGGTCGCTTGCGCTGTCGCGGGGGCGACGTCGACCGCGAGCGCGATCTGGAGGGCGAGCGGCCGCGCTTCTCGACCATGGCGTGGTGCGTTGTTCGACAGTACGGAGCCAGTGAGGAATCGTGTGGGTGGAGGGGAGCCTTGAGAGCTGGCCCTGTCCAGTCGGGTTCTTGAAGACAGCACGGAGCCTTCAGAGCACGTCTATCTGAAGAGTAGCAATTGTGCGCAATAGTATGGGTGTAGTCCGCGGAGGCATCTACCGGTACTCTGTAGACTTGGCGCCCAGCTCCGCTCCACCGCGCTTGCCAAGGCGTGCATCATCGCCGCATCTTCGAGCTCACCCACTGACAAACAATCACCACGTCCGAGCCCTCTTTGTCTCCCACCACACCTCCTCTACCTCCCACCACATTTCCTTTACTACCCCATCACACCTCCTCTACCTCCCACCGCACCTCCTCTGCCTCCCACCACGCCTCTTCTGCCTCCCACCACGCCTCCTCTGCCTCCCACCACACCTCCTCTGCCTCCCACCACACCGCCCACCGCTGCCATGGGAGACCCGCTGTACGCCAAGTACCCCGACCTGCAGCTGGCCCAGCATGTCTTCCAGCTCACCAATCCCGCCGCCTCGAAGCCGATCAAGCAGTCGTCGCTCAAGACAGTGCAGGACGCCATCCAGGAGAACAACATGGCCCCGCTCTACCGCTACCTCGCCCACCCCACCGAGGGCGTGCTGAACGCTTCGGGCGAAGGCTCCTCGGACCAGCACGTGAGCCACCGCAGACCGTCGGCCAGCATCGCCAGCATGCTCGCCACACGGACGCCCGCCCTGGATGCGCCGCTGTCGTGGGACGAGAAGCTGTACGAGCGCTTGAAGGCAGAGAACGAGGCCGAGCTGGAGACGATCCAGAAGGAGGAAGACGAGGCGGCCGAGAAGGCAGGCGAGACAGAGGTGCAGGCAGCGCGGGGCAAGCGGGCAGAGCTGTACAACCGCATAGGAGACAAGGTGCGTGCATTGCATGTGCACCGGGCGCCGAGATGCTGACCGTGACCAGGACAAGGCCATTGCGAGCTACGAGGCCATCTTCGAGAAGACGGGCATCCTGGGCACCAAGATTGACATTGTCCTCGCCATAATACGCATTGCGCTCTTCTTCGGCGACAAGGTGCTGGCGAAGAAGACGATTGAGCGAGCGAGCACATTGGTCGAGTCTGGCGGTGATTGGGACCGCAGGAACCGTCTCAAGGCCTACACCGGCCTGCACCTGCTCACTGTCCGCTCACACGCACAAGCGGCGCCCCTCCTCCTCGACAGCCTGTCCACGTTCACCAGCTACGAGCTGTGCAGCTACTCGAACCTTGTCGTCTACGCCATCCTCGCCGGCTCCTCGTCGCTGAAGCGCGTAGACTTCAAATCCAAGGTTGTCGATGCACCAGAGATCAAGGCCATTGTGGGCAGTGGAGAGGAGAAGCTCTCAGCCATGACAGGGTCCGCGGCGGGTGACGAGGACATGACGGATGCATCAGCCTCGACGGCAGCGCCCGCGCCGGCTGCCGTCAACCTGACAACACTCGGTGGCCAGCACGACAAGGAGGTCCCTGTCGACTTCTCGCCGCTGTCCAAGCTTGTCAAGAGCCTGTACGAGGGCAACTACAAGAACTTCTTCACCGCGCTGGGCGAGGTCGAGACCAACTTTCTCAGCCAGGACCGATACCTCTACGAGCACCGCGGCTGGTACGTGCGCGAGATGCGGCTGCGGGGCTACCAGCAGCTGCTGCAGTCGTACCGCGTCGTCGGTCTGCAGAGCATGGCGAACGACTTTGGCGTCACGGTCGATTTTCTCGACAAGTAAGCCTTCTTGCGCACGGCAACAGCCTTCTTGCGCACACGGCAACAGCCTTCTTGCGCACACGGCAACAGCCTAGAGCTAACAAGAAACAGGGACCTCGCCAAGTTCATCGCCGCCGACCGCATCCCGTGCACCATTGACCGCGTCAAGGGCATCATCGAGACCAACCGCCCCGACGACAAGAACAGGCAGTACGTAGACGTGGTCAAGCAGGGCGACCAGCTCATCACAAAGCTGCAGAAGTACGGTCAAGCCGTCAGGCTGAGGGGCAGCGAGCGCGGTTGAGCCAAGGTCTAGCAGGGCAGAATCACGATTGGACATGTGTAATGATGTGGAATAGTAGACTTAGAGCCATCCAGCAGAGACATGCAGGATGAAGCCAAAATGAACAGCGTCACGTCTAGACAGTCGCGACCTCGTCGAACGGTGATTTGCGGCGCTAGACTGTGAAGATAGCTTACCTCTCCACTTCACACCTCAGCACACTTCCAAGGAGCTGGGAGCAAATCAACGACCTCGCAATGCACGGTCGATGCTGCCCAGACAGCACAAGCCACGCAGCTCGGAAACCCCCTGCACAATCGCCGTGCTCCCGCAGCTATCTCCGCCTCTCGGCATGCAGCGCGCAGGGCACCGTGGCACGTCGAGGGCGGGCAAATCTGTGGGCGGGACGGGTTTCCATAAGCTCAGCTGTCAGCCGCACTGTCGACTGTCGACTTCAATTGCACTCGATCCCAGATACACAACTCCACGGCGTCCCAGATACACAATTCCACGACGTCCCAGATACACAGTTCCACGGCGTCCCAGATACACAACTCCACGACGTCTCAGATACACAATTCCACGGCGTCTCAGATACACAATTCCACGGCGTCTCAGATACACAATTCCACGGCGTCTCAGATACACAATTCCACGGCGTCTCAGATACACAATTCCACGGCGTCTCAGATACACAATTCCACGGCGTCTCAGATACACAATTCCACGGCGTCTCAGATACACAATTCCACGGCGTCCCAGATACACAACTCGACGACGTCCCACGCGGAGCATCGAGACGGTCCTACCACGCGCCTGGCTAGATACGCGGACGGGCCCTAGCTCCTTATCGACTGATCTCCACCCCACTCGCCCGCGGCATGTCGCCGTCATCGGCTCACCTCCGCCTGAGCGCGGTCACGAGGGGTGCGGCGTGCAGGCCCAGGGTCGGTGTGAGAGGTAACTAGCTGTCCGTCCTATTATCGCAAGTCCATGACCGCTACGCTGGCTAGCTGGCTGCCTCCCTTTAGTCACGTCTCAAGTGGGCCGGCAATCAACGGGCGGAGCGATTGGTACATGATGCTGTTGGACCCCTCCACGGCGGTGGGGCGCATGTCCAGCTCTTGACGCATACTTTGTAGCGAGGGTTGCGTTTTGGTCTTTTACGTGGCGCTGATACCCTTTTTTCGCTCACACATATTCCAGCACCACGCATCGCGCTCGTCCGCTGTACACAACCGCACTCGCCACGTTCGCCGTCACTTTGCTCGCACGCTCGCGCCATGTCGTCCGGCATCACAGAGACCGAGACGGTGCTCACCCTCGAGAACATCAACCCACACGTCCGCGCCGCCAGATATGCCGTCCGCGGTGAGCTCGCTGTAAAGTCGGAGCAGTACCGCGCGAAGCTGGCCAAGGGCGAGGGCAAGGACCTGCCGTTCGACACCGTCATCGCTGCCAACATCGGCAACCCCCAGCAGCTGGACCAGAAGCCCATCACCTTCTTCCGCCAGGTTGCGTCGCTGCTGGAGAACCCGCTGTTGCTCGAGCACGAGGATGTGCTCACAGGGAGCCTGGGCTACCAGAAGGATGTCATCCAGCGTGCCCAGAAGCTGCTCAAGGAGGTCAACAGCGTAGGCGCATACTCCCAGTCTCAGGGTGCGCCAGGCTTTCGCGAGTCGGTCGCCAAATACATCGAGCGCCGCGACGGCTACCCCTCGTCCTTTGAAAACGTATACCTCAGCAATGGCGCTTCGTCTGGTGTGAACACACTGCTGCACGTCATCTGCGCGAAGCCAGAGACCGGCATCATGGTCCCCATCCCGCAGTACCCCCTCTACACCGCCACGCTCTCCGTCCTCGACGCCCGCTGCGTCCCGTACTACCTCGACGAGGCCGCCAACTGGGGCACCAGCCTGGAGGCCATCCAGGAGAGCTACGACAAGGCCAAGAGCGAGGGCACAGATGTCAAGGCCATTTGCATCATCAACCCCGGCAACCCCACCGGCGCCTCCCTCCCCGCCGAGGACATCAAGAGCGTCCTCAAGTTCGCCGCAAAGAACAAGCTCGTCGTCATCGCCGACGAAGTCTACCAGACCAACGTCTTCATCGGCGAGTTCGTCTCCTTCAAGAAGGCGCTGCGCGACCTGCAAAAGGAGGCGCCTGGGCAGTACGACCACATTGAGCTCGCCTCCCTGCACTCGACCTCCAAGGGCATGGTCGGCGAGTGCGGTCACCGCGGCGGCTACTTTGAGCTCGTCGGCTTCCACCCGGAGGTCGCCGCCGAGATCTACAAGTTCATCTCCATCCAGCTGTGTCCGCCCGTCATCGGCCAGTGCATCGTCGAGATGATGGTCAACCCGCCCAAGGAGGGCGAGCCCAGCTATGAGCTGTACAAGAAGGAGTACGATGCCATCTTCAAGGGGCTCAAGGAGCGCGCGTACGCACTGTACGAGGCGTTTAAGAAAATGGAGGGCGTCGAGGTCGGCGAGCCGCAGGTCTGTTCTCCCCCCTCACCCTTCCACTCCCGTTTTTTTTTTCATCGCTCACACGTCCAGGGCTCCATGTACCTCTTCCCCACAATCACGCTGCCGAAGAAGGCTCTCGAGCAAGCCAAGAAGGAAGGCCGCGCCGCTGACGAGTTCTACTGCTTCCGCATGCTCGACGCAACGGGCGTGTGCACCGTCGCCGGCACAGGCTTTGGGCAGAAGGAGGGCTCGTTTCACTTCAGAACGACCTTTTTGGCGCCTGGCACGGATTGGACGCAGAGACTTGTCAAGTTCCACGAGGATTTTATGCAAGAGTTTAGGTAGTCTTGGTCTGACTCGAGTTGCGCTGCGTTGGATAGCGGTGCGCATCGTGTGCAGAGAGTAGGTAGGTGACCGTACATAAAGGCATGTTGATAACCCAGCTCCAAGCACACGACTACCGCATCACTGCACCCCCCGTGCCGCCGTTTTCCCTGTCATTCACCTTTCCCATCCAAACCCTTTCCCCCCTTGCCGTCTTCGCTGCATTCCCCTCTTGGCCCAAACGAGCCGGCGCTGCCCATCCCTCACTGTATGTTTGACTTGGCCGGGGTATATACGTCCTCCCTCCTGCGCGGAGTATATCGGGGGGTCACTGCCCCCTGCACATCGTGAGTGTCCGACGCAGCGCTGCCATGTCCACGCGGTGCTACCACTGCGCCCGGAGATGGCTGATTAGTTCGAGGAGAGGAAGAGGAATCACGGTGCTGCGGTAACGAAGAAAAGTCACCTGGCACAAAACATGTCGAGGATGGCACTGCATATCTGCATTGCTAACTAAAGCTCAGCCACGCATGGTCGGCTACACGCCTTTCTCCGACGGCCTTGACGTGTTAAACGGATTCCCGCCCGTTTCAATGCGCGTCGTCGTCCGCTTGCCCACGCAATCCCGATCCAGCTCCGCAAACCAATCATAGTCGCTCTTGCCCAGGTTGTCCGACTCGGGGCTCGTGGGCGTGCACAGCACGCGCTGGGATTCTGTGCTCGCGCGGCCGGCGCGGTGAGTGTTGTCCGTCTTCGGGAACGGTTTTTCGACGCTCGACGCGATGCTACCTTTGCTCCTGTGCATCTTCGCGCCTGCGAGCGAGTCGCGGCTCGGGCGCCGGTCGAAGGTGCGCGCGATTGTGCTGAGGTGGCTGGGCTGCGGCGCGCGGGGCGACCCGGGGGCACTCTTGAATGCGGCCTGGTCTGCGAGGCCGATGCCGGATTGCCCGTCCATGCTGGTCTTTGGGTATTCTTCGACGCGGACGACGATTTCGTTGACGACGAGGATCTTGTTGGTCGCGAAGGAGCTGATGATGGGCCAGAAGATGGGGATCGAGGCGCATAGGATGGCGATGTTGACTTCGAGGACGCTGAAGATGTACAACACGGGCAGGTGGTAGGTCATGTCGAGGATGGGGATGGTGCCGGCGCGGTTGATGCAGAGGACTATCATGCGGCCTATCGATACTGCAGCGGCGCTGGAGAAGCATTAGCACAGGCGCAGGATGTGCGTCGTAGGTACTTACACCCCGCCCATCGCGAAGAGAGTGATCAGTCCCACTCTGCTCTTACCCGCAAGCCGCAGCATCCCGAGGAAGGGCAACGGCAGGAGCAAAACTATGATATCGAGTAACATGTTTGACGCGGCATGCGCCGCCCACATGGCGAAGAACTCGGCCGGGACTTTGGAACCCCAGCCCACACACTTGCCCTTCAAGGTGTAGTTCCAGTTCTTTGCAACTGGCCGGCAAGGGAACAGCGCAAGCACGAAGAATATAAAGCCCCATACAGCAGAGAAGATGAGGACGGCCCAGGTGCATTTCCTTGCCAGTCGGTACTGTGGCGAAGCGATCGAAGTAGCCGTCTCGGCAAACAGGCGCAAGTATTGGAACAAGATGGCCAGTTTGATAAAGGCAGTGCTAGCGCAATAGGCGGCATTGCTTGCCCACACGTGCTGCGGTGGTGGTCAGCTGACATTTCTGGAGTGCAGAGAAGCACACGACTAACCTTGAAGTACGATTTTCTGTCACCCGCACTGAGCGTGTAGAAGTGGAGCCCGAGTCCATCGTACGGCACTATCGCAGATATCAGAAAGGGCGGATCTTACGAGTGGGGTCTGACGTACTTAGGCAAACCATACTGTCTCCAGCTATGCTGGCGAGTGCAGCAAGGAAGAGAAAGGCATCATCCCAGCCCCAGAGACGGTCTCGGAAGCGGCTCCACAACCGCAGACTTGCAGCAATGATGGCGAGTGACTACATCTGAGGGTGAGCGGGGGCGATTGAGACGGTGGGAGGTGGGCTGTCACGTACAAGAAATGTAATTGTGGTCCCCAAGATTGTCTCCGGATGGTTGACCGAAGGGAGATGTGCGTTCCTGGGGTCACTTCTCGCGTCTGCTGGTGATATAGCCATCCTCGTCGAAGAGATTGCTCAGCGCCGTTGTCTGGCGCATGCAAGCCTCTAAAACAACGATAAAGCTCGGTATCGTTGAATTCTACGTCGCGTGTCCTTTGTGTATTGTCCGTTCGTGAGGGTCAGCCTCGGGCATGCTACATTATAGTCCGAACGGGGTCAGTAGGTCTCGGTATGACTACCGGATTTGAGGCCGACAACGGGTCGTAGAAGGATGAGCGAGTGCAGAGTACTGTGAGGGTAGCGAGTAAACCACTGATCAGCATCCACGAGGTGAACCTTAATCCCCTAGCATGGGACGGGTGTGCCTCGCCATGCTTAAGGGCTGGAGCTACCCACATCCACCGAACACGACTTTAGTCGTGTCATGGTCTAGGGCTCTCCTGCTCCGGCTAGCCACAAACGGTTGCGACGGTCAAGGAGGTGCCTTTTCGTTGGAAAGTTGGATGATTATCGGATACCAATGCCAGCAGTCCCCGCGGCGCAGGGACGCAAATACCCCAAGGGGTCTGGTGGCAATGGAGTTGGATCTTGAAGCCAATGCGGTAGTACCCACAGTATCTCGGCGAGCGTCTGTGACAGAGAATGGCTGTTTGATCGCCAGCCTAATCTACTTGGCAGAATTGCCGTCCTTAGTGCGAAGGGTGTGCAGTGGGCCTGGTGTTGGTGAGACGTCTTTGTCCATTAGCGACGAAGGCAAAGAACAACAGTTCCTCAGAAGCCTCCCGTTCGCTGCACGCCTTACGCCGCCTTACCCTCCTCGAAATCGCTCCCGCAACTTTATGTCGAACAGCGTCTGCTACTGCGAATGGTTGCGACCAAAACTACGGGTCGTCTTTCGCTTTGAGGACTTGCCAATCTCAGCCCTGCTCCTCACACGTGCGTGTCGATGGTGCATGGTGGGGTGACAAAAGGAAAGAACTCCGACTTTGCACACGTCGTCGTCACCCACAGAGATGCATGCGGATGGTGACCCTTGAGGGTGGTGTGCCCTGAGACAGCATTCTGGCCTTGACGGTCTACATTAGGGTTTGGCGTGACGGTTCATCATTTGACTTCTGGCATTGCTGCATGAATACGTGCTGAAGACAGGCTCCGGCCGAGCCAAGCAGCACTCTTTCCTTCTTTTGCAGCGCAATCTGCAAATGCAGGGGTACGTTAGTCCAACACGAATTGCTTACGGCTGTTGTTACCCTGCTGTAAGTAATCCAAGCCCGCCATCACCACGCGCGCCTCGTGATCCGTAACCGGCATGGTATAACGGTGTTACTGCTGTGTCAGTCTCATCGTTCGCTGATCTCGACCGACTGCGGAATCCGGATGCAGCTTGCCGTTGGTGTTTGTTACACTTGTCTTTCCTTATGGTAGGTGTCGCGAGCCTGAGTCAGTAACTTGTGCAGCACGTTCGATCGCAATCGCACCGTTCGTATGACGGGCCGTCTTCTGCGGAGCGCTAGATGAGGTGCATTGTGCACATTGCACACTGCATGGCAGCGCGCTGGACATTGTGCGATTGGCATGGAAAGGCCAGACGCTGACGTAGAAGAGGAGAGCTGAAACGTAGAGACTGCAGGTAAAAGCCACACAACGACAACATCGACCACTCAGCTGCCGTCACGACCTTCGATTGCTGATACAGACTCAACAGCTGGTTGCAGGATAATGGCATCCGAGGCGAGTACGGTCCGATAAAACTCAGTGCGTCGGGGCCACAATCTATGTACGAAGTACCTACGTATGCGAAACGATAGACCGTCCTTCGTTTAGACGATCTCTTCTCTCTAAAGACTGGGTAAGTATATCGATATCTATGTATCGCAGTGGGTGTGGCGTGACGTTGAGGTACGTGCGCCTGTCTCCTAGACACTTTAGAAGGCGGATGCTCCACACCTATCCTGCCGACAGCGCACTTCTGGATTCATCCTCCTTTTGCTAACGATCCGTGCGGCAACTAGATCCAGAGATTTCTTCCACTGTATGGTTCTGATCTATTCACTATCCAAAAAGCTTCCAGTACAGCTCGGGTACCTTCTTTTATAGTCATCCTGAGTGTAGAAGACTCGTTAATTTGGACTCTACGTGAGGGATCCAGTTGGACCCGCTCTCGCACCAAATCGACGCTGAAAGGTTTCACCAACGTCTACGCGACATCCAGTCAATAGGCACCTCATGTAGACATTCTCTGAACGTGAAGGGAAGGAAGCAGCAGTTTAGATAAACTTCAAAAAGGCATCAGATGCCCTGAATGCTTCTGGGCTGCTGACTGCAGCCTGTTGCTTGTTCGCGGGCTTCTGCAGGGTGCGAGAGACCAGCTCTTCTCGCCATGACAGTCATACCTCTCTCCATGCCGGATGGAAGTGAGCTTGCGCATCTCCTCTCAGGTACGTGAACTCAGGTAGGTAGCACATGTAAAACCAATCACGCACCAGAAAGCTCTGCCAGGGATCGCTGGTAGGCGCTAGAAGCGGCTAGCTCGCCCAACGCCGCTGATGCTTGTGGGGAGCTTATCGCCTCGACATGAAAGCTTGGTGACGAACGACAACAGGACAGATGCCGGCCTCGCAGGAAGTTCACGCTCTGTCAAGGCATTTCCCTACGTGCTGCTCGCTTCAGTACCACACAGAAGCTCAGCGCTCACCAGACTCGGAGGATAGAGGTCGGAATTGATGGCAAAGCCGTGGAGTGACATGCCAGACTCCTGCCGAACACGTGCTTGTGCACACGATACATTACCGAATCAAGCATAGCTCTTACGTCTTGCCGCCTCCTAGAAGCTTTTCTTTGGGCTCCCACTGGCTGCAGTCCAAGGTAATTGCGCCCGCTGCCCGTTGAGGGAGTTGCAAGAGGTTGGAGGCGGGGATCACACGGTCAATCTTTGGGTGGCACGAATGCGGGACCTGGGTGGCGAACCAGATGCGAGGGACCGACTTCAGTGTTCCCGCATAAAGAGCTGACCATCGCTACCGTTCATCAAGCTCGTTGCGGCTCTGCTCCAACATCTGTTCTTTGTGATAATACTCACCCAGCCATCGCAGGTATCTTCCCTCCAACAGTCGCAATTGAAACAGGACATCTAGTCAAGGCCACGGCTATTACGCGCAGTGATGGCTTCCGCCAAAGAAACGTCTACAAAGCTACGAGACTCGAGCAACGATGACACCGAACGCCATGGCAGTGTCGCAAATGTCGACAAAGGGAAATGGGAGCGCTTGTGGCCTGTGATAGCATGCGGGGCTGGACTTTTTAGTGATGGATATCTGAACAACGTACGTGCCATAGCGTTAGAGTCAGGGTAGAGGGACAGTTTCCTACGCGACCATGCCCGAGCAGTACCTTCGATCCAACGCGACCTTTCAGCCCATGCGATACCAGACTCAGTATGAAGACGGCACTTAATGCTGATAAATTATTCCAGATCATCGGTCCTGTCAACACCATGCTATCTCGCATTTATCCCCAGGAATACACAAATTCTTCCGCCCAGGCAAATGTAGCCAGCATCACTTTCGCGGGTACAGTCCTAGGTAAGTATTTTCTACAGAGATTGCGAGCTTTGAGCCTTGCACATGAGCTAACATTGAAAGGTATGCTCTTTTTCGGATATACGTCCGATCATTTCTCGCGCAAATGGTCGCTATTCGCATCCACGATCATCATTATCCTCTTTGCTGCACTCGGCGCAGGATCATACGGCGCAGGCGGTAGTCCTTCGGGTCTACTCGCAGCTCTTGTCGCCTACCGTTTCTTCTTAGGCATAGGTAAGTTCGAGAAATCAGCCCCTTAAACCTTGTCACAAAGACACCAGTGACTGACGACACCTAGGAATTGGCGGCGAGTACCCAGCTGGCTCTGTAGGCTGCGCTGAATCAACTGGCGAGCTTAAGTCTGGTAGCCGCAACAAGTGGTTTATCCTCTTCACCAATGTCCAGATCGATCTTGCATTCTTGATCGCCGCCATTGTAGCAACCATAGTCGTTCTGATCACCGGCGAAGATTATCTACGTGTCGCATGGCGCGTATGTCTGGGCATCGGTATCATCCCGCCCCTATCGCTGCTTTACCTACGTGTCAAGCTCCAGGAACCCGAAGCCTTCAAGCGGGAGTCATTTGCGAAAGCAAAGACACCATGGCTGCTTGTGGCCAAATTCTACTGGTTCCGCTTGTCCATCGTCAGTATCATCTGGTTCATCTACGACTTCAGTGCCTATTCCTTCGGCATCTACGGCAGCACCATCCTTGCCAACCTGCTGGGAGCGGAAACAGCGCTATGGAAGAGTCTTGCCTGGAACATTCTGCTCAACTTCTTCTACACACCTGGTGCTCTGGCCGGTGCCTTTGTTGCAGATCTCCCATACATGGGACCCAAGAAGACATTATTCATCGGCGTCACGCTACAAGGCATCGTTGGCTTCATCATGGCAGGCTGTTACCCCTGGTTGGGTAAGTCAGAGAACGTCGCTGGATTCGTGGTCGTCTACGGAATCTTCCTTGCTTTTGGAGAGTTCGGTCCCGGTGATAACATTGGACTCATAGCTTCAAAGACTTGCGCGACCGGTATCAGAGGCCAATACTACGGTATCGCAGCTGCGGTGGGCAAGATCGGTGCCTTCGCTGGATCTTACGCGCTCGATGCGCTGCAGACAGCTGCTGGCGATGACAAGATTGCAGCGGGACGTAATCCGTTCTTTGTTGCGAGTGCGTTGGCATTCCTTGCGGCAGGGCTTGTCTTGCTGCTGCCACATATCGGTCAGGACACAATTGACGAGGAGGATATCAAGTTCAGGGATTTCTTGAGGTCGAATGGCTACGACACAAGCAAGATGGGTCTCGAGAGCGCGGCGACCACGAACAGTGAGAGGGTCATTGAGGCAGAGAAGTAAGGGGCGAGACAACAAGTGGTCATCGAGTTGCGTCGATCCGCGAGGCTAGGCCATCATGCAAGTAGTGGAGAAGTCAGTTACAACAGCAAAATCCCAATAACTTCCAGAGGTTCGAGTAGATGCGCAGTACTTGCAGACAGATGCTGACGGCTTTCCAGAAAAAAAGCATTTCGGGCTTTCAGCTACAAATGCACAGACACAAACACATCTGACGGTAAACAAGTAGGCACAGAATTCAGCAAGGTGCTCTTGCCTTGCTCGTATATCTGCCGTGCGCCCGCTGACGATTGTGATTGAGCTATGCAATACTTTCCTTACCACCTCGACTCTTCACATGCCCCTCATTTTGAAGCCTCCGAATTCGGCTTAGTTGTCTTCGTCCAACTTACCGAGGTCAACACACTGCGCCCGGAGACGTCTCCGCCACCTGCACGTCACTGTGCCTGACGGCCCTGCATCGCAAGCCTTTCCCGCGGCTGCCATACGCTCAACACCTGCTTCTACTGCATGCACAAGTTGACACGGAGCTCCTGGAGACGCAGATACAGCATGTCACGCAATTACGTGAAAACAGCTCTCCCACGGCGAAGTATCTGGGTACCTCGGATATAGCGCGTCAGTCGACGCAGCGTGTTCTCTGGCGACATGGAGCAACCCACCACTAACCCCACAAACAGGCTCGAGATGCGGCTTGTAGTGGGCCCGAAATCCTTGAAGTAATGAGACGTGGCCGGACCGGTAGTTCAGAGTGGATAAAGACAAAGTACTAAAGCCAAGCAGACCCTCCAAAAAACATCACTCCAATTGCTGTACTCACATTCTTAAGCCTCACCACTCAGTCCCCCTCCTCACTATAGCTTATCTCATCATGTCTCCCGCAGCCATCTCGAACGCAACGCCCACTGCCGCCCCAATCAGCAGCAAGACCTCTCTCAAATCCTCCATACAATCCGGCATCGCGCCTTCCCCGAATAGCTCCTCCAAAACGCACGATGATATCCCAGCATGGGTGAATCCCGACCTCACACGTTTGATGCGCGTCGATAAGCGTCCCGGCAACTACGCCAGCGCCTCATACTCGCTCGTCGCGCTGCCCGCCGGGGCAGTCTTCGCACGCATAACGCAGCCCACCGTTGCAACGGTCGCGTACTCGTCTGTTCAAGCAGGCAAGAACCTGCACATCGAGCTAAACTGCGATCTGGTATACATCAACCACTCGTGCTCGCCTACGTTGATCTTCGATATGGCGAACTGGGTAGTTAGGGTCAATCCTGATTTGGAGGGCGGGCTGAAGGAGGGCGACGAGTTGACGTTTTTCTATCCGAGTACGGAGTGGAGTATGGCGCAGCCATTTGATTGCCTGTGTAAGACAAGCGAGTGTAGGAAGACGATCAAGGGGGCGAAGGACATGAGTCTGGGTGATTTGGATGAGTATTGGCTGAGTGAGCATATTAAGGAATTGCTGCATGAGAGAGACGCGAAGAAGAGAGGGCTATAACAGCTGGGGGCCTCCGAAGAGATAGACAAGGGTTGGGAGACAGTAATCGAACAACACCGCAATATGACGGCATTGCTTCGATATGTTCGCTCTGTCAGAGAGGAGCAGAAACTGCTGTACCTAAAGCTTGCGCACGTCTGCAATGATGCGGTACCAGTACAGTACCTTTGGAATGAATTCCGGAGGTTAAAAGCCAGTGCCGATGGATCGTCCCAGTTATTCGCAAAGAAGCTAGGAGGTATACGTAACTGCGAGCCCGGAGTCAGAACGTAGTCGTAAGGTAGGTCTTCCAGGGCGAAGAGCCCGCGATGTCGAGAATTCTGGGCTTCGTTCACATCAGACAGTAACGATGAGTATACAAGGTAGGTTCTGAACTCTGTAGCTGCTGTGGATATTGAGGCCTGCTGCTTCTCGGTCTCATCAAAGGCGAAAACCCTGCATCTTGATCACGCTCCGTTACATTCTGACTGTTCGATCTTTAAATACTTCCACATGACTAGTCGAACCCAGCAATGCAGCGCGATTGGTCCGAATGTACAACTTCACTGTTTGCCCGTTCACTCTGTCCCCCTAACATCAACTCGGCCTACTTCAAAGGTATGTGCTGTGTTGGTCCGGGGGCCAACTGAGGGGCCATGAATTCTTCTTGATGTTACCAGTAGCACGACAGAAAAAGTCTTTACAACATTCCTTACCAGGTCTAGAACACATCCCAGCTTATTGTTTCTCAATTATGCGTACCTTTCCCGACTCAGACCAAGGGGCTCAACCGCATTCTCTGAAGACAACGTACTACTAAATCACCAGCTTAGGCATTTTTCTGCTGGTAATAAGCAAGTACAGTGATGAATCTCCGGTACAGTGATGAATCTCCAAGGCAAAGCACTGATTCTGTTGGTTCTCAGAGATGAGTACGGTTTCTAGAACAGTAGGGTAGATGTAACTGCGTGAGCAGTGTCGGTCGGAGACTGTGATCAACGAGTGTATTGCTATCTGTTGTCGTGTTGTGTGATGTTGTGTTGTTCAAGCTCTCGGCTCTCAGGTAAGTGTACTTGCCCACCGGGCAGTGCCTGCTACAAAAGAATATCATGTGATCTGAGCCACGTGGTTGCAGTAGACGCCTGGGTGAAACCCCTGACAACAGCTGAAGTAACGAGGAGTGGTAAAGCGTATTGTAACGGTTGAGAGGAGAAGCAGATCACGTGTTGTTGGCGGTGGTCTGGTGCTGCTTCCTCTTGTTGTTGAGCACCTCTTACCTCAGCTGCATCACAAACACGTCATCAAAACAGACCCCGCAGCGAGCCTTGGAGAGCAAAGATACAAGCAGAACAAGAACACAGAACAACACAATACACTTGTTTACATTTGCCCTTGATACCGCAACATATATACTATACATAAGCGTGAGGGTTTCAGCTGTCAAGTCTGTTGCGAAGGCAAAAGAACAGTGTCGGTTACAGCATAGGATAGCACAGACTCGCGACGAGCTGCAAAGTAGAAGGCTGGTGGTTAGGGCAGGCTGCCACTCGAGTATTTAGAGTGGGGGGTGCAGCCTATGCATGGCATGGGGCTGATACAGGACTGACAAGCCATGGTCATGCGAAGGAAGCAGCTGAGCCACAAATGCAATCGGGATGGCAGCACTTGCGTGTCAACGCTATGCGGGGTACGTATACGCGACAGACATGAGCGAATGTCTGCGTGTAGCTTCGCTTCGAACGTTCTTGCGAGAGGGCAAGGGCTGGCATTTGCGGAACAACAATGCCTCAGAGGTCCGTGCAACGCGCTAGTCTGCTATTTAAACGACCGGGTGTTATAGAAGAGCAGTTTAACAGCGTTGACAAAATAGACAACAGCATTGCCAGTGCTGAGAAGATTCCAGTCAGAGCCTACTAGGTATCCGAGCGGATGTTGAGGAGTAGTTCAAGCGGGCGTCGAGCGAACACGATACGGTAACGACCGTCTTCTCAAGCCTAGCTTACATATCGCCAGTGTTTCGATACACATCTGCGAGATATGAAGTCCGCCGTTTGTTTGAACAATCTGTACAGCGTGGATGTGGGTATTTGGTCAAAATCCACGATCCAGCACGATCGATCAAAGGAACCCACCTCCCTGCTCCCCCATCTGCTTCGTCTACCCAATGAGCTCGATCATCAAAACATGAATGTCAGCCTGGTGATTAGCTCGACAACAACTCGATAATCAGAATGTGGGACTGCCCCGCATACCAAGTTACTATCTTCGAATATTCAGGTCTTTGTCTCCTCCGACCACCTCAAGCTGTTCGACTAATGGGGGCCAACTTTTCGCCAATGGGGTGTGGCAGGATGGTTGCTTACTATAGCTTCGAATTCGAACTCATGCCTCAAACGTGCATAAAACATGGATCCGGTAGCTTCGCCCAGCGTCAGCCAGCCTGGGCGCAGTTGTGATTATAGAGAGCCTCGTGCGCCTCAGGTTCTCATGGCTGCAGAAACCGCCCGTTGCTCTGACTGAAGCCTCCGAAATCGTTCGAAGCCCTAGACATTTTTCGTCGCACAAGCTGATTGCCGCATGAGACAGTTTTTCTATAAGTCTACAAGATGCAAGCCGATTGCACAGGTCTTCTGTCTTCGAAAGACGAGCGGCAAAACCAAGAGTCGCCAGTCTTGTCTGTCGCTGACGTCGATTCCGACCACCAAAATTCGGACTTCGAATTGCTGCCTATGAAAGTGCAAGCCAACGACGAAGACTCGGATTCGACTACGCTCCGTGGTTTACGATTTCTGACTACGCCAAGTCGTGCGCTGCTCCTCCTCAGACACTGGGGGTGGGAACTAGGCGCACTGCTGTTCAGCCTGATCGGGTTTTTCGGCACGGTCGGAACTTTGAAAGCCTTTGATGGAAAATCGCAGCCAGCCTGGCCGTATGGTATCACATTGAACTCAGCGGTTGCCTTTCTTTCAACCGTAACGAAAGGCTTTCTTTTGGTTCCAGCCGCAGCGTGTATCAGCCATTCGATTTGGCTCAGCTATGCAAAGGCCGCTCATCCTCTATATATTTAGAGAGCGTATGATGCCGCCAGCAGAGGTCCATGGGGCGCACTACAGCTTCTCTGGACTTTGAGAGCTAAGTGAGCTGGTCTTTCTAAATCAAACACTAGCTAACATAAACAGGGGTCTGGCCTGCTTTGGGGCATTACTCACCGTTTTGGCTTTCGGAGTTGGTCCCACCCTACAACAGGCTATCGTCATGGACACTCGCTCTATCTCTATGAAAGATCTTGCGACCATTCCTTGGTCTCGGGCCTACTTATGTCTACCGTCGATACCAGGATGGTATACTTCTATAGGCAACGACGTAATCCCTGCTGACATGGCAGGATCTCTGTATACAGGTATCCACTACGGCTCTATGTTACCAAGGCAGGCATCGTTGGACCTAGTGCCGAATTTTCCAACAACTGATTGCGATTATCCTCAATTCGAATCGCTTGCAGTGTGTTCTGCATGCCAGAATCAAACCCAGAAGGTAGAAAAATCGTGCTTCACTAAAACATCATTGAGCCCCCCACCATGGTTCGCGCCAAACATACAGACGACGCAATGCAATTTTTCTCTAGAGAATGGCCTGCAGCTTAATAAGTCTGGTTGTATACGGGACATGACTGGTAAGAAGAGATTCCAAGATGAAAGTTACCTCAGGTTGGACACAATGACCATCAGCGCCATGCTGGACCCACTCGAGCCAGTCTCCAATGCAAGCATCGCCAACGTTACCATGCTCAATGCGTCTGTTAGTAACGACTCTATTTCCGCGGATGCTACCCATCGTTCGCTTTACTGGTGCGTAAATGAGTACAAGGCCTCTGTCATTGACGGAGAGCTCGTCGAACATCAGATCAGCTCGGACGGAGAATGGTTGTCAGTATTTGAGAGGGCAACGTACTGGGTCCAACGACCGGCTACTCAGGGTAATGAAACAGGGTACTCGTACTGGATAGATCCTGAAAGCTCGTCCAGGATATACTATTGGCTGTATCCCTTGTTCATCGCAAGTGACAGCGAAAGTCTGCAGTTCATAGAGAAAGCGATAGACTGGGAGGGGGGGGGTGGAAAGTATGAAGATGACGTTCGTTGGGACCCCGACTCTTCCAGCAATTTCAGCTTTGGTGGCCCTCCAGTGCCACATCTACGAGACCTACTCTCGAGTATACGCAATGTTGGTCCCGAAGCGGTCTTCGCCAACCTAGCGAAATCTCTGACAACCTACATCCGCACGGACGGTGCTACCAATCATACTGATGATTATTCCTGGCCAATTGATCCAGTCGTCGGAACAGCCTATCTTAATGAGGTTTACGTCCGTGTCCGTTGGCTTTGGCTCATTTTTATGGGCATCATGCTCATAGGCACCATCGTATTTTTCATCCTAACTGTCTATGAGTCATTCAGACAGAATGTGGAGGCTTGGAAGTCTGAACCACTGGCCTTGATGTATCATGGAGTTGATCGGACCGAGAAAGAGCAGTGTCTCGATAGCGTGGAAGATATGCACGAGCAAAGCAAGGAGATTCGAGTCTGCCTTCAAGAAACAGGATCTGGGCTGAGGCTGGAATGAACGGACATTTGAAGAGCTGGACGTGAATTGTCTCATGTTCACGGCAGTAATTCAAACTCAGATCACGTGGCGCAAGATTTTCCTGCAGACCTCTTCGATCACACTTCAAGAAGTCGCAAGGCTAGGTCGCGATGTACATGGGGTACTCAATGTATTCTGTCTCTATATCCAATGTTCTTATTCTGATGCCGAAGCTAGCCCTTCCATCTTGAAGGACTATGAGCTTCGATTCTACCACACCATGGCCTCTATTTGATCTTCATGAGATCAGACTTCGGAGAAGCATTTTCCATCTCTTGCTTGGCGACTTGTTGACGAAATCCTTCAACCTCCAGCGCCTCGCCACCTTTGTACAGCCTCTGGAACTCCATGTCTATAGGTTCACCCAGTGGATCTTTGTCAGGAAATGTGATGTCGCCCTTACTAGTAACAATCCAAAGTACATAGGTTTCAAACATCGCTCGTCGAAGGCCCATTCTACGTGGAAAAGAGGCGTCAACAGGTGCTGGTTCGAGCAGTGAAATTTGAGAGCCATTGTACGTGCGAATCCACGGATTGACAGTTGAGCATTTAACGCGTTTATTAGCGGGGGATAGCTTACTATCTCGTGGGAGATAAGTCCTGCGGAGTTCATGTTGCTGTGGACCAACACTTACTCCCTTAATGTCTTGGAAATTCTGCTCTGCCTTTCAAACAGCTTTGTATGCCTGATAACACGACAAATATTCAGTGACAGACGAGCTCGCAACAAGCTGGATTATTAATGTAATATTGCGAAATGGCTTCATCAAATCAGATCAGCCATCTGGTTCATCTCCCACCAGCATCGGTGGTTTAGTGGAACTACCGGTCGCCTCCGCTAAATATAAAGTTTTTCTTGCTCTGAAGTGTCAGCTCTTTGTGTAATTTTCGACTTATAATTTCAGTATTCTGCTTTTGTGGTGCGGTTAGGCGGTGGCTTAGCAGTCAAGACAGAATTCAACAACTAGATTTTAGAAAACCATGAGCGAATTACAAAACCTTATGCGCTGAATCAGCAGCCACTCGCCTAATGTGGACGGCGGCGGAACGAGATTGTATTTCCGTCAATCACTTCCCGGGACGCACTGTTCTCATGCGCTGTTTCGATGCTGGCATAAGAGCCATGCACTCATCTCTACATGCGCAGTCTTCACTCCTCCTTTCTTCGTTGTTAGACCTTGAAACTAGAGTGCTGCAACAATCATAGATCTAGAGGATCTCGAAGAGATCATGGCCTTAACCGGCGGTGAGGGCCCACCAGAACTTCTCAAAATTGAGTTCAAAAAGTACGAAAAGGCCGGTGTAGTGCGGCTGCTCAAGCTCTAGAAGCAGCAAGAGTACCGCTGAACATCTCACAAACAGTAGCTAACGCGTACAGGTTCGCTGGCAAAGGTCTCAAGTTTTCAGACTAAGAAATACAACAAGCAACGCCCCTTCAAGCCAATGTTCCTTTACGCATCATCGAAGCGTACCTGTTATAGGGGGTGAAGACTCCGAAGGGCAGGATCAATGATAAAGCGATCACGGTCTAAACGCTCAAAAAGGAGTTCTATCAGATTGCAAGACAGATCAGAAGAGAGACAGGCAAGGATTAGTCCCACAAGGAGTTCGCAGACATAAGGAAGGTAATTCTTCAAAGCAGACAAAGCTTACGATGTATAGCAACTAATCACTCGTCCAGTCCATTAGGGTCACCCTAAGAAACAAAAGTGCCTCCACCGCTTCCAGAAAGCAAGCCATAGCGTACGCGCCCGATGCTGATGACATACAATTCTTTCTCTAGAACTGTCAGGAGAGAACCTACGTCTCTCCACGCATGATGGTGCAGTTCTCGTTCTGGCTTCGCGTCACCCGCACCTACTGGTCACGATTGGTAGTCATGATCATTGTCATACGGTAGTATAATTTGGGAAACGAATATATCACGACCTGGGTGTGCCATCCTTCTTTCTATCACATGGTGCCAATGCAGCTTAACAGCAAGACAAGCGTTATGATCATGGCCGAAACTCCTTCGCTAGTGTCGACGCTCGCTCTCACGTCGCAGGAAAAGCCGAATATAGTGACAGATTCATTGTAGCCAACAGAGGATCTATCAGCAATCAAACCATGCTTAGCTAGATACTGACAACCTCCTATCTTTCTAGAACCTGGTAATTATATCCGACTTCATCTCCGACACGAGAGGCTCGCTCCCGAGGTCCTAATGCATCCTTGCCCTCTTGCCCGTTCCCCCGTGCAACATCTACCACATCGCGAATCGTCCCGCAACGTCGAGGTACATCGTATCGATATACATTGATTTAGAAATATTTCATCTCACAAGACTGCAGCGTCTCATCGTCGAGCCAGGTAGGTGCTGAGAGGTACCAATTGCGGCATTTATACTACAAGCAGTAAGTATAATCAGTTCCACTGTCTTGGACGTACTCACCCTCAGCCTGTATTTGCTTCCAAATCTCTCTTTGAGGATCCCTATGAGCTTTTCGTCGTCGAGATAGCGGTTCGGGATGATCTGCGGGGAAGAGTGCATCTGCGCTACTGGCGGGAGCACCGAGGGAGCAGGCGTGAGTTTGGCTGCCATGATGGCGACAGCCAGCTGGAAGCTGAACAAAAGCGTATCGAATCGTTTGACGTGGATTGCGGTTGTTCAGGGTGTTCGGATAGAGGTGATGGGTGACTCAACCGAGAGATGAGGGGTGATCGTCCGGCAGGCTGCGGGTCGAACCACTGCACTCGGCCACGCGAAGGTCATTGACAAGCACTGCCCAATGGCTGTGTAAAGGCTGCCTAGAAGAAAGCCTGCAAGGCGCATTGGGCTCTCACATGTGGTGATCTGCCCTTGCTGTACTAGGTAGCCAGTCCGTCCGGCAGACGGGCGAGGAGGCTCCACATCCTGCCTGGTCTGACCTGATGCCTGCCTTGATGCAGGCAAGTACCCTCGTGCTTCGGCAAGTGAGGCGGGGTTTCTGCATCATAAGAGCGAATGGAAGATTTCCGGAGGACTTTCTGCCCCATATCCGCTGCTCACATTCGTTGTCGGGGTTGCTTAGTATTGCAGGACCAACGCGAGTAACCTAGTAGGAGAACCACGTACATAGCCCCGGCTCAGCTTAGCTATGTTTTGACAACGTGGATTGGCCGAGTCGAGCATTATCAAGCAGTGATGATGTGTTGGCGGTGCATGAGGATGCCGTTAGCCTGCAGACTTGCAGCACGCTGTGCATAGCCTTTCGGTGTTGGAGCGCAGCAATTGTGAGGTTCAATTCGTACCTTGCAAATGGCTATTCCTCACTGAGCTGGCGGATCTATTCGCGAGATTTTTTTAGTTGATAAGTTTTGGGTCATTCGTAGCTGCTGCAATGACGACGTTGGCAGGGACACTAGTGATCCAGATGGGTTAGCACAATCTGCACCTCTCTGTTGTGGCTGTCAGCCTTCTCGGCCAACAACACATGTCTCTGCAGCGCCGAATTCATTGCCTCGTTGCAGCAAGTCATCAAAATGATGCTTATCGACAGCCTGTCCTCTGTCGAAGACATATACACAGGCAAAAGACGTGGTAAAGCACCACTCCTTACGCTCCATCGAGAGGCACCTTGACACGATGAAGACTTCCGCCTACTTCAAGCGTACGCTCTCTTACGACAGCAGTCCAGCAGCTAGTGAATACTACGAAAGATGTGCAGACCAAGTCTTCGACTCGGATCCTTCGAAAACTCGAATAGGAGCGTTGTATCAGACTCACGGGAACACTCTTGGGCATAGCGAGGCCAAGGACACGGTCAGCAAAGGTGCAGACAAAGACCACCAAGAGACGTCGAAAAATGAACTCCTCGACAGCTCCAGCGATGACCATGACGATAGATCTTCGATTCTTAGCGTAGCCTCAAGTACTGCTTTACCGACGGCGATGGACCAGCGTCAAGCGGACTCCGCCCCGCCTCTTTATCCTGGAATCCCGAAGCTCATATCCCGCGAGATTAAGGAGGACGAGCTCGAGGCTTTTGTGGAAGAAACAAAACACGACTTCCGAGTCTTCTATCTTAGACACCAGACGCACTCATTGAGCCAGTTGCGCATCACCAAATCCGGCTTCGAGCTAATGGCCCGGTTGTGTCATGTCTTTCCTCGCTTCAATGAGTACGTGACTGGCTTCGGAAAGAAGAGCGACGAGACAGAAGTCGGACCTCCTCCGCTCAAGTTCAGAAATTTATACACAAACCGCGGCAATGTCTATCGTGGTTTCGGTAGGTTCCTTCGCGCAAAACCTAGTTTCACTTTGCTAATACTCGCTACATAGAGTGTACCTACATCCTACGATACATTGAGTTCACGAATCGGGGACGCTTCAAAGATCCGTGGTCATTGCGACAGTTCGGTGTGTATCATCGTTTCAAAGGAGGAGATACCCCATGTTCCACGTGGATTCTGGTGGGAGCATCGCAAAGGACTGAGGGTCGCCTTGATCAATACACGCGCAGTGTGGATGACATAGTTGGTGCGAATCCATTCGAGCTTCATGTCATCTTCCTCGACACTGTCATTGGTAGCTGGAGACCGTACCTGGTTGACAAAGCGAAGCAAGTAACGGCTCTGGTAGGTGAAATGCGTCTAACATTAGGCTTATTATTAATCTGTTCCAGTCCAACAAAGCCAATGGTGTGGTTGTCAGCACTGAGGACGATCCTGACAACTTCGTTGAAATTTCGCCGGACGACCATTTGGAGTTGAAGCAGATTGAAGACGAGACCGCTGACCTGCTCTTATGCCTAGACTCTACTTCTGGTACTTTGGCAAGCTTCGAAGAGATGTACGACCAATTCTGCCAGCGTCAGGACTATCTGAGGCCGGGATGTAAACTTGATGATGTAGCGGTGGCTCTCAGAGCCCAGGTGAAAGAAATTCAGTACACTGAACGCAAAGCAGAAGCCTTGCTCGCGAAGATCAAGAGCACGAGAACTCTGGTAAGTGAATATCTGCCTTGGGGCATGCTTTCCATGAGCTCGCTAATCTCTTCCCTTAGACCTCGTCATTGCTTGAAAGACAAAGTGGTTTCAACATCAATCACCAGATCGGTGCTTTACGAGCCGGAAACTCAATCATGCAAAATATCGCCGAGAAAAACTGCAAAGACTCATCCAGCATGAGAATTCTCACGATTATCACGATGATCTATCTCCCTTGCACCATCGTCTGCAACTTCTACTCGACGCAATTCGTCGACCAGACCGTAGCTGATGATGGTTCGTCACAGATGGGATACGCGCAGAACGTTTGGGTTTTTTTCGCCATTTCAATTCCTCTCACCATCTTCACTTTTATCGCCTGGTACTCTTGGATTCGAATCGGAGACATGCGGAAGGAGAGAGCTATTCGGCTTTCTGAGAAAGAGGCTGAGTCGCAAGTATGACTCGCTTAGATGTTGCTTGCATAGGGCCCGAACTCGTGGGGCGCAGGGTGCAGCATTAGCTTATCACACACCAACCTGCCGTTTGTGGCTGCAGAATCCTACGTAACATCGCACTCAATGCTCGTGCAGCGATGTCCATTCCTCTGCGCCTACCAAGCCTGACGAGTTTGCGCAGCTCATGCAGCTGCGACTGGAGTGCTCCGACTGAGTCGGCTAAGCACTTCATCCCTCGGTTTGTTCGAAATCAACCAGTCGCTCACTTCTGAGCTCGCTTCCGTCACTCACACCTTGTCGGTTAGAGTGACCAGTCCTCAAATTGGCTTACTCCGGGCCCGGTATGCACCCCCGCAGCCAGCACTCTCGGCATGTCACTACGAGCACAGCCGCCTTTGTTCAAATATGCCTTACCGATCTCCTGCACACTACTGTCCACCACGAGGCAACCAGTAATGCTCACCTTCCACTCGAGCGACGCTGCTATCAGTTATCGACTGGCGCCCCACGGGTTCTCCGTGCGCGTGTGTGTGTGCTGACGGGCACAATCGGGCTTCAGAACCATGGCTGCGAACGCCGAATAGCAAGGGACAGTTGCGCAGCCTGGATGGCACATACCTGCCTCTATTACTGTGGCTTGGTTGTCTTGTTGCCTGCTCGGTGGATTGCAGATAAAGGCTGGACAAGCGCACATCTTCCGACATTGCCAGCGAACCGACTGTGCCATCGCTACTTTCGGCCCGCAAATGTGATCAGTTCGGTGCTTGTCACGTGCCCTAAATCTTGCACAGCTCATGCTATCATCTCCATAGGATCTATTGCCGAGCATCGACACCACACGATGGCACCACGACTTCGAGACACTGAGCAAGTGCTGGAATACATGGACGAACATCTGACATCGACTGTATTCAGAGGCGAAAAACAAAGATTCTTGCCAAGACCAAACTTTGAAGCTGTCACAGCCGAGGACGTCGTTCGGATATTGGTCAAGAAGGATGGTGACTTGTACCTTGGGCCAGCTGAAGAAGAGGAATTTGTACGAAAGATTATTACCTCGGGACGAAAGATGTTCGCCACCTGCATTTATGCCGAGATATCTTTGGCCTGTGTGAAGGCATTGTTCGAGTGCGGTCTTAGTGATGCGAGGTTTCCTTTCAAGGAAGACGATTGCACCGCACAGAAGTACAAACGAAAGTTCAAGAAGGACTACCTGGAAAGACAGAGACTGTTCAATGCAGCATACTTCCAGTTGAACTCAGAGCAGATATGGACGGGTCACACAGCCAAACCTCTCATACTGGACGAGGGTGAATCTGCGCTGCTTGGCAAGGGAGCTTTTGGTAACGTGTACAAAATCTGGATACATCCTGCGCAGCGTTCATTCTCAAGTGTAAGTTCTCGCCTGCTTTCGTCAATCAATTACTAATAACGTAAGCAGGGGGCCAACAAACACGGGCAGTTTGCCATGAAAGTCACTCAACATGAAGGCACACGCGAAGTATCTTTCCACAGGGCAATGGCAGACTTGTCTCATATCCATCTACTAAAATGCCTTGCAAGCTTCACATTCAGCTCGCAGTACAACATGATCTACGAGAAGGCCGATTGCGATGTTGAAAGATTCATGGAGAAACACTCGAACGCACGGCAACTCGCTGACCTCAGACCAGACGATCTGGCTCAGCAGCTCTTTGGTCTGGCAGATGCTCTCTGTGTCATTCATAACCAAGGTCAAACCGATCCTGGCGATACCTCCTCTCTGCTTGCTCCTAGCTCTGTCCAGCCGAAGACTGGTTACATCCATGACATCAAGCCTGAGAACCTTCTCATGTTCATCTATGAGAATGACGATGGTAGAAAGACATACTGGTTCAGGCTGTCAGACTTTTCGTGCGCCAAAGTGGTCGAGACCCTCATCTCAGGGACTACCAAAAACAGACGTAGTTGGCAGACAGTCAGTAAGTCTGGAACACCTATATACCGAGCTCCTGAAGCGGCCGATGAGGGCAAGACGTCTCGTCCCTACGACTTGTGGTCTCTTGGTTGTGTCTACCTGGAGCTCTTGGTATGGTTCCTTGACGGCTACGCGGCCTTGAACGATTTTCGTGACAAGCGCGAATGTCCAGTCACGCCTGGTGGCCGGGAGGATGAAGGATTCTACTACAAGTCTCAGAAGGGTGACAACTTCAAGCTTCGGGATTTAGTTGTGGAGAAAATTCAGAGTGTGTCTGAACGCTGCAATGGCTCTCTTCAGCACATCGCGAGAGTCATTCCGAAGCTACTCAAGATCGATCCGCAACGCCGCCCCACTGCCGAGCAGTTGGTCAGACAACTAAAGGTCATCGACAAAGGCACTCGACCACCTGTGGAGGTCATGTCTGGGCGACAAACTCCAAGCGGTGCTGGTCGTCTGTCACCCCCGTCGGACGTGTCCCATGGCGATTCAGATTCTAGCTTCGACGGTATGATCAAAGTTCAGCACCCCACCGAGTAATGAAGCATTTCTTCTGTAACTTCACTTTGTTTGTCATGTATAGCTGCTGTATCGTGCTTGGGCGGACTCTGACTCTAGTAGCCTGATCTCGTCAGGCAAGCAGTATTTTTGCGCCTTGCTGTACAACTCTGTTTTGCTGGGTGGCTCTCTCTCCCTTGTTCTGCTTTCAAATACCCGACCTCTCTAGCGATCGTCGTTACCGTCGTTATCTGAATCGGACCCGTTATGTAACATTGTATGCTACAATAATCTCGAATGCCGACATGTCCAGAGAGGCAGTTCAGTGCAATATGACAAAGAGCTGATGTTCAACTACCTAGATCACCTTACTCAATCTTCCCTCAATTCAAGCAGCTATTGGTCTTTGAGGACCCACACGTTCTTTTGGGTGCTACACAAAGCCTTATCCTCTATGCATGTGCCCATGAACGAGTAGAGCTTTGACTCAGACGAGCGAAAACATTCGAACAGGAACGCTGGTAGCGCGTAAGGCGGTAAGAGTAATAAGGAGTAGGTGCGGCCGTCGCTGATACCTCTCTACTTCGATGCTCATGTCCGTGAGAATTTTAACGGGATCTGATTGTAACATGCGCGTCTCTGTGTTGTACATGGCGTAGCAGGTTCGGTCTATTCGGTCTCTTTCATCTCCCTGCAGCAGTATGACTGGCCGGTAAGAGCTTGAGAGTCTTACCCAATATATTGGCTCTCCAGCCGTGAGAACTTCCGTATAGCAGGCACCGATGACTTGCCAGCTCAATGCTTTGCTCGTCTTATGGCCGGGGATCGGTCGCAAAACGATAGGTAGCTTGCAACCGAGGACGACAGTCACTGTGTTGCCCGTTCGGGTGCCAATAGGCGCAACTCCAGTGTGGCCTTTACTTGCGGTAAAAAGACTCTTGCCCACAAGATTCAGATGGATGACGTTCAGGACAAGCATCTGGTTGCGCATGAAGGCCCCCGTCGGTGACATCATTTCGAGCTAGCGTGGAATTAGAGACAATAAGTAAACAATAGCTACTCTAACGTACTCTATCACCGAGCCGGTCATATCACCAAACTAGTCAAAAACTCTTAGCGCGCCCAATTTATGTTGCAGCAACTTGAATTAACGTACCTCACGGGTGAGTGGCCGGCCCGGGCGAGTGACTGGATTTTGCTAAGACCACACTAAACTTCATACAACCTATGATGTCTTAACGCAAAAAGGCTTAAAGTGTCTTAAAGGAACTAGATATACAGCTTGCTATTTAGGCTCTTAAATAAGACACAACTCTTACTATTTAATGTGCTATAACAATCTACAAGGTATTAGAAAGAATACTAAGATAATAATATACTAGAACGCTCTTAAGATGTAATTATAAGGTCAACTTAATAAAGCTAACAAGCACTAAAGAGGAGGTAATTGTGCAGCATGTTCTAAAGCTAGATAAGCAAGGATACCCACCCTAGCTTACTAATGTAGAGGATATAGCCAACTCTCTACTTACTAAGCGCCACTAGCCTCCTATTGGCAAGAACTAGGCTAGAATGTTTGTTAAGCATCACCTAGAGCTTATAGTTAAGTTTAATTAAAAGTATAACTATAAGAGAGCCCTCTGCAAGGATCCTAAGGTAGTCTAGGGCTAGTTCTACCTAGTAGAGAATACTAAAGCTAAGTATAGTATCCTAGATAAAGATACCTATAATTTTAACAAGTCTAGGTTTATAATAGGTATTATATTAACAGGAGCTGTTGTTACAGGCTTAGAGAGTTATAGAAGACTAAAGTCAGTACAGCAGGGTAAGTAAGAGTAGACTAGCATTATCTAGGGTATTAACATATTAGGATAGAGTATCCTACCCTTTGTTATCTTCTAAGGCAAGCACTACCTCTCTACCTAGTATAAGGAGCTATCTTTATATTATAACTAGGTTATTACTGTCTCTAAGAATAGCTAGACTAATAATAAGCTTAGTATTAAGTAGCTAAAGCACTTTAATAAGCACACAAAGGAGCGCACTGTTAGCAGCTATTAGGTACTTATTCTATACAGCTATAACAGATATAATTTAGTTAAGTTCTACTAGTACTATAAAGAACACAAGATTATTACCTTGTGTATGCCTCTATACTTGTTACACCTGTTGCAGCTGCTTAATATAGGTTGTTTTACCCTAATAAAGAAGGCCTATAACGTGCTTCACAAGCGAGCGGCGCACCCAAGCGAGCGGCGCACTTTCTCCAGCGCAGCGCACGCACCGCGACGTAGTGCAACACCATCACAAATTCCTATAATATACGTAACAGGATAATATTATTCATAAGCATCACTATCATCTACATCCTCTATTTCTACCTTGCAGGTGCGGGAGTTATGCCCAATCTTGCTGCAACAGCTGCAGCGCCTCTCTGCGCGCACCCTCTTTGCAGGCGTCTTGCTATCCTCACAACTACTACCCTCCTTTTTAGTAATTAAGTTAGATACCTTACTAACTATTAGGGTCTCCTCTGCGCGTATATACTGCCTCTTACAGGTCTTGCACTTTGTAAGCATGTTAACAGCGTCTTAAAGGTAGCCTATTTCCTCCTGCACTAACACTATATTATAAGCTATCTACTAAGCGCCTTTACTTAGCTGCTTAACCTGCTTATCTAATAAACTTGCTAGAGACCCCTAATAGTTTTGTATGCAATTTCAAATTAGCGTGGATTGCGCCTCTATCTCGCAGGCGTTGCGCAGTGTTTGCGCCTCCTAGGCAACAGTGCCTGGTGCAGGTGGCATTGGCGTGCGCAGCTGTACATCAAGCTTCAATAACACAACCTTAGGGTTATGTAGGACTAGTCTAGCACCTTAAAACCCTGCGCAAATATTCTCTAGTGTAAATATCTTCTTAAAAGCTGCTTTAAAGGCTAGGAGGAAGGTTTCTTTGTTAATATAGTAGATGCAGCTGCGTGCTAAGAGCGAGATCCTGTTGCTATAGTGGCGCTTTAACAGCAAGTAGGGGACAACATCAAGAGGCTGCAGGATGTGTGATAAGTGTAGTGGCATGCAGAGAGTGATAATCTTGTTCTCCTTGCAGTAGTCCTGGAATTCTATTAAGCAGTGGCTCTTATAACCATTAATAATAAGCAGCCTATACGCCCTAGCAGAGGACGCCTTTGTATAGACGTTGAAATGCTTAAGCTACACTAGCACAACGTTATTATTAGTCTAGCTAGTAGGAGAGACTATAACAACCTAGTTGTAAGGTAGACTAGTAAACTAGGAGGAGATAAGGACCTTACCTGCAAAGATAAGGAAGGGTAGGATTATATACCCTATTGTAGTAACACCTTATACTAGGGTAACCTACTTGCAATTGCTAGGTTATAGTTTCTTCTATTTCCTAGGTTTCTCTAAGCCTGTAATAACAAGCTAAGAGGATATCTTGCCTATTATAAAGCTAGACTTATTAAAGTTCTAGGTGTCCTAATCTATAATACTATACTTCGCCTTTGTTGATTAAACTAGGCTAAACCATGGCTAGATAATTGCTGGGTCCTTGCAGGCAGCTCGCTAGCAATCATACGGACAGCTCCATCGCGTTCGCAGCTCTGGTGTACGCTTAATAAAGTTATTAACCTAGTTCTTGCCTGTAGGCTTCCCACCACGCTCTCTTAGCAGTCTATCAGCTATATCTTGTACGTGCACCTTTAAGGGCGGTATTCTACGTAAACTCTCTTTAAGTATACACTGTATAATTGCCTCCTCTTCTAGCTTTATAAGGCATTTTAATTTTAGCTTGCAATTGTGTTAAGAGCGTGTTCTATTGCGTTGTTATTATTTTGTAGTTTAAGGGACCTTATAGACTTTCTTAGCAAGCTGTATACTCTTAATCTACTCTTTTTAAAGATCTAAGATAGCAAGCTGTACGTCAGCTTTAGTATAGAGTCTCTGGGTTTGGTGTTGTTGAGGCATTACGTGTTGTCGCTGCGCAAGCGTTTTGGTGGGGAGAGTGCGCCGCTCGCTTGGGTGCGCCGCTCGCTTGTGAAGCACGTTAGTCACTAAGCTAAGCTGCTAATGCGCAATAAGATTACTTACATTATAAAACTTAAGTTTTTACTGTGCTTTAAAGGAGCTTTTAATGACTCTATCACTAGGAGCAATATCTAGGGAGGATTTAGAGGTGCTAGCTCAGTCCCCTTTAATCTAGAGGCTGTAATATTAAAACTTAAAGTGCGTCTATGTACTCTACTACTACCTATTATAGATAAGAGTACATAGCACTCTTAAACCCTATAGAACACCCTAGAATTTAGGTTGTAATTAAAGCTTATTTTAGAGAGGATTTAACAACAAACTAATAGCTCTCTAACTTTAATATTTAATACTCTTAATTAGCTTACTAAGGGCGCAGAGATAATAGCGCATTTACTAGTTTTAGTGCATAACTAGGTTGCAGAGCTTTCAGCTGCTAATAAGGCCGCTACACGCTGTAAATCACACAAGAGGAAGCAGATCTAGAGGGAGGGGACTCTTACTGTTAGTAAAGGAGTGCGCTTATCTACCCTAAAGGAGTTTAAAGCCTGTAGTAATAGGAAGAAGGCAAGCAAGAAGAGGTGTATTAAACTAGGCACTTAGTCTTTATAACGCTGTAGTAGGTGAAGTAAGGCAGGGCACAATGCGCTACTGTGCATAAAAGATGCGCAAGATACTATAGATTAGTGCTGTATACTGCAAGTTATAGTAACTTATAGTAACTTGCTGTAATATGCACTAAACAGTTAACTAAGCTCCTACATCGGGAAAAGTTTTTCCATTGTCAAAATTAGGAAATCGTGGCATTATACTGTAGGCAATAGTAGGACTTGTAGGCCTACAACAGTTATTTAATGTGCATTTAATGTCTAGCTAATTTTAAGCTAACAGCTCTAACAGTCCTAACAGCTGCAATAGCTACAACAACTCCTAATCGTGCTATAATAGTAGCTCTGCTTAATAAACTATACTTTTATTATATTAATATACTACTATATCTCCTCTTTAAAATAAGCTATTAAACAACATTATAGACCTAGTAATAGAATAGTTATTAAGTGTAGAAGGTTTTAAGCTTAATGTTCCTTACCAAGAAACTAAGTTAAGATTCTTTGCTAGGGCTCTAGCAGCCTGAATGTTAGAAAATATAAGAATATTATTCAAGAATAGTAGGTAAACCAAGAATTTTACGCCTAGGCCTGCCTGTCCTGCAAGCTCCTGTTGCGCTGCTGCAGTGTGTGTGTGTGTGTGTGTTGTGGTCAGCAGGTGCTATGCTGTATGCTGTTGCAGCTGCTACGTTGTGTGCGGGCGCAGCTGCAGCTGCTATGGTGTGCTGTCGCAACTTCAAAACACAAACCTTTAACA